TCATATGACCCGGGGATGAATGGGCTTTGGGAACATAAGGGGGGAAGGAGGGCAAATTGGATCAGAGTTCTACTGGAGTGGCGGAGAATACCAGCCGCCCTCAGCGTCCGTGGGACGCCTGCAGGGTGCAGCTGAAAACGATTGCCCAGGCAAAGTCTCCGAGGCGGGCATCTTCCCCAACCCCCATCGTGCAGCTGTAAAGCCGCTAGCTATGTCAGTCAGAGAGGGCGCTGGTGTGGGGGGGCCGGTCACCCGGTCGGGGGCGGGGTGGAGGGGGCAGACGTCGCACCCCACCCGCTCGCGGGGAGTGGGGAGGGGGAGATCAGCCCCCACCTAATGGGGAGTGGGGAGGGGGGCATTAGCCCCCACACATGCACTGCAGACGCGAATTGTGAGGCTCAACGTGAACCATATGGTCGCAGCGTCCCCACTTGGGAAAATCGAAGACAGAGAAAGACAAATATGGATTACTCTTTGTTTTTTTCGGTAAAGTCACGTAGAAATAAGAAATCATAATAAAATAAAATTACATAATAGCATACGACGTTTCGATTGCAATGCAAGCAATCATCATCAGGTATAGAAGAGCTAAATTTAAGAGAGAGAGGAAACACAGAGAGATGGAGAAGCACATCAAATTGAACAAGATTTAGTAAAATTTGGAAACAATATAATGCAGCACAGAGGGTCGATCAAAACACAATTAATGCATGGTCTGGCTGATTACGTTATTTCAAAGATTGCTAAATTATAGGTTAAGAGTGATAGAGTACAGATCACAGACACATATACAGACATCCAAGCAGAGAGAGAGCCAGCACAGAGACGCACAGAGAGAGACAATCGAAACGTCGTATGCTATTATGTAATTTTATTATTATTTCTTATTTCTACGTGACTTTACCGAAAAAAACAAAGAGTAATTCCTGCAGTCACGAAAGCACCAAATCAAGTTGACAAATATGGATGGTTTTTTTGGGGGGGGGGGGGGGAGGGATGGATTATATGAGGAGGTGGACCCAGTTCAGTATGGGGAAGATCACGAGAGAGAGAAAGCTCGTGCCGAGAGGAAACACGCTGGCACGCGTTGACCGTCGACCTCCGAACCCGACGCTGGCGGATAGAGGCGTCGCCCTCTGTGTATTGTTCCCAAGAGCAGGTCGGAGCGTTCCCTTGGTTTGTTCTGGGCACTTTGTTTCATTTTAAAACCAAAATAACAAACTAAATGGAATTGATCTTGATTTGAAGCTTTCGTGACTGCAGGAATCCACACTCTTTGGATCTTTCGGTAAAGTCACGTAGGTAGAAAAAATAATAGATCACGACGTTTCGATCGCAACACAAGCAACCGTCATCAGGTGTGAAACAAACACAGCAGGAGGACTGCTGACGTAGGAGAAAGAGCTGCTGCAACGAGAGTTTAAAAAGGATTTTGATGGGCCCAACCTAAGGGTAAGTGGGCGGAGCTAGAGAAGGAATTTGTACGTACTGTAAATGTTAGAGATTAGCATGTCAATGTTAGAGATTAGCATGTCAATGTGAGACAGCCCAGCCACCGGAGGTGTGCCAATGAGAAGATTAGCGTGTCAATGTCAGAGAGCCGGGCAACAGGAACAAAAAAGCCCTAAGAGCAAGAGGTACACATGGTGAGAGGGAGACAGAGAGAGAGACACACACAGAGAGTCGGAAATAACAGCTAACATAGGCAGGTTTGATGGAAGCATCACAGTCACTTAAGGCTTTACTTTGTTAATAACGTCCTTCCAATGATTGCTCAATTTGTACCCATCTTCTCGGTTGAAGTTGTGTCTGTGTTTATATATCTGGATGGCTTCATGAACAAATCTCTGATTATAGCCGGTGCGTTTGCAGAGTACCTTCGTCTTGGAAAAATACATTTTGTGTGAGCCCACAGCGTTAAAGCAATGATCAGCAACGGCAGAGGTATTGGTCCTACCGTGTTTCAGATCTGCCTTGTGTTCGCGAACACGGTCCGAGACATGTCGTTTAGTTTCCCCAATGTAACTGCTGCCGCAGCCACAACTTAGCTTGTAGACACCAGGGAATTGCATGTCAGGAATCAATCCTTTACAGATGGGATCAAATCACGGATTTTGTGTACTGCGTTGAAACGAAGCTGGATCTTGCGTTTGTTTAAGATTGTGGAAATATTTTTGGTGACCCCTGCTATGTATGGCAAGGTGATGGTTTTGATTGGATCCTCAGATGGTTGTCTCCCCATGGCTGGGGAGACAGCTTTGCGGATTGTACGGTTTTAATATCCATTCATTCTGAGGGCTTGGTGTACGTGCTCCAGCTCACTGGCTAGGTGGTGCTGGTCGGAGATGCAACGGGCCCTTTGGTGTAGTGTTTTGATTAGGGAATTCTTCTGGGCTGGATGGTGGTGGGAGTCAGGATTTAGATAGGCATCCATGTAGGTGGCTTTCCTGTAGACAGTGTCCCAACGAGCCATCAGGTCTCTTCTCAATCAAAACATCCAGGAATGGTAGCTTGCCATCTTTTTCCACTTCCATGGTGACTTTGGTAGATGGGTGTATGGAATTGATGTGGTTGAGAAATTGGTTCAGTGCTGGCAGGCCATGTGGCCAGATGACGAACGTGTCATCTACGTATCTCTTCCACAAGGACGTAGGGTGGATGTCTGGATGGCATCTGTCTCAAATTTCTCCATGAAAACATTCGCTACCACTGGCGATAAGGGAGAACCCATTGGGGTACATTAATCTTGTTTGTAGAATGTACCATTCCAGGTGAAGTAAGTGTTGGTAAGGCAGTGCCTTACCAAAGTTGGTACATCTGGATTCAATCCCTACTGGACCAAATCTTCAATGATTGCAATGGTGTCAGGTACAGGTACCTTGGTGAACAGGGAGACGACATCGAAACTGACAAGCAAATCATCTGGAGACAGTCAGATGTCCTTGATTAGAGAAACCAAGTGAGCTGAGTTAAGTTCAGCTGAGGTGGTCTTGCCCGTGAAAAGAAGCAGGGTCTCAGACAGAAATCAGGCCAGTTTGTAGGTGGGTGATTTAATGGTGGAGACGATCGGACGGAGCGGGGTACCTTTTTTGTGGATTTTTGGAAGGCCATAAAATCTGGGTGGTCTAGCAGCCGAAGGTTTTAGAGAGAGCTGCTTAGTCGATTCGATTAGAGAAGTCGAATTAGTGATGCTATTGTTGGTTTTCGTGGCTAGGCATTTGGTGGGATCTCTATTGATTTTGGTATAGCTGCCATCATTAAGAAGGTTCTGAATGTTGTTGTAAGTGGTTTTATCCATGATGACAGTGGCATTGCCCTTGTTGGCTGAGAGGATGACAATGTCATCTCTCTTTTTTAATTGAGCAAGTTCAAAACGCTCGTCCTTGCTGATGTTGCTTATGGATTTCTTAGCGTTTTTGAGGATAGCAACGATTTCAGATCTTGTAACGTCTGCCGGAATGTGTCCCAAACCTTTGAGGGCTACGTCGACCTGGGCAATTATATCATCCACTGGGATGTGTTTAGGGGTGACTGCGAAATTTAACCCTAGTACCGATTTTAGGCTGTTGGAAATTGGGCTGTTACTATGATTGATGACAATCTTGTTAACATGTTACTATGATTGATGACAATCTTGTTAACATCTAACTTTTTAACGTGTGGCTCTGGCTTCTTGTCAGGAGGTTGAATTTAGCACTCAAGTTAACTTTACATTTGGTTGACATTGAAGTAGCTGAAGAAACTGTCATGTTATCTACATGGTCCCCAATCAGATATGGACATTTTATCTGTTAATGCTAAGTGTGATTGTAAGAGAGTCTTGTCTAAATTATCAAGTCCAAATCGGAGCAATCTTATTCTCTCTGAGATTAGAGTTAGGCTGGCCCTGAACAAGATCAGTTTAGAGTTAGGGGAAGTGACAGCAGTAGATGTGAGTGTAAAGGCAATCGGTATTACCTTGGTGTCATGGCATCTCTTCAGAATTTGAGCAAGAAATGGAATTGATGAAACAATAAGAATCGGTTTAACCCTTTCTAGCAACAAGGTCCCATAGATACATGGAATTGGTTTTAAATATAATATAAAACGGAGCTCAGAAAGGCTCCAGACAACGGTGTTTTCCTGGTGTAAAGACAATTATTATAGTGTAGTGTTCCTGCAGTGGAATGATTATACAATGCAGTAGCAGACCATTACACATGCTGAAATTGAAAAATACGCGGTTTAAGTACAAATTATGCCGCTGTTTATGTTCCAATTGAGCCCTCCTGATAAAAGCACTGCAGGGACATTACCGTCAAGCAGGCCTAACCGGCTGCTAATTTCCAAAAGCATTAAAAAATTCATCACAGTATATAGTTCCCAAGAGCAGGCCATTGTGTTCCGTGTTCTTGCCAAATGTTGTGGAAGTACCAACGATTACTGGACTTGCCCAATTTCTAAACACTCCCAGGAGGCCACGTACCCAGTGTGCCGAGCTAAAAGGGACCACTTTTAGCCAAACTGCTCCAAGGCAATACTTGATGGATGAACGAATGCTGGGGCAGACTCCATGATGGGTGCAGTGACTGCCACGGAGGGTTTTTTTAGGTGGTTTGAAGCAATTGGTAGTGTGCAAAACACCACCAGCACAGCCTCGAATGTGCGGTTATTCCACGTAAAATGGGACATTCAAACATGAGCGTGGCACGTGCAACTGTTTTATTACTAATTTATCACCGTCTTCATCATGAACCACGGTTTCCATATCCGCTGCTGGGTTAAGGCCTCCCCATGCCATTGCCATCCCTCAATGTATTGAGGAACAATTAATCTCACTCCTGCACGTGTACTGATGGCATCACTCCATCTCATCAACCTCTGAGACACGTGCCCCCCTTTAGCTGCCATTCCATGACCAGTTACATCCTATGGCCATAATCCCTCCTCACGATGCATCCTGCCCAAGCTCAATTATTATCCTTCAGAGTGAATACACCATCTATAATTTTTGTTGGCTCCCTGATCCGTTTGTTCCATTTTTGTCTCAGTGCAATTCCAAGAATGCATCCCTTGATACTTTTTTAGCGTTTCTTCCATTTCTGATCAACGTCAGAGCAGACAGCATACAATGATTGATCCCCGTCTTCTTCACGCACATTATACATATAGATTTTTTTTATGTGTGGAAATATTTGTAAGCCACTGGGAGACAGTTATGAGTATGGGTTTTTTGAAGAATTACATTTTCCATAGTTTTGCCAGATTGCTAAATTTCTCATCTCAGACACAATTACATGCAAAAAAAACTTGCTACAGAACTGGCCAAAGGTTCCAATACAGGACCCTCCTGAGAATTAATTCTTAAGACACGCTGAGAATTTCCCGGTTAAATTACAAAGAAAACTTGTACAAAAATCTGCATTTAATCCATTGCTTTGAAATTTTGCATAACGCTACTAAAAAATATTGTACTTTTAACTAAGCATTTTGTATTTATTGTAGCACCACTGCTTCTACGTCACGCGAAGACTTAATGATCACCTCTCATTTTTCCTTTCAGTGATGAAGCAAACCCTTCAATTTATTTGCATTATAAAAACGAGTCACATTTTAACACAAGTTGTAAATGCGTGGCAAATGAAATCATTTAATTTAACTATTTTGTACACAACCACTGTACTTTCCATACAAAAATACAATACCGTTCGGGGGAAAAAGACAACATAAAAAGTAAAAAAATTAACGTAAACCTTAAGACAACTATGATATACAACTACGTCGTTTCTAAATGGCAGTAAGACATACTTAATTGCAGGGACCATGAACATTACATTCAGTTATTCATTTCATATATAAATCCGACATGGAGGAGTTCAAATCCCAGTCACGGATCAACTGGGCCCCACGATCCCGTTGGGGCTGATACGATGAGACCCACTGTGAGGAAGGTCAACAGTAAATGTTTCATAACTTGCCCACCCTCTTCCTCCACCGGCTCAGCACCTCCAAAGGCAATGCGCACCACACAATGGTCGTTTTAGCGTAGAGACACTGAATTCATTACTACTACGACCCACTTGAATAGACGAGGGCTCGATGACACGACATGACAACATTTACAATTGCTGAATAGAATGACTCTACAACCGGTCAAAGCAGTACCCTGCCAAAATTGGTCTTGCGACTGAGTTGAAGTTTTCCTTCACGAATAATTGACTTTTTGTACCGCATTTATATTCATTGCTGTATTTTTTTTAAAGATTTAAACCAGGATGGGGATCCGACCTATTGTTAATCAAAATAAAGGCCCATATTTACATATTTATCTTGAGCAAAACAAATTTAATGTATAACAATTTGTTGCGGTGGCACGACTGGGAAAATATCAGCACGTAAATATATACATTAGGAAAACTATGTAACTGGAACACGAATCAATGAAATTAGGAGGCAAACGAGACAATGTTGGTGTGATTTGGAAAATTCTAATTGGCAATGAAAAGCAACAAGCCAATAGTGCTTAACAAAGAAAGTTTTCAATCAGTGCGTATTACATACAATGCTATATGGGACCAGAGACACTGACAAAGGAAATGTAACAAATGCTGTAAAGTGCGCAGATAAGCATGGCGAGGGTGAACGCTCAGAATTACACCGAGACAGACAAACGCATGAATCGAAGAACAAACGCAAGTTGAAGACATCATTGTGAACGTTACACGAGCTTGAGCAGCAGGACACGACGCTGGCCAGGAATTTATAGCCAGTGGTCGAGGCTAACGAAGGAGGGGCTGCGCAAGGAGAAAACATGCCCAGGAGGACAACCACCACGAATACGGAGCGATGACATCGGCTTGTTTGGAGGACAGCTTTATTGCACCGCGGGATCGTGATAAATTATGACTCCCCTTCCATCCGGCAGTGGATAGAACATGGCTGATGATGACTGCCAAGCGTCCCTCTGTCCAATCGAGCGTGAGGTGGTGGTCATATCCATCGGCATCCCTTAGCCAGTGCTGTACATTCCCCTTTGGCACTTTTAATGTACACAGAGCGGATTGCAGTCACTATAATAATACGACTACTACCCTTTAATTACCCATAAGATCTTCACAAATACTCAAAACTCTTCGGATGCTTAGACAAGAGTTTGGCCTGCGGGAGGACACTTGAGAATCTGAAGAAGACCCATGCTCACGACGGGCTAATGCTCAAAGCTCAAAAGACATTCAAGAATGCATTGCTGTGCTGCCATCTATTGACCACCAGAGCTACAACACGTAGCAGTCTAAGACAGCCTTGTATCCACTAAGAGGCTCAAGCCTGCATAGCTTCCGAGATCTGACAACCATGGGCATTTTCAGTACGATTTGGTCGGAGGCAAAATGTGCCAACTCACTTATACATCCCACTACATTTCATGCGAGTGCTGAAATGCTTTATGTGATATATTACAAAAGACACATTCACGGAGCTGCACTTTGGACTGTGGTGTACTGCTGTACGGAACGTTCCATTATGGCATGAAACCAAGAGAGTTACAAATGAAGTTGCAAGTTCAACGACTGAATATGAGGTGCGGAGGCCAAGTTTCGTGTAGGTGGTGCTTAAAGGTAGGCACTCTGGAAGATTCGAGCCAAGCCCGTTAACGTGAACATTTTGGTCCTTTATAAGCGAGCTATGTTAAATCGCCAACCAATCACAGGAAGGCAATGTCAAACCATCAACCAATTACAAGAGAGTGATCTTGGACACTAGTCCATCGCAGGAGAGTGTTCATACGCACTCACCAATCACGAATGCTCCATGTCAAAAACATTAACCAATCATGAGAGAGCCGTCTCTATGACAAGCCAATTTTGAGAGGGCAGCCTCAACTATCGATCATTGGTGATTAAAGCACCAGCAGCGCCAAGCATCGACCACAAAGGGGCAGCGTGAACCATCAATCAACCACGACGCACCAGTGTCAAACCAGCATCGAAACCACGAGAGCGCTGGGCATCAATCACCGATCAATCGCGAGCGCGCCAAACTGGCCAAGTCGCCCCCCCCCCCCCCACCCTAGGCGCGCCGTCACGTGCCACCGGCAGGCTCGTCCCTCGTGACGGCGCTCACCAGCAGCAGGTTGGAGGCCATGAACTGCACGTTGAGCGCCGTGCAAATCCGCGTCGATGGCGCCGCGCCCGTGATCTCGGTCGCATCGACGTCAGCCGCGAACGCAGCGCCGCCGCCGCCGCCCCCGGCCGCCCCGGTTCCGCCACCGCCGCCAGTTCCACCGCCGCCAGTTCCGCTGCCGCCGCCGCCGCCACCAGGATTCGTGGAGGCTCCACGCACATCCCACACGCGCACCGAGCCGTCGGAAGAGCCGGATGCCAGCGCGCTGCCGTCGGGGCTGAAGCTCAGGCAGGTGATGTCGTCCGAGTGTCCACGCAGCTCCTGCACGGCACGGCAAGACGTAAGCGAGCGCCGCGTGTTCCGGCGGCGTTATCTGCGTCCCCACACCTCCGATTATCATGGTTGGCTACGTACGGCGCAGAAGAACTTCAACGCGCATATGTATGTACGTTCGGTGCTGCAGACGCACTGTGGAAGTTGGGGGTGTCCTACCAACGGATGGTGCCGGTGGTTATTGGTTAGATTACCGACGCACTAGGCGTGCGGCTCGGGCAGCGTGCGTCATGGATGTGCAGATTATCGTCGCGCAGTTGTGGTGTGTGCGTGCATATGATTTGCCTTAATGCAAAGCGGATGCTGCCAAGTGCGTGTGCTTTGACTGTGAATTTGTGTGTGCTGTGGGGACCAGGAGTGTAGCAGTTGGCACGCTGCGCTACGAATCCAGTGACCCGATTCTCGCTCACAGACAACACCAGTGACAATTATCTGAACCGGTCTTAGGCCAAATGAGTACCTGATGCGGTATGTAAGCATCGCTACTGGGGAGACAAAGGTGGTGGCCTTCATAGGTGCTCGCTAACAGCACTTTCCCCAAAAGTCTGTTGAGGCTGTACAGAGAATCTTTGTCTTTGTGCTGTGTGCGTTGACCGTGCTCTGCTTGTGTGTGTTTTGACTGCGCGTGTGCTGGAAATATTTTGCGGGTGTCTCTGACCTAATTATACAAATTCTCAATACATTTCTTGAAAACACTTCCATGAAAGAAAAACAATTAGCACGTACCAAAAGTTAAAAAAAATGTATTTAGGTGCTATGAAGAAGGGCCATTTCCCCAAAAACGTGTTGAGATGTTTTCGTGCCAATTGTGCACCACTGCCAACGGAGCGTTGCCAAATAACAAATCTAAAAATGTTGTGGGTGTCCGCACACCCACAGGATCTGTGTCCCCCGCCTGCGTTGGCATGGAACGACGTGGGCGGCCATCATCCTACGCCTGTCCCACTGTACTAGCACCTACAATCCCTGTGGGTTACTGCGATAGCAGCACCGCTGCTGTTCCTAATTGGACTAAATTTGCTTTCTCAAACCTACGATTTTCTTGCTCTAAATATTGCCGTGCTGGTTTGTTTCTAGTCCATTGTCTCTCCTCCGGCCACTATGGTCCAGAATTCCACACAACTCTCTCATTATGAGACCTCCTTTGCCAGTGACAAGATATTGTAATAGGTTTTACCCTTTTAACTGGCACAAAAACTGACACCTTTATTCAAGGCATCATGTTTGCAATAACCACAACACAAGCAATGCCGTCTCGGGTGTAGACCAATTAAATTCAAGGACAGTGCATATTATTATCAGAGTTGTCTCTTTTGTTTGCATTTTGACTGCTTGTGTTGTGGTTATTGCAAACATGATGCCTTGAATAAAGGTGTCAGTTTGTGTGCCAGTTAAAAGGGTAAAACCTATTACTATTACTCTCTCATTGTCCTCGACCTCAATCCCCCCCCCCTCTCTCTGCCCCAACCCCTCCCCCCTCTCTCTATTTAAGGTCTCGACACAGTGGCACTGTCTTTCTGTTTGTCATTCTTTGGAAGAACGTAATCAACCAGGTGGGGTGTTGACTGTTGTGTTAGCCGACTCTCTGTGTTGTATTGCATTATATTTCTAAGTTTATTATGTTTGTTTTTTCTCATTCATTCTTACCTGATGATGGTTGCTTGTGTTGCAATCGAAACGTCATATTCTATTATTATTTGATTTGATTTTCCACGTGATTTTACCGAAAGAACCAAAGAGTATATTCTATTATTTTAACTTTTTTTTGCGTTTCATTGAATATTGGCCAACCTGGTCCAACTAAGTGCCAGAATCCGGCTAGCCGGGGTTTTGCTGCACTTACAATCGAGATGTCAATACATTGGGTACTGGGTGAGAATTAAGGCGCTGGCAATGTCGTAAAGTTTTGATTTTATATATAGGTGTTTGCTTATGTTGGGAAACACTTTGCTCGAGGAATCTTATCCTGCCTGGACCTAGTCCCCATCGACTAAAGTGCAAGAGCCATTGTCATATAATGTTTTTTTTTTCATCTAACCGGGTATTTTCCATTGCTCAAAAGAATGTGTTTAGGGATGCGTGACATGTGGCGACTGCAACTACGGCATGCGGTAGAACTGTCTGGGTCTGTGCAGCGACTCCAAACTCTTTATATAGTACGGCACATCATCGAGCTCTGCCGCAGAGCTACATAAACTAAACTACTAAACTATTTTTATGTTACCGGGTAAAGCCCAATGAGCTATGGAGCTCTTTTTGAGAGGTGACCTGGTCACAGTTGATCGCTCAACAAAGTGGTTTATCGGTTGAAAATTTATAGAAGCCAAAAAAACTCGACATGCACGTTTCTAAATATGGAGGGAAAAACCGGAAGATCCGGAGAAAAAAAAAATCACCCAACCACGAGAACATGGAAACTCCAAATATACAAGCGTCAGGGTCGGGATCTAACACACAAGCATCTGTATACCAGGCGAGGTAGTTAACATCTCGCCACCGTGGAACCCCTGATAGTTCTGTGAAAAATTACAAGTGATAGCTCCGTGGTGTAATTTTACATTGGCCGTATTTTGTCTGTCCTTCATGGAATCCCAGAATGTTTCTGATTATTGCGCCTCAGGTCCACGAGCACAACTGGGACGTGATCAGTAGGGATGTCACCGTTAATCACCCGCCTTCAGGGCTCTAAATGGATTCTTATGCTCACGGAAAAAGGTTGGGCTGCCCAAGTACATTAGTTGTAACTATTTCTACAAAAGTACGAACCAATCAAACACCACTTTCACTGTGAACACTGCTTTGTACATTAGCGCCAACACAGTCCCTTAATCCAAGTCATTAATTTTTTTGTAGCTTGAGATTGCTTCATGAAAATTCTGGGGTAATTATCATTGTCGTCATCATCATCATAATGATAAATGTATCATTTATAATCATGCATTGATTATTGTTATAAATAGTTGACTTGCTTTGATACCAAAACTGAGTGGAACAAGTATTATAAGCATTCCCGAGCCTGCTGATGCAGCACTTGAAAATTCTACAATTAGTCATCTGGCGCAACGACGCTCTGACAAAAAGTGTGGAGGGGGCTGGCAATCCCTGTGCCCCACGCTACTCATTGGGGCACAGGGATGGGTGTGCCGAGTGGCGCGATGTAACCATGAACGAGCAACCGGGGGCAGGAGTTGGTTTTAGGGACAGGGTCCCGAGTACCATACTGCTGCACCAATGCAGCATGGTTGTACACTACAGCGCCAGGTGTAGCCGACAAGAGTAAACGCTTCACGTCGGCTAGCAATGGGCACGTCGAATCGCGTCGCTTCACGTGGACCCTGTCTCAGCTAAAGGTGGGAAGAGAAGAGGCTCTTGAAATGCTTCCGAAAGTTCACATGAATCAATTCTGGCTGTCGCCTAAATGAGGCTGGTTGTAATTACCGGCGAAATGTCGTACTCAAATTGTAAATGTTGTGGGTTTACTCTCCAACACACCGGTGTGCTGAACTAGTAACTAATTGGCATGTTTGGCTCTGTCGGGTGGTGGCGGGTTTAACGACATATTTATATTCATCTTCTTGGTTCTTTCGGTAAAGTCACGTAGAATGGAAATAAAATAATGAAATAAAATAATAAAATTCTCACGATGTTTCGGCCACAACACAAGTGGCCTTCTTCAGGTGAAGAAACAGGTCTATCAAGAAGACAGAACTTGAATGAACGCTGTTAAGCAAGGACTGTGTCTTTTGAAAATGTGTGGGCGGAGTTGAATTAGCATGTTACCAGCCCCACCTCCAGAGCAGGGGAGGAGGGAGGGGGCTGGGAACAAAAAGAGTTATGTTAAACTTTACAATGTTATACTATTAATTATTATACTACATGTTATAAACCATATCATTAACCGTGGTATGAGAGGTATTAAGAGGCAATGCCAGCGAAAGGGCTGCGGTCTGAAGAAGGTAAGAAGGTAAGATACAATCAATTAAGAACCGAAATAGTTTAAAACATCTTTCCAATGGTTAATAAGCCAGAATCCATCTTCTCGGTTGAAATTGTCTCGCTACCTGATACCATCGCAATCATTGAAGACTTGGTTCATCAAGGACTGCATACGGAGGTACCCCCTCTGGTGAGACATTGCACACATACTTCACCTGGAATGGAACTTTCTATAAACAGACTGAGGGCACCCCAATGGGTTCCCCCCTATCTCCAGTTGTAGCCAACATGTTCATGGAAAAATTTGAAACTGACGCCATCCAGACTACCACTCTACGCCCGACCTTATGGAAGAGGTACGTGGATGACACCTTTGTCATCTGGCCACATGGCCAGCCTGCTCTAGACCAATTCCTCGACCACAGCAATTCCATACACCCAGCCATCAAATTAACCATGGAGGTCGAAAAAGATGGCAAACTACCCTTTTTGGATGTCTTAATTAAAAGGAGACCTGATGGTTCAATGAGCCACTCTGTCTACAGGAAAGCTACCCATACTGATGCTTACTTAAAACCGAATTCCCACCACCATCCATCCCAGAAGAACTCCCTCATCTAGACTCTATACCATAGAGCCCAATGCATTTCGGACCAGGATCACATTATCAGTGAACTCAAACACGTACACCAAGCTCTGAAGGCTAATGGTTACTCCGACTACACAATCCGCAAAGCCATCACTCCAGTCATAAAGAAGGATCCTCTTAAGGAACCATTCAAAACCATCACCTTACCCTACATTGCAGGGGTCACAAAAAAGATCTCCAAAATCCTGAATAAACACGAGATCCAGGTCCAATTCAACACAGTACATAAAATCCGTGATCTAGTTCCATCTGTAAAAGATGTGGTTCCAGACATACAGTACCCGGGCATTTACAAACTAAAGTGCCTCTGTGGTAGCAACTACATTGGAGAAACCAAACGACATCTCGGACCGCATCCGCGAACATAAAGCAGACTAGAAACACGGTAGAACGAACTCCTCAGCCGTGGCAGATCACTGCTATAATTCAGTGGGCTCACATGACATTGACTTCTCCAAGACGGAGGTTCTTTGTAAGCAATCCGGCTACCATGAAAGATTCGTTCATGAGGCCATCCACATATACAAGCATAGAGACAAGGTGGGGCTGGTAACATGCTAATTCAACTCCGCCCACACAGTTTCAAAAGAAACGGTTCCTGCTTAACAGCATTCATTCAAGTTCTGTCTTCTTGATAGACCTGTTTCTTCACCTGAAGAAGGCCACTTGTGTTGTGGCCGAAACGTCGTGATAATTTTATTATTTTATTTCATTATTTTATTTCCATTCTACGTGACTTTACCGAAAGAACCAAGAAGATGAATCCCTGCAGTCACGAAAGCTTTAAATCGAAATATTTATATTCACGCCATAGAACCCAAAAAAACCTCTATTATGGAAAAAATGAATCTTACAGACAACGCACACAGCTAAGGGGATGTGTATGGAGCGTAATTACCACCCAACTGGGATAGACAGCATGACGCCTAGCCACAATTAGATGAATAAAACTGTAGTCCTTTGGCAAATCAACCATCCTCTCTACAAAGCACCATTAATGGGATGAGATGAAGAGGCAGAGAGATCACGACCAAAACTAACGATACAAGAGGCAGGCTGCTGAATTATAACCCCTAATAACGCGTACCGATTTTCTAAGCTAACCACATGCCGCTTTATATATAATATACTAGCGGGAAGTACCTGGTGTTGCCCGGCCGAAAAAGACACACACACACATCGACTTAGACACACACAGACATCGACCAAAATGGCCCTCTTCTGTAGCCAGATAACATCTTGAAAGTGTTGTTGCATGTTTGGGTACACTTTTTCCTCCAGTTCCTGTTCAGAAGTGGAAAGGATGCCTTTAGACATGGTGATAAGTCCATCTGTGTCATCAGCAAAAATGCTGGCATTTCCAATGTCAAGAAGAGCTTCAGCAAAGTTGCCTGTCTCTTGGTCTCCATGGAGATATACACGCATGTTTGTAGTTAGTCTCAGTTTCATCACGTGCCTCCAGAGGAATGATGACTTCATGCAGGTATTTAACTCATCAGCTTTGGTTCCCCGAAGTACAACAGGTAAGGTTTGTCGGAAGTCACCAACCATGAGAAAAGTTACACCACCCATAATCCTGGGATTGTCGCGGAGGTCCTGCAAAATTGTTGTGTTGGCAGCCTCAAATGCTCCCTTGTGGGACATGGTGCATTCATCCCACAACTATTAATTCACAATTAACCAGGACTTGTGCAAGGGAAGTCCCCTTTGAAATATTGCAAACAGGGTTTTCTTGTCGGGATAGATCCAATGGAAGCTTAAATGTGGAATGGGCAGTTCTTCCTCCAGTAAGCAGAGTTGCCGCAATCCACGATTATGCCACAGCTCGAGCAATTTTCTACCTTAGCGAGGAGCAGGTTAAGAAGGTCTTCCCAGTACCAGCAGGTGCATCAAAGAAAAATATGCCTCCATTTTTAGTGTCAATGCCTTCCAAGACTTTCATGTAGGCTTCTCTTTGTGCATCCATCAGCTTTGGTTCATTTTCCTCAATAAATTTAAGAAGCTCTAAACCATCATAGCATATTTCACGTAGGATCTCTTGAGCAAAGGCATGCAGGTTGTCCCTGTAGGGTGTTGGTAGTCCGATAGACGCGAGGTCTTTTCAACCAATGGAGTGAAGTTTGTCCTCAAGGAGGATGAGGGCCTGGTTAAAGGTGACATCAGAGCGTGCGAGTTGGTACAGTCGAGCAGGCACTATGTAATAAAGAAGTAACTGATAGCAGCACCTAATCGCTAATTAAACTACTTTAAAGGTGACTGACGTGAAATTGGAATAGCGCTGGCTCAGCACGGGGCTTATGGCGTGGTACCTGGGTACTTTTTTAAAATGAAAACCCCACGGTTTGCGAGCCGAATCCTTCGCAAATTTCGGCCGCACACACACAGACAAACAATGACATTTATATAGTAATAGGTTTTACCCTTTTAACTGGCACAAAAACTGACACCTTTATTCAAGGCATCATGTCTGCAATAACCACAACACAAGCAATCAAAATGCAAACAAGGAAGACAACTCTGATAATAATATGCACTGTCCTTGAATTTGATTGGTCCACACCCGAGACAGCTTTCTTTAGAGCCTAGTCTCCACTGGTGTTGGACCAGAAGACGCCAAAAGGCGTACAACTCTTCTAGTCCAACACCAGTGGAGACTAGGCTCTAAAGAAAGCCGTCTCGGGTGTGGACCAATCAAATTCAAGGACAGTGCATATTATTATCAGAGTTGTCTTTTTGTTTGCATTTTGACTGCTTGTGTTGTGGTTATTGCAGACATGATGCCTTGAATAAAGGTGTCAGTTTATTGTGCCAGTTAAAAGGGTAAAACCTATTACTATATTTTGTTACTGGCAAAGGTCTCATAATGACATTTATAGGTTAGATCGTTATTACTTGATGCAACTTTTGTTTCGAAAATCGGTTAAAGGCTGAGAAACCTGACAGCCTACAGCTTACATCGGCAGAGTCAGTAAGCACGGGAAGCTTTTATGGACAACGGAACGGACGAACGGAACGGCGGGCCAGCCAACCTTGACGATGGCGCCGCTGCCGATGTCCCAGAGCCGGACGCGCTGGTCCTCCCCGCCGGACGCGAGCAGGCGCCCTCCGGGGGAGAAAGCGAGTGCCAGCACGGCGCCCCGGTGGCCCGTGAAGAGGCGTGCCGCCGAGCCCTGCTGGGCGCTCCACAGGCGCACCGTGCGGTCGGCGGAGCCCGTCGCCACGTAGCTGCCGTTGGGGTGGAAGCGCACGACGTTCACGTCCGACACGTGGCCTGCGTAGACGCGCAGTGGGAAGGCGCGCTCGGGCACCCAGAGGCGGGCCGTGCGGTCGTGCGAGCCGCTGCAGAAGTACAGGCCCAGGGCGCTCACGTCCACGTCCCACACAGGGTACGCATGTCTGCGCAAAGGCACGAGGGCACCGGGGGAGGGGTGGGGGGCACAGGGCGGCGTTACGTAGAGGTGGAACGACGCATCGGGTACAGAGTCACGGCGAGAGCGAGGGGGTCGCGGAGCGAGCGAGGGGATCGTGGCGAATGTCATGGTTGTGGGAGGTAATCGGTGAGGGCATGAAGACATGAGGAGGAGGAGGAGGAGACTGTCGGTGCCGGCACGTACCCCTGGTAGACGGCGGTGTTGGTGAATGTGCGCGGGTCCCAGAAGCGCACGCTCGCGTCCTCGGAGCACGAAAGCAGCCCCGCACCGCCGGGCAGGAAGCGCACGGCGTAGACGGGACCGGAGTGGGCGCGCAGCGTCTTCACGTCGCTGCCTTTGCTGTCCTCAACCACCTGTTGTACGCACAGCGGCAAGCGTACGCGCACGGAGCAACATGTAAACACAAATAATCGATTCCAAACACAATTGATTAACACATAGAACCACATACACACAGAACAACAACCGCCATTCGCCACTGCGAGACGGTGACATCACTCGCCACAGTCGTCGTGCCAGGCTTGAGTGAAGTATGGAAGAATCGCTGAGAGGTCACGGGACAGACCCAGGAGTTATGGGTTAACTGCCAGAGATTATTGGCTGATGCACCACCTGTGCTCCCCACTGTCAGCTTTCTGTGTTAGCCACCTGGCACTCTGCTCATTGTTGTACGTGTGGCTCCCCTGTCCTTCAACTGCCCAGTAGCATCCTTCAAAAGCTTCCTTCACTGAGGCCAACCTTGACACCGCTGGTACCAGTCATCAGCAAGACCAGTCAGTTCCAAATCCTCCCATACCACATCAGTCCATCTCTTCTCAAGCCTGTGCTGCACTCATTTAGCCCCGTCCATCCAGCCAAACAGAAGCTGCTCACACTCACCCATCGCCACACATATACAGTCCCCACATACACACTCGCACAGATACATTCAGACAGTATTCCCTCGTGATTTGCGAGGGATACCTTTCAGAGGTGATCGTAAATAGCAAATTTCGCTGATAATAATATTGGCCAAATGAATTACCTTACATAAATAGATATAGGAGCTATTAAATACAAATATTGCTTCTAATGCAATCTAAGTTATATCTTGTACGTGCAAAGTCTGCAGATGCATCTAAAGCAGGGGTCGGGAACCTATGGCTCGCGAGCCAGATGTGGCTCTTTTGATGATTGCATATGGCTCGCAGATAAAACAAAATATTCTCACTTGTTTTAATCCATCCATCGATTTTTCACTGCGCATGTCCTGTTCAGGGCTGCAGGAGCAATTGTCCATTATTTTAATTGGATGATACTGGCCTACGTTTGCCGTTGCTGGGTAAAACAGGTAAACGCCCCCTTTTGAATCAGTCTGAGACTGCGTCTGCTCGGTCATTAGCTCAAAGCTAACCCTTCGACGAAGAAGATGGCGAAAAGAAAAAAAGACGACGAGTATCGTACATTTCAGGACGAATGGACCGAAGAATTCGCCTTTGTGGAGAGAGCGGGTTCTGCGGTGTGTCTAATTTGCAATGACAAAATTACATCGTTGAAACGGTCGAATGTAAAGCGGCACTTCGACACGCGCCACGCTACCTTTGCATCAAAATACCCTGCGGGAGACAGCAGAAAGAACGCGTGCCAAGAGCTTCTGAGCAGGGTGCAAGCTAGCCAGCAGCAACTCCGCGTATGGACCCGGCAAGGTGACTATAATTCGGCTAGCTTTGCTGGTTCTTTAGCAATAGTGAGGAACGGAAAACCATTCACAGATGGCGAGTATGCTAAAACGTTCATGCTGGATGTAGCCAATGAACTTTTTGATGATCTTCCGAACAAAGACAAGATAATCAAACGGATACAAGACATGCCTCTGTCGGCAAGAACTGTTCATGATCGTACCATCGTGATGGCAAACAAAGTGGAGGAAACGCAAGTGAAGGACATAAATGCAGCGCCGTTCTTTTCTCTGGCTTTGGATGAGTCAACAGACGTGAGCCATTTGTCGCAGTTCAGCGTGATTGCAAGATATGCTGTTGGTGACACACTGCGCGAAGAAAGTCTTGCTGTTCTGCCATTAAAAGGGTCCACAAGAGGTGAGGATTTATTCAAGTCTTTCATGGAGTTTGCTCAAGAAAAAAGTCTACCTATGGATAAACTTCTCTCAGTGTGTACTGATGGTGCTCCGTGTATGGTGGGGAAAAACAAAGGATTTGTGGCGCTTCTCCGTGAACATGAAAATAGACCCATCCTAAGTTTCCATTGCATTATACACCAGGAGGCACTTTGTGCTCAGATGTGTGACAGGCAGTTTGGCGAAGTGATGTCGCTGGTCATTCGTGTGATCAACTTTATTGTTGCCCGAGCCTTAAATGATCGCCAGTTTAAAACACTGCTGGATGAAGTTGTAAATAACTATCCTGGTCTGCTTTTGCACAGCAATGTGCGTTGGTTGTCAAGAGGGAAGGTGCTTAGCCGTTTTGCGGCTTGCCTGAACGAAATCCGGACTTTCCTTGAAATGAAAGGCGTCGGGCATCCTGAGCTAGCCGACACCGAGTGGCTCCTCAAGTTTTACTATCTCGTAGATCTGACTGAACATCTGAACCAGCTCAACGTGAAAATGCAAGGCATTGGAAATACAGTGTTATCCCTTCAACAAGCTGTATTTGCTTTTGAAAACAAGCTGGAGCTTTTCATCACAGATCTTGAAACAGGTCGTTTACTACATTTTGAAAAACTGAGCCAATTTAAAGATGCATGCACAGCAAGTGAGCCCATTCAAAACCTTGATCTCCACCAGCTAGCTGGCTGCACATCCAGTCTCCTACAGTCCTTCAAAGCATGCTTTGGAGAATTTCGTGAGCACACTCGTCTTTTTAAGTTCATCACCCATCCAAACGAGTGTTCACTGAACACAGCCGACCTGAATTACATCCCTGGTGTCTCCGTCAGAGATTTTGAAGCAGAAGTGGCTGACCTGAAGGCCTCAGACATGTGGGTGAATAAGTTCAAGTCACTGAATGAAGATTTGGAAAGAATCACACGACAGAAAGCGGAGTTGGCGAGCAAGCACATGTGGACAGAAATGAAAAAACTCCAACCCGAAGACCAGCTGATTCTCAAAACTTGGAACGCGCTTCCTGTCACATACCACACACTGCAGCGTGTGAGTATTGCTGTATTGACCATGTTTGGATCTACGTATGCATGTGAGCAGTCATTCTCACATCTTAAAAACATCAAGTCCAACCTACGATCACGATTAACGGATGAAAGCCTCAACGCTTGCATGAAGCTTAACCTCACCAAGTACCAACCCGACTACAAAGACATCAGCAAATCCATGCAGCACCAGAAGTCGCATTAATGGTGAGTGTTATAACAACATTATTTAAAAGAATAAATTCAGAGGCTTATTATACTGACATTTAGTTGAATTCACTTTTAAAATATATTATATGGCTCTCACTGAAATAAATTTCCAAATTTTTTGCTTTCATGGCTCTCTTAGTCAAAAAGGTTCCCGACCCCTGATCTAAAGCTTCGAGAAGTTCTATCTCTCTTATCTCTTTATCTTATCACTTTTTTTCTCTCTCTCTCTCGATGCAGTCGTGTCGAGTTCCAGATGCGATTCGTGGATAGTCAAAATCGCGGATAGCAAGTTATTAAATACCAATACCCGCCATTCGCCACAAAGTGACGGTAATGAAACCACAGCGCCTGTGCCAGGCCGTTCTTGAATAACAAACACAGACACACACACACACACGCACGTCCCACCTTGTCGTCCAGGATGTCGCAAGCGAGGTTGATGCGCGCCACGTCCACGTTGTGCCGTGCAGTGCGCAGCTTGCGCGGCCCCAGGCTCCACAACATCACCCGCGAGTCCTCGTAGCCGGCCGCCAGCATCCCCATCCCCGGCGCCACCTCGGCCGCGCACGGGGGCGCCGGCACAGACGGTCCGCCGCTGCCGCCGCCCACCGTTCCAGCACCGCCACAAACGCCACCGCCACCGCCGCCACCACCGGCGGTTCCCGCGGTAGCACTGACAAACGACGAGGAGGACGACGACGAGAATGACGAGGAGGAGGAGGAGGAAGTGGAAGGAGGTGGCGGGGCGGTGGCAGAAGCGGTAGCGGAGCCGGCAGTTGTGGTGGTGGAAGCAGTGGCGGCAGCGGCGGCAGAAGAAGCCGACGATCCCGGTTGTGGCGAAGTGGCGTTGGCGATCACGGGGCCACCTGCACCACCACCGACGCCGCTGTTACCGCTGCTGCCACCGACGCCGAGGCTGGAGGCGGTGGTAGAGGTGGCGGCCGCAGCAACGCCACTGGTCCCGCCGGCGCCGGACCCCGAGGCGGAGCCGGCGGGAGTGGTGGTGGAGGTGGTTCCGGGTGGCGTCGAGTCATCCTTGAAGCCGTAGAGGCAGACGGTGGCGGCGTTGAGCGGCCCCTCGCGCACGCGCCGGATGCTGTCCTGCAGCAGCTCCAGCGAGACCTCGTCCGGCGGGAGGGCGTTCATCTTCCCGAAAAAAAATGTATGCAACGTGATGAATCATCGCCGATAACATTCCAGATGTGTTTTGTCCCGTTCTTAATTAGATTCAACGACCCCTACAAGTGCTCAATAACCGCAGACAGGCATAACTCCCGTCATTCCTGGAGTGCGCCACATTGTACGTACAAAGGTTCAAATGTCTCCGAACCCAAATGTGCGTGAGATCGCACTCATTTTCATCGGTGTGCCTATTCCACATTCCCATGGCAAAGGCCAGTCTCTCACGAGAGTAATTTGATGCTTGTAACACGACTAACGGAAAAGGGCAAAAATGACGACGATGAAGCCGCCGATTCTACCCGCCCAACTCTTTGTACGGAACACCCCCAGAGCCTCACCTCGGGGTCACCGTCAGCCGTCAGCCCCCCTGCCGCTGCTGCCGATTCTCCGGCCCTGGCACTCGCACCGCCCCCCCCACTGCCGCCGGTGCCGTCGCTATAAAGCTCGAGCCCCGCCGCGGAGCTGCGCGCCTGGGCCCGCACGTCGAGCCGCAGGTGCGTGCTGACGGCGCGCAGCAGCAGGCCGTGCTCGCCCTGCAGCAGGTGACGCATCAGGCGGCCGTGCGCCACCACGCCCAGCTCCACGCACAGCTTGTGCTCCGTGAGCGTGCGCACGCACGTGTCCGAGCCCACGTCCTGTAGCAGCAGGAGCAGGGGCAAGGGCGGTCGCAGGATTAGGGGCGGCGGCGGCAGAAGTGGTGGCAGCAACAGCAGAAGCAGACGTAGGGATGTTAATAATAATGCCCTTATTTATCCACGAGAGCCTCACTGAGATTCAGTGAGGCTGGCCGCCTCCGTCTCCCCAGTGGCGATGTTTACACACCACACCATGTACTCATTTGTGGCCGAGTCGACTGGTTCAGATAATCGTCACCGATGCTGGCTCTGGGTGGGAATCGAACTCGGATAGTCGGGTTTCTAGCACAGCGTGCTCTCCGCTACACTGTCGCTCCCCATACACACGCACGTACACATATACACATAATACACTAAGTAATACCCCGGTTTTCGTCGAGGATGCGTTCCTGAAAGGTGCAACAAATATTGGAACGACGCAAAGTAAATTACAGGGTAGGTGATGGCGGAGGCCGAGGCGATGGAGACGAGAAGGATCGGATGATGCTGCCAGTCACGTGTGTGGGTTGAGGCGACACAAATCAGGTAGCGGTGTTAACAAAGTGACGACGTATTTTCGAAACGACATAAAAGGGGGAGACGCAAATCGGGGTATTACTGTACTCCCTTGCACTCATTCACACACGTACACGTACTTATAATCATGCAAGAATAAACAAAGATCTACCATGTAGCCTCAACAGACTGTTGGGGCAAGTGCTGTTAGCGAGTACCTATTAAGTCCGGAATGGAAACACAAAGGGGTGGGTGTGGGCAGCACCACGCCCGACCGCCTTTGTCTCCCCAGTGGCGATGTTTACACACCGCACCAGGTACTCATTTTAGGCTGAATCGACCGAGCAGATGCCTTGGAGAGACACACAAACCTGCCGCGAGAGCGCTGCACCCAGCCGCTCGGCCAGGAGCCGCTGCTCGTGAGTGTGGGCGACGGGCCCCACGTGGCGCCCGTGGAACGCCTCGGCGGCAGAGCGCCATCCGCCCAGCGCGAGCTCCACGCACAGCGCCAGCGAGAGGGCGCTCATCAACGTCTGCAGCTCCACGCGCTCCTCCCCGCGCAGCTCTGCTCCAGGACAACCGCACACGCAGCCACGTGCTTAGTGCTCCGCCGTCACGGGGTCCACCACGCACCGCACCGTTCCACACACTTTAACCAGTTGGAATCTGGTTAAAGTTCATGTATTTGATTAAATTGTAAAAGCTTTCTAACACTTAAAATGTATGTTTTGTTGTTGTGCAATTGCCTTTTACTTGTGTAACCGAGGTATCCCTTCTGACCCACTCCTACTGGACGTGTGTAAAAGAGCTTCATAGATCATCGGATTTCTCCAGGATAAATAATGATTCTCATTCTGACAAAGATATTCTCAGACTCATTGGGCTCTCACCTGGTTATAACTAAAGGAAACCAGTATATACCTACACACACTCTACATACACACACAAATTCTTAGCTCTTTCGGTAAAGTCACGTTGAAGGGAAACAATAAAATAATAAAATATATATAAAACAATAAAAATTCTCACGACGTTTCGACCATAACACAAACGGTCACACCTGATGACGACCGTTTGTGTTATGGTCGAAACGTCTTGAGATTTTTTTTTTTATATATATATTTTATTATTTTATTGTTTCCCTTCAACGTGACTTTACCGAAAGAGCTAAGAATATGAATTACTGCAGTCACGAAAGCTTTAAATCAAAATATACACACACAAACTAAATATACACTCACCATTGACAAATTGGCGTAGTGCGTTGAACTGGCGATCATAGTGTGAGGGGTTGGGCTCATAGACACCAAATGACACTGCGTTCATGGGCCCACTCTCGAGTTGGGCTGTTGATACACACACAAAGATTCCCAGATACAACCTAAACAGACTGTTGGGACAAGTGTTGTTAGCGAGCACCTGTGAAAGCCAGCACACCACACGAAGGGGTGAGTGGCTAACACCACGCCTGGCCACCTTTGTCTCCCGACTGGCGACTGGTTCAAATAATCGTCACTGGTGTTCACCGTGAAGCAGGAATCGAACTTGGGTCGCCGGGTTCGTAGCGCAGGCGCATTAGCTGCTGCATGACACAGAAACGCATGTATACACACATGGCAAGTGCACGTATGTATTGTAATAGCATGCACATACGATTCTGCATAAAGAATCACAAACATGCACAAAAGGACACATCGGGACACTGCTTAGCTTTTAAGAAAAACACGGAGGCAATAAAGTTAGACTGCGACAGAGGGATACAACCTATTTCCTACTGCCATCCTCTAATTTATTTAGGCTGCCAAATAATATCGTTCAACTACTACTAGAATCTTGCAGCAACCTAAAAATTGAAATATGTATTCAGTTTCAGTTTATTTATTTTGGTATAGCCCTGTGAGCCATTCGGCTCTTGAATCGGGTGCAACCACAACAAAAAAACAACTAAAACACGAACAAGAAAAACATCTTAAAGTGACTATGTGACTGTGCAAACAGAAAATCCATGAAAAAAAACAGCAAAATATTCCTGAAAAAAGCACCGTACACCAACGCTGTGTGCAAAAAATCCCAGTGGGATGCAAGTCAAACAACAGCAACAACCACAAGAAAACTTAGATTAAGGCCATCAGTCTAACTCCGTACTACAACAAAACAAACATGTCCAAACCAAAAAACTACATAAATAACATGTAACACCAGATCCTAGAGCCATAGCTGGCTGCATGAGTTACTCCACAACAACAGAAGCATCAGTCGGAGTATCACATTTTTCAATGCACCTTTAAGATCAGCACGCTATATCAAAATACAGATAATACTTTGCAGCGTCATCGGGAGCGAAACATTTTATTTTACGTCAATGAATAACAGTGGCAGCTAGAGGTGTACAACTCCTCTAGAGCAGTTTTGAGAGAATATCTCATTGGTAGCGATTCAAGTTGCAGTTTATTGGCAATAGCAATCCAGACCCTGGGGGCATCAATAGCAAAGGCCCTTCCTCCAGTTTTTGTACGGCAATAGGGAATGTGAAGCTGGTAAATGAGCGAAGACCTGAAGTCAAATTTGTTCTTTGAAACAGAGAGGAGATCCAGCAGGTAGTCTGCGGATTTTTTTCTAAGTACATCGTGAATAAATAAGATCTGGTGCACAAGCCGTCGAACATTAAGAGATGTTAAGTTTAACCCAATGTAGAGATCACAGTGGTGAGTCCTATATGGGCAGTTCAATGTAAATCTTAAGGCCGAGTGATAGATGGAATCAAGCTTCTTCAGTAAAGTACTTGGGGCTGATTTATACACGATGTCACAGTAGTCAAGTAGAGGCAGTATGGTAGCTTTTATCAATTCCAAACGGAACATTGGGGGGAAGCAGTGCTTGTGTCAATACAGAAAACCAATTTTTATTTTTGTCTTTTTACCAATGATAAGTTTGGCACCTGTGAATATCCGCACGTCGCACGCACGCGTACACACAGCTTTTGACAGCCACTAATCGATACCTGTCAACATATAGGGTTTACCCGTATTTTTGTACAGAGAAATTGAGTTTTTAGGTCCATACGGCGTACAGCCGTTTCAATACGGGCAAACATTTTTTTGGTCTATTTTCTTTATTTCTCTCTTGTGATAGGACTTTGTAGGATGAACTCTGAGATTTATAAGGGGGCACGGGGGTGACCAACAAATGTCTGAATTGGTCTATAATAAGGTAGGCACCGATAAGGGCTTGACAGGTATGCTTATTTCTCTGCCGCTAATGGGTCCGCCGCCGCACCTGCCATGCTGGCCGCCATCTCCTCGGCCGACTGAGAGCCCCGGAAGCTCTGCCGCTGAGCCAGCTCCGACTCGGTGTAGTGCCGCCGCTTGAGGAGTTGGTTGACGGCCGACTGGAGCTGCTCGCTCCGCACGCGCTTCATGGCGCAAAGCGGCCGCGCGCCGTCACGTGGGCGTACGGCTCATGCGACCTAAAACGTCGCGGTATAGCAGAACAAGAGAGTATCAGAATCGGAATATTAATTTGTACCGGAGGAATGCGATGAGCTATGAAGCTCTTTTTCACAGACCGTCCTAGTAGTTTTTTTTACAGATATCTAGCAGTATGATAAACACGAGCCGTCATTGGCATTACTATTTGGCTCTTTCGGTGAAGTCACGTAGTAAGAAATTAAATAATAATAGAATACGACGTTTCGATTGCAACACAAGCAACCATCATCAGGTACAAATGAATGTGAAAACAAACCTAAACTTGGAAATATAATGCAATACAACACAGAGAGTCGGCCAACACAAGTCAACACCCCACCTGGTTGATTATATTCTCCAAAGATTGCTAAATTTGAGAGAGAGACAAGACAGACACGGAGACACACACACAAGCAGAGAGAGACACACACATAGGCACACAGAAAGACAACGTCTATGTGTCCAGGCCTATTAACAAGTTTTATTCAATTAAAATATTGATTCAAGCGGTTCTAAATATTGGTTCAGTAATATTTTGAACCCGACTATTGTGCTTGTTAAGCGAAGTTTGCTACAGTTGTATAACAATCATAGCTGTGATCCTGGCCGTAGTGTTCGTCCCACGAAGACAAACAAAATGTAGAAGAAATTCCACCGCTGGCTTAGTTCGAGATTCCAAAAGGGATGTTCACTACAACCCTCGGTGGTAGCTTCAGCAGGGAGACACTTTGAGGGCATTTCACTCCGGACAAATTAGCTCAGAGGGCCACAGAGGGGCGGCACTTTGCCTTAAGGCCTCAGATCCAAGGGGGGGGGGGGGCTCCTAAAAGACAAAGGGGGCCTTCCGAGGGGGGCCTATGACTGGATCTGTTTATCTCCGTCCTCCACAAAGCACTTCGGCGATCCTTATCCACAACGCGTCTCGCTGCTCTCCTCGGCTAGCATTCCCCGAGTCAACGGTGTTAAGTTCCACATTTCCAGGGCAAGTACCAGTCTATCCACGGGACACATACCCGACCTGTAAACCCCTTATCAGTACCTACCTTATTACAGACCAATTCAGAACTTATTGGTCACCCCGTGCCCTTATAAATCCCAACGTTCATCCTACAAAGTCCCATCACAAGGGAGAAACACAAACAAATAGACCAATACAAATGTTTGTGCCCGTAATGAAACGGCTGGTCGCCGCATGGACCTGAAAACTCAATTCCCCTGTACAAGAACACGGGGTAAACTGTACGGGTTGACGGCTGTGCATAAACGACGTGATAATTTAATTGTGTTATTTTATTTTATTCTCATTCTACGTGACTTTACCGAAAGAACCAAAGAAGAAAACGACTCTTTGAAAGCCAAATCAACAAAGCAACAATTGGTGTGTTCACGACGAACTCGTAAGACGCACACCCGGGTGCGCATCGTCGCTGACGGTGCCAGAGACCGGAAAAATCCACATTCCTATGGTAGGGGGATCGTACAGCACGATCAGTGATGTCAATTGTTACAAGAACAGGCGTTTGGTCTTGAACAAATGAAAGAGGAGTTTCGATGCGTTAAAAATGTGTTGACTTATCAAGCAGCAAAATGAGACGGGTTACGGGCAAAGCAAGACGATGTTTCGTTGACAGAAAAATATATCGGACCGTGTTCCACCAAGTAAACAAAGCGCGACTCGGTCCGTTTAAGTGTCTGCGCGTTTGATAATTAAAGCTCGCTAATTGAAGCGCCCTTTTAACAAAACGTAAAAATATTATACAGACCGCGGCCTAGCTAGTCGAGGCGCTCATCCCGCGCGAGAAGCGATGCAGAGCGGTGTAAGGAATTGTTAAACACATTAACCAGCCTACTGTGTGTAGCGTTGCGTCTACAACGACAGGCAGCGAACGTCCGACGAAATGTCGCGTTGTTGTTTAAACTAAAAGGGAATTTACAAATTTTAATTCATTGCAGAGTGAACGGCAGGCGCGCGGGGGTGCCCTGTCCGTCCCCATCGAGCCTCTGGAAACGCGCGCGGGGCGCTTTTAGATTCCGCTTGGTTTTGTTCCGGCTGTTAAAACAGCAATAATAATACATTTTCATTATGAGACCTCCTTTGCCAGTAACAAGATATAGTAATAGGTTTTACCCTTTTAACTGGCACAAAAAACTGACACCTTTATTCAAGGCATCATGTCTGCAATAACCACAACACAAGACGCCTTTTGGCGTCTTTTGTGTCAGTTTTTTGTGCCAGTTAAAAGGGTAAAACCTATTACTATAATACATTTTATTTGTGAGCACTTTTCTGAATACTCAAAGACACTTTACATAAAATCATAAAAGCAGCAAAAACAACATCAAATGGTAAAAACACCAAAAACACATCAAACTTAGCTAAACATTAAAAACAATTTTAAAAAAGGTGAGTTTTAGTCAATGTAGCACGCATACAAATACCATGAATATAATCTTCTTTGGTTCTTTCGGTAAAGTCACGTAGAATGATAATAAAATAATAAATTGATAAAATAAAATAACACAATAATATTCTCACGACGTTTCGGCCACAACACAAGCGGCCTTCATCAGACTGTCTGGTAGGACAGCGCTGTCCTACCAGACAGTCTCGGCCCCTTCACCTGATGAAGGCCGCTTGTGTTGTGGCCGAAACGTCGTGAGAATATTATTGTGTTATTTTATTTTATGAATTTATTATTTTATTATCATTCTACGTGACTTTACCGAAAGAACCAAAGAAGATGAATCATTGCAGTCACGAACGCTTTAAATCGAAACCATGAATATAAATTTTGATTTAAAGCTTTCGTGACTGCAGGGATTCATATTCTTGGTTCTTTCGGTAAAGTCACGCAGAAGGTAAATAATAAAATGATAATTTTATTATGTTTTATTTTTATTATTTTATTATTTCCCTTCTACGTGACTTTACCGAAAGAACCAAGAAGATAGTTTTATTTTACCAGGTAAGGCTCACTGAGCTATATAGCTCTTTTTCAGAAACGACCTGCCTATCGCAAATGATAGCTCAATGAAGTTGCTTATTACGCGGACATTTCTAGCAGCCGCAAGCTCTAAACGCGTGATGTTGATTCTAAATGTGGAGGGAACACCTGGAGGACCTGGAGAAAAATCCACGTGACCACGGGGAGAGAGACACGCAAACTCCAAATATGCAGGCGTCAGGGTTGGGATCGAACCCACGACCTCCTGAGATAGTTAATATGTCGTCACCGTGGTATTGAAGCCACCACAGCATAGGGCCTTCTTTCTGATGGATCCCACAATGGCTGTGCAGGACCACTCTCATATTTTGTGGTGTTCACACCTGATGATGATTGCTTGTGTTGCAGTCGAAACGTCGTGAGAATTTTATTGTTTTCTATTTTTATTATTTTATTGTTTCCCTTCTACGTGACTTTACCGAAAGAACCAATAATACCATGAATACAGTTACAATAATAATTGTTATCTCAATACAGAACAGTCACACGTGTACTAATACCATAAATATAATTACAATAATAATATTTTTACATTACACAACAGTAACACGCAGACTAATACCACGAATATACTAATTATTATTTACTACACAACAGTAGCACGCATAACATATACTATTAATATAGTTTAACACGTAGGCTTTCGCGTGAGGACTATGATAATAAAATCAAAGATTTAATCTATGAAGGTACCTACCTTGAAATTAAACGAGACCCAACCAGCACCTTGGAACGAAAAACAACAGCAATCATTGCCAAGTCATCAATTCCCAAGGAAGAGCAATACCTGATCAAACCATAGGCATCAAAACCACCAAGACTTTATGGGCTACCAAAAATTCACAAACCTGATGTCCCATTAAGACCCATCGTTAGTACAATAGGCTCTGCCACGTACAAATGAGCACAATACGTAACGAAACAAATACAGCCCTACATCGGTAGGATCTCTTCGTACATCAAAAACTCTGAACATCTCGTAAATATGATTAAAGACATTAAGCTTAACCCTAATGATATTCTCGTAAGTTTTGATGTGACCTCTCTGTTCACGAGGGTTCCGGTGAATGAGTCAATTCAATTACTCGACCCTCTGGTAGCGAACAAAGGTTTAGCCAAAGATATCCCAAGACTCGCTGAACACTGTCTAAAGAACACCTACTTCTTGCGGCAAGGTGACTTCTATAAACAAAAGGAAGGAGCAACAATGGGCTCTCCTTTGTCATTACGAATTTGTACATGGAAGATTTTGATACAAAAGCAATAGCTTCAAGCACACTAGTTCTACCTGATGACGACTGCTTGTGTTGCAATTAAAACGTCGTATCTATTATTTAATTAATTTTCTTCCTACGTTACTTTACCGAAAGAACCAAAGAGTAATTCCTGCAGTCACGAAAGCTTCAAATCAAATTTATTCAAACTGGTCTACCCCTCTGTCTCTCTCTCTCTCGCTCACACACACACCTTTCTGGATTATAAGACGCATGCTCATTATTTGCTCACAAAGTTTGGGCAAAGGAGCGGGGTTTAACGTTAGCACTGGCCTCTCCGATGAAGGACGGTGCTGTTATCGGTACGATTATTCGACTAATCGGATAACACGTAAACTAGAGGCGTGTCACACTTCACGAGCGAGATGCGTTCCGCGAAAATTGCTCGGTAAGCGAACAGGAACGTTAAGCGCTCATCGTTTCCCCATAGACTCACTCCCATTGTGTAGAAAGCATTACTGCGTCGTTTTAAAGTAAAGTAAAAAAAACCCATCAAAGTTAACACTTACTACACATGAAGAAACCAGTGAAAGATCCCCCCCTCACCCCCACAGAGGATCATGTTGACAGGGGTCTGCAACTTGCGGCTCTTTTATCGATTGGTTTCCGCTCGCTAAGCGAACATTTTTTTAAATCTCATTTTGCGAGCAAATTGTGGCTAAATTACGTTTGCTCGTTGTAGCGAATTCTCGTAGCAAAAGAACGCTCGTTAAGCGAGTCACTCCTGCAGTTAAAAACAAAGAAAAGTCTCAAGCTGCGTCCATGTGTGCTACTGGACGGGAGATGATGGCTGGGGCTTGGGTACATAAACCTACACTTTTTGTTTTACCAGATAAGCCCCACTGACGTATATAGCTCTTTTTCAGAAGCCACAAATGATAGCTCAACGAAGTGGCTTATCACGCGGAAAGTTATAACAGACAAATACGCATGTTGATTCTAAATACGGAGGGCAAAACCGGAGTACTCGGAGAAAAATCAACACGACGAGAGACACGCAAACTCCAAATATACACGAGTTAGGGTCGGGATTGAACCCACGACCTCCTGAATACCAGGCGAGACAGTTAACAGTTGGCCACGACGGTGCCGTATCATTGACATCGTCATGCTGGGCGTAAACTTGTGGAGGGTTTCCTGCCATCAGGATGCAGGATAATTGAATCATTTGGCGGGACCCCGGGGTCCCGTAAAAATCAGGTCAATAATAATTATTATTTTTCAGTCCGCCCACTACGTGACCCCGACAGCAACGCGCCGCCCGCCCAGACTCGCACCAACAAGCGCCAGCAGAAGCAGGCGGCGATCGACACGATGGGCGCCACCCCACCGGGCTAACGCGAGCCCCGGGGGGCGTCCGCCGCAGTCGCGCGCGGCCACGACGACGCCCTCCGGTCAGCCGTCGATCCTCAGCTTCTTTGCCAAGGCGAGCCCCACCGCCCCCCCCCCCCCCCCCAGGGCAGTGAATTTAACGTGTTTATGTAATTTTTTTAACTTTTTACCAAACTTAGTGCCCCGAGTAGCTCTCGACGAGGCCAATCGATTGACCCACTAGAGTTTTGTTGTCGGTAAGGCAAGACTCGTGTCGCGACGCGGTTTTTCCCACCCCGGGGCAGTGATGGGCCCCCTGGGACCCGCCAATTGCTGCAATGGTATATTTTTGGAATGGCCCTGAGTACGGTAATCGCCTGCAAAACGCAACGATTGTTTTTGGTCAATTAAGCGGCTGTATCGATAAATCTGAGCAGTTCTAATTTTATCTCAACTGAAATGTAACAGCTTACCTATATTCATTCAGCTTGTATACATCGATTATTAATACGGATCATTCGATGTATGTGTCGTGAGCATATGAACAGATTTGACTTGATGGACGAATACATATTTACATGCTGAGTATAGGATGCCTATACAGCGACAATAGTCTGTTACATTTACAAAACCAGTGCCGTGGGGTAATTATCATTAGCCCACTGGACTTCTAGTGCAGAGGTCGTTGGTTCAATCTCTCGGCGCCGCAGTTGAAACGATGGTGCAGAGCTCTTCAACCCCCACCCTGCTTCTGTCCATTCAGCCGTGTACACAGTTGTTCAATCAGCAGGCATGGTGGGGTAAAGTGTGGGTACTCTCCCAACTCTTCCAAGACGTCTGATCAGCGTGCAAAAGTAGACCAAAATAGCTAATTTGAGTTCTCTAGAGCTCCTTTCGAGCAGAGGCCCTTCTGTTGTGCCTTTGCTATTCATCTACTAAGAGCCCACAGGGTCACAAAAAATCTAATGACCTACTCAAACCAGACGAGTCTGTCCATGCTACCAAGTCCCACTTCAGGGGTCCCCGATTGGTGGAATCTCTATCGGTAAAATGGTCCCCTCCACACGTCAATGATTGTTAAGGACACAGAAACTATACGAGTAATAAAAGACACCACACCATTTGTTCTTACAATGTAAAAATCATTTACTACAAAAGTTAAGCACGTGAAGATAACGACAACTCATTTGACTTTCATGACAAGCCGAATTATTAACAGGGTACAACATTGAGCAGCATCAAAATGAGTGGGCTCATGGTAAATGTGCACCCTATATGCCTGCTTAACAAACCTTCTACTCAAGTGCAGCTGTTCGTGCACTATCATTTTTGTTGTACTTTACAATGAAGAAAGGTGTGCAATCCTGTACCACAAATGTTACATGAACGTCTCAATTCAGCTGTTATGAGGCCTGATCTGTTCACGTTAAACGGAATTACAAATGAAAAACTGAACAAAGATATTGTATTTTACCGGTTTTAGTTCATAACAAACAGCAGGGTCCATTTATCCAGAGAATCCTCACTTTTACAAGAGAATCCTTACTTTGCAGATTTTAAAATGATCGTTCGGTTCTTTCTGTGCGCAGAGAAAACCCACACGCGCGCACGAGGCGACAGCGGTCAGATCCCGCCGTATGCCTCAACCCATCAGAAAGCTTGCCGCAACTTCTTGCAGGTGATTTGGTGATGCTGCGTTGGCAGTGCTGCACAAGAACGATTACAAAAAAACTCACCGCATCCGCCAATAACACCAATAGTCGTGAAAAGAAAAAATATATAAGCAGGTGATGTGCTGGGCAAATGGGGCTTCTTCATGACACAATGAAGGTGTGCAATGAAAATGTCCATTTGCCGAAAACATTGCCTTTGTAAAGCTTATATATTGTTTTATTTCTTGTCGATGAATATCTTTGAGCAAAAACCTCACTCCCCAGCTGGCCAGCGTTTCACACACCGTACACATTCGTCACTCTTCAAGCCACCGACCCTGCCTCATACTCCCTGGATTACCCTTTGACCTGGTTGGCACCATGATTAAGAGCTGTGATAACACCTTGCAGGAGGTCTCCAATCGATCCAGCCCATCATCTCTCCAAGTTTAATAAATGAGTACCACTTTGAGGGAAGTAAAGAGTATTTCACTTATGAGGAGACTATCCTTCTATACCATGGGAACATGGAATTTCGAGTCCAGGGCCACCAAAGCAGACAAACATTGCCCATTTGAGCATGGAGCGCAGCACAAATGAGCAAGTGTTGTCTGAAATGTCAAATGACTCTTTGGAAGGCGACAGATGCACTCACTACCTTGCTCATCTCGTCAAGGAGCATAAACCATCACGCAAACTCCGCTCACTCGCAACGGCTTTTGGCTGGCCATCGGACAAAGACGGTCACTGCATCGCATGCTTTCAGAAGCGTTCCGCAGCCGTCTGTGGAGTGCTCTTCCTTCCGATATTAGGAAGGTAATGGGAACTGTGCACTTTTAAATCTAGTTTGAAAACGAATTTCTTTAGAACTTCTTTTTGTGTTTAGTTTGTTGTCCTTCCCCCGCACCTCTGATTCGCGTGGTTGGCTCCGTACGGTGTGAAAGAAGTTCAACCCCTCCTGCTCGTTTCCCTTCTCATCCCTCTCCCACCCACACTTAGCTCTCCTGCTGCCCTGTCCCCTCTTGTGCCTCCACAGATTCGCCCTCTTGGTCCCCCCGCCTCTCCACCAGCCCCTCCGCCGTATCCATGGTCTCTGTATCCGTGACGATGGCTTCCCCGGCAACAGCTTCTTTAGCAACGACTGCCATGGCAATTGCATCCTCGGCAACGGATTCCTTGACAACTGTTGTCTCAGTGACATCTCGCTTGGCAACCTTTGTCGCGGCGACATCTTCCTTGGCGTCTGTTGTCTCAGCTACGGCTTCCTTAGCAACCGTCTCAGCGATACATTCCTTGACAGCTGCTGCCTCGGTAACAGATTCCTTGGAAGCAGTTGTCTCAGCAACGGCTTCTTTGGCGGCTGCTGACTCAGCAACCGCTTCCTTGAAAAGTGTTGTCTCAGTAGAAATTGCCTTCTCTGCCTTCTTCACTATTTCCTTGCCATCCGTTACCTCGGCAACCGCGTCTTTAGTAACGGCTCCATCAGCACCTTTTGCCTTCACAACCGCCTCTTTGGCAACTGCGGTTTCATCCGCCTCGTCCTCGCTGCCATCGCTGTCGCTGTCCCTCCCCGGATGTTCCGGCATCTTCTTATGCTTCTCCTCCTTATCACCATCACCGTCACCATCCTCTTTACTATCCGTGGCAGCCGCCTCACTCGTATCCATGGGTTCTACATCCCCGGAAACAGCGCTGGGCGTTTCCGTGGTTAAAGCTGCTGCGGAGTCAGTTTCCATGGCATCGGTGGTTCCCGTGGCTTCCCCGTCCGATCCATCCTTGGCGGTGTCTTCCTTCGCTTGCTGTACAGGAGGCTGGGCTTGGACCCTGGACCTGGGTGGCTGAGCGAGAGGCTGGAACAACAGAACATCGTTCATTCATTCATTTGAATGTGAATTCCTCGAGTGAAGAAGCACAATGAAGGAAAGTGACGGACGTGTAAACCGTGCGACGAAGTGTGATGAAGAAGCGTGGGGTAAATGCTGGATGAAGAAGCGTGGGGTAAATGCTGGATGAAGTAACGTGGCGTGAAAGTACTGTGACGAATGAAGCGCCATGTTGAAACACGGTGGTGTAGTGTGATGAACTGGGAAAAGACTGCTGAAGATGCACGTTGAATACCGATTAAGGGATAACATGCGAGGAAGCGCTGAAGCGTTAAAGCGCTCACAGAGGTGAGCATCAGTAAGCGCTATATAAATCTAGATTATTATTCTTGATGTTGCGTGGTGAGGAGGCACAAAGACACTGTGATGAATCGTAATGCAGAAGCATTCGGAAGGGCGGTAAAGCGTGGAGAAGGCACGTGCGCTGGGAAAACGTGCAAAAGCCTGCGAGAAAAACCGTACAGCTCCCGATAAAACGTGACGGGGAAGTCTTATGCAGCGTGATGGAGAAGCACGAAGACAAGGAATGAAAACCAAGAACCAAGACGAAGACACAATGAGGTGTGATGAGAGGATTCAGGAAGTAGGTAAGCATAGCGCAAGTGGAGTAAAACCTCGACATGGGGCATGTATGTACGTATGTTGAACTTCTTTTGCACCGTACGTAGCCAACCATGCGAAGTGGAGGTGCGGGGGAAGGACAACAAACTAAATACAAAGGTGAGGGGGCGGCCAGGATAAAAAAACAGATAATGTTAACCACTAGAATGGGTGAAGTCGTACAATGTGTCGTCTATTTTTAGAATGTTTTAAATTAATTGCCGATGGACGGCGTGTTTGCGGTCACGTGGGCACCCGAGTCACGCAAGTCGGCCGGAAGCGGCGTGACGGGCCGCGATTGACAATTCTGACAATAAACGAGAATTACGATGCTGGATCACGAGCGCACGTGCGACGCACGATAAATACCAATACAGAAACGTATAACGCGCACCCCTTTTCGTTTTAGATTCAGACACATGGGGGAAACCAGGGGAGGAGCCGAAAGGCAGCCCCGACCCAGCGCCAACAATTGCCCAAGCTCTGGAACCTAAACCACCAGTTTGTCCAACTCCGGAAATTAATGAATGGTGAAAATACGGAGCAGGATGAAGAAGCGCCATGAAGGCGGAGGACGGTGACAAAGAAGCGGGACCCTGGTGGAGGTGCAGCGCTGCTACGGGAGGAGGCATCACCTGGTAGTATTGCTGGTAGTGCTGCAGGACCCGGAAGTACATGTTGTACACGAAGGTGGCCATCTCCGGCATGTCCTTGACTATGAGCGGCGGACAGCGTGCCGCCTCGCCGTTCTGCAATGCGCACGGCGCGGCGGTGAGCGCGCACGACGATCGCCCCATTGAAATCAGCGCGTGGTTAAAATCGCGGTAGAAGCACCCTCCCCCCCTTATCACATGGTAACCGTTGTTACTGGGAGAAAACAAGACAAACTTTGTTAGTTTATTTTGGGTTCTGTTCGGTTACGTAATTCTTCCCCCTCTCCCCTTTCTCCTATTCTCATTCTCTCCCCCCCCCTCCCCACCCCCTTATAGTTCACTGTTCCCGATCGTTACCTCTACCGCGGTAGGGCAGTGACCCCGGACACCCTCGTTCGTTTCATAATTTCGAGGGTGCGTTACGCCCTGGCATGTAAGGCGTGATCTTTTGTTTTTCCCTTCTTTTGAAATTCCCATTTGTTATTTTGGGTTCTTTAACGACAATTAAAAACAAAAAAAAATGCTTGCAGAAATATTTATCTCGGAGAAGCAAACTGAGCACGCACGGCCAAAAGCTCGCTCACAATAACAACGGTGACATACAGCGGCGGGGCGCGTGCATACCGGCCGCTGAGTCGGGCAGCTCTCGTCCGGGTACAGGTGCAGCTGGAGCGGCCGTGCCGTGAGCTGGTCGAAGGCCGGCGTCAGCTCGAAGCAGTTGCGGAAGAGCGACGCCCGGGCGAAGACGTAGAGGCCGAGGCGGGCACGCGACATCGCCACCACCAGACGGCGCACATCCCTGCAGCCGTGAGGTGGCACGGCGCACACCGTTCACGTCAACGCTCAGTAAATGTCCGCTGCTTATAAACAGGGTGGCGGACGACCGATTGGATTACTCGGCACTGCTGTGCGGTGGGAGATGCCGGCAAATCGAGACGTGTTATGCAGTGTTGCGTGAACGCAAATGAAGTCGGCCCATGTTAAGGCAGTCTTTGTGCATAAGTGGCACGTGCACAATGTTTCTCTGTGTGTTTCTCTCCTTATCACTCCCTGTCTGTCCCTGCATCTCGTCATCTGCACAACTCCATGTTTCTGTATTTCTATCTTTCTATTTCTGCATCTCTCTGTCTGTCTCTCTCCATGGCTATGTGCCCTTCTCTAAGTCTCTTTCTGTGTCTGTCTCTCTCGATGACCACTGCACCCCACATCTCCCGTGTCTCTTCGGCTAAGTGCAGGGTCCCCTTTCCCCCCCATCGGCACAGGGCGCTATTTGAGCGTCGAGAGTGCTCTGCTCACATCCTTACACGCAAGACAACACGCAAGACAACACGAAGCCGCCTGCGTTCAACGCTTCCCGTTACACGTTCAATGGAGAGACTGCATTCTCACATGCACATTGGCAAGATATTAACTACCTTGCCTGGTAAACAGGTCGTGGGTTCAATCACGACCTGACGCCTGTGTCTTTGGAGTTTGCATGTTCTCCCCGTGGTCACGTGGAGTGTTCTGCAGGTCCTCCGGTTTTTCCCTCCACATTTAGAAAACATGCGTTTATAGTATTTGGCTGTTATAAATTTCCACACGATAAGCCACTTCATTGAGCTAGCGTTTGTGGCCATGTGGCTTCTGAAAAAGAGCTTCATAGCTCAGTGGGCCTGACCTGGTAAAATAAAAAAAAATAGTTCAGTTTAGTTTTGATAACACATGAGATGCCTGGGCTGGCAAAGTGCTGGGTTTAACGATAAGGTGCAAGGATGCGGTTATGAGAATCTCACCTCAGGTGACCCACTGCTTTGGTCCTGACCAAAGAAAGAATGATGTAGTCGTTCTGCTGACCCTGGAATCTGTCCACGGTCGTCACCTGCAGCGCGCAAATGTACAACAGGGACATGGTTACAGACAGCATCTCAAAAAGCACGCCTATAAGTAACACACAGTCCATGATGAGAAAGAGTCTTGAGATGCACTGGTGCATTTCAAAATAAATAAATATATGTATTGTCAGTCTAGTTCCCTTAAACCACAATGGTATATCATTTACTTTATAGTCGGTACAAATGGTAAATAATAAGATTTTTAGCCACGCGATGGGATGAACGCAACTATTTTAAATCTTAACAATTTATCTTTAAACGAAAACTCACTGTGCGGCAACCGCACCGCCAATTGCCATCGATGGTTTGAAATGTCGACAGAGGAGGGCACGGGCGCTCGGTAGCGGGAGAGAGGGGCGGCGGTGCAGAGGGACGGGGGGCCCCCCCTGGTGGGACCCCAGAAGGGGCGGGGGCGGGGGTGGTGGTGGGGGGGGCTGTTCCGGCACCTTGCTGGGGCAGCCGAAGAGTGGGTTCTCTCCACAGCGCTGGTTGACGACGTCACGGATCAGGTGCTTCTGCCCATTGTACGTTGTGAGGATGCTGATCCTGTCGGCCGGGTACCCGAGCAGGCGCATGTACATGAAGAGCGCCACCGCGTACTCTGCCTCCGCCAGGTTCTGTGCGGTGAGCACGAGCACGCGCACGCTTAAGCACAACAACGGCAAAGACAACGGCGGCCCTGGCAAACCGATGTTCGCCACCTAGTGACGGTGACGTCCGCACAGAGCTTGTGCCAGCGATAGGCGCGTTTGATACAGTGAGAAGATACCAGAGGCTCGCTGTGAGGTTCCGACACAAGCCCAGACGTAATGAGTTAAAAGACTGACATGGCCGGCAGGTGGCACCAACAGTGCTCAGTGGAAATTAATGTCATTTCAATCGCGCTCCATGGCGGTGGATTTGACTTCAACAGAGCTCCGTGGGTGTGCACGGCGATAGCTTCCACAGGAGGAATTCTCCACATCAATTTTGTCTGTCGCCTGATGAGGCTGGTTGTTGTAATTATCGGCGAAACGTCGCACTCGAATTGCAAACGTTGTGGGTTTACTCTCCAACACACACCGGTGTGCTGAAGTAGTAACTAATTGGCACGTTTCGTTTACGTGACAAACCTTACTAATTGGCCGCGTCGGCTTGCGGCGGAATCAACGACACATTTTATATTTTCGCGATTGAACACAAAAAAATTATCTATTATGGATTACCACTGCTCGCGAAAGCCTACTACTACTACTACGTGTTAAACCAGCTTCGACATAGCTCTACGGCGGCGGTGAGGGGACAGCGGCCAGTGCGGTGTAACCGCGGACTTCCCCCCGCACAGCGCCCACCTGGTAGAAGTACGGGTTGGGCTCGGACTCGCCCACGCCGTTGAAGTCCTCGACATTGACGAGCTGGAAGTCGTAGCAGAGGCCCGCGTTGGCGAAACGGAACTCGGGCAGCAGCTGCACGTGAGGCAGATTTCCCAGCCGCTTGTAGCGCCAGTTGTACAGGTTGCACAGGCTGTGAATGCACGCACACAGGACGTTACGCATCAGCGACGTATCTGCGTGTGAGGAACACGGGCTAGAGAAGTGGTGGGCTGATGAGTGAGTGGGTGGGTGTGTGGACGAGTGTGTGAGTTGGGGATCGGTAGTGCAGCGGTTAGCGCTCTGCGCTACAAACCCGGTGACCCGAGTTCGATTCCTGCTCACAGCCAACACCAGTGATGATTTTATGAATCAGTCCTGTGCCTACCATAGGTCGACTCAGCCTCAAATGAGTACTTGGTGCTGGCCACCCACCCCCTCGTGTGCTGTGCCAGCCTTAATAGGTGCTCGCTAACAGCACTTGCCCCAACAGTCTGTTAAGGTTGTACGGGGATCTTTGTCTTTGTTTGTGCACGTGCGCAAATACAAAGACAAGGTGGTGGTGGCGTGGTTTGTGCACTGCGCTAGGAACCCGGCCACAAGAGTGCGCACGAGCTGATTGCCATCAGCGACAAATATCTGAAACGGTCCTGGGGCTTCCCGAGGTCAACACAGCCTGAAATGAGTATTTGGTGCGGTGTTTAAAAATGAACACTGGGGAGACAAAGGCGGTTGAGTGAGGTTCTGGCCACACCACCCTCTCGTGCACCTGTGTCGCCAATTATTGGTGCTAGCTAACGGCACTTACTCCAAAAGTCTGTGCAGGCTACACGGGGGATCTTTGTCTCTGTGCACACATGCACCACTGTGCATCACCATGCCCGTGTCTGCGGGAAGCGATGGGGTCGTGGTAACCCCTCTGCGCCAGTGAGCCGGCGACCCGGGTTCGTCGATTTCTGTATCACAACTTAAAATGAGCGGCGAGTGACATCAAAACCCGTCCTGGACCGCCCGCCCCTTAGGTCAACTCAATCTTAAAATACGCATCAGATGCCTAATCTCTCTCTTTCGCCTCTCGTTGCGTAGCCGCTGGGCGCATCTCACCTGGAGCGCGCTCTGCCCTGGGCGTCCAGGTCCACGGTGGGCACGCCGAGGCGCACGAAGCGCGTGAAGAGCGACTGCTCCATGTTCGAGTACTTCTGGAAGGCCATGTTTTTGATGACGGGCGGCAGCTGGTGGTGGTCGCCGATCATGATCCAGCGCTTGAGGCGGCTGAATCCGTCCTGAGGGTTCTGTGGGCACGAGTAGTCGCGCATCACTTCTCCTTCTCCCGTGCGGGTGGGCGATGCGCAAACGGGGGACCCGGCGTCCGTCCGTCTGGGTGCATCGCGTCGTGTCCTGTGCCGTGGTTCGAACCATCGCTTCGTTTCGGCTCGCCACGTCCCGATCGACGACTCGGGGAAAACATTTCTGCGCCCGACACCAGGTCCGGTGTACCTCTTGGCTACGGCTGTGGCCACTGGTCAGTCGCCTACTTCAATTTACCAGTGACCAAGAAAACACTCGGTGAGAAATAAAGCCCTGTCAGAATGTGATGCCATACCACACGTGGCTGTGTTACAAGATGCTACAAGCGTGTGGCGTACCGTGCATTCAGTGTTTGTGTTCGCGTTTAGTATTGTGCAAGTTTTTTTTTTTCTTTCTGCGAACTCTGGTTTGTCTCCCAAACGCAAAAAAATTCAAAAAAACATATTTGAGTACCGTAGCAGCACTGGCCAAAGACTCCAGCAGGATTCTCCTAAAGCAGAAACTTACATTCTTCGTGAAGCGCTCTGTGTTATAATACCTGGTCCTACTCTGGACTCCAGCCAGGCGGTGCTGGGGTGAGAGCACTGGCCGTGGATTGACTCATCCATCATCAATCCGGGCTAATCAGGGCTTGAGTAAATTACATTAATATATATACACACACACATACATTTACCGAGTCTTAAAAATCATTATCAGGATGAACCTGCTTTGAGGTGTCTGTCCAATTCTCCTCTGGAATTACGTTTTTAAATTTGCACGTGCAGGAAGAAACCACAGTAAATGGAAAAATCCCATGCGCTCGAACATTCAAAAACATCCGCCACGCTCGCGTCCTACTTACTGTACTGCCTCCTACGAGCACCGGCTCCTTACCTGCAGGAGCAGGGGGATGAATGTCTCAATTTCCAAGATCTGTGCCGCCTCTTCCATGAGGATGTTGTCATACTGTAAAAAAAGACCCAGGGACATGATAAATCCACGGTAAATAATGCCACAGTTTTTGGCTCAACAGAACCACATCCTATTGCGTTTCATTGTCAAAGCCGTGTAAAAATCTACGACTAGTTTGGCATTTGAAATCGGCTTGACCTCACAATCGTCGTTCCCAGCCACAGGACTGAGTGTCACCACAAATGAGATGAAAGTAACGTTCCAGCTCTTCGGCAATGCACTTCTGGATGAAGGCAACCCCCCCACCCAAAGCTGTGATGGTCACGGGAGTTTTACAACCATACTGGATCACATTGGTTCATGAAGGGTTGGTGAATGGAAGGCGGAAGACCGGTTCAGATACCGCTCGCCACTGATATTAGCCGTGACCAGGAATCAAACTCGGGCCGCCGGGTTGATAAGAGCAGTGCGCCTCCGATTAGCACAGTTGGCTACGTAGGGTGCGAAAGAAGTTCATCGTACATAAATACAGCGGTGTGCTTATCACTTTATCAACTTCGAGATCATAGCTCCTCGTCTTCAAGATCCTTCACGGACACCACACCCTGCTTACCTCTCATCTCACTCCCCTCCCCGACTTCCACACACTCTGGGCTTTCGCGGCCAAGGATTTTTGTCGAACCTGCCAGTCAACCATCACTCAGTGGGAAGTCGGTTTTTCTCCTCTTGTTGCCCTCATCATTGCCTGAATTTCCCTTCCCACCAGCCATCAAATCTAGGCTGAAGGCCTTGACTGACTGCCTCTCTAAAAGTAAATATTCTAACCATTTTCTGCACACCACCCTCAGGATATGGGTCACATTAAGTTGTAGAAATTATTTGAAACAACAAAACAGGTGATGGATAGTTTCTCTAGGACTTACTCTTTTCTCAGCGTACCTTGCAAGATGGTCGATCCTAGAGGGATGATGAGCAAATGTGGGCCTTATGTACCTCTTTTTTTTACTTTATGGCTTATTACCTTCGTAATGCCCCCCCCTCTACTCCCCTTTTTCTCCTTCCCTCCACCCCCAGTTCCCATCCCACACCTGGGTTAGAAAAATAACCTGGTACACCTAAACTATGTATGTCGAACTTCTTTCGCGCCATACACAGCAGTTCTAAAGAAATGAGTTCTTAAATCTGGATTATTGAAAAGTGCGTAGCTCCCCAGTGGCTTCCTAATATCGGAAGGAAGAGCGTTCCAGACGGCCGCAGAAATGCATCTGACCGTCTTCGTTTGATGGCTAGCCAAAAGCCTCTGCGACGACGACCGGAGTTTGTGTGATGGTTTATTGTTCCTTGACGAGATCAGCAAGGTATTGTGATTCATTTGTGCCAAGCACTTTGTGTGCAATGAGTGCGACCTTACAATGTGTCCTTACAATGTGCGCGCGAAGATGGTGTAGCGCCTCCTCAATGTTCCAAGGAGAAAAGCCTACCCAGAGGGCACGTCCCACGCATCCCTTTGACATGCTGATGTTAACCGTGCATGTATGTGCCTTCTGATGTGACTGCTGATATTTGTTCATCTTTCGTAGAAGCTAAATTCGTGTCGTCGTTTAAAAACGGGGTGTGCATGGCGGGGGGGGGGGGGCAAAGGGTGAACAAGCGGCGTTGTCAAGGCGGCGTCGTTGGCACCTTGAAGCCGAGCTGCACGAGGTCGTGGCGCTTGAGGGCGGCGTGCGTGCAGGTCATGGCGATGACCTTTGCCTCCTTCACCAGGAGGTACTTGGAGCGGTCGAGGCCGCTGCGCAGCAGCTCAAACGCCCGGAACTCCTGCGTACAAAAGCACGGCATCGTTATCGACGCCGCTCTGAGGTCAAGCTTGGACAGGTGCAGATCGCGTTTGCTGATTCCGGAAAACGTTTCCCCCAACCCAGTACACCACATCCAGTCGAGCTCTCACTATGGTTGAGGCCAATTGCGAGAGGGCTGTGGTTACTACCCCGCTGTGAATTCTAGTACCTGCTACGGTTGACCAAGTGACCCACAACTAATAGGACCTGGGGCGCGAGTTCGTCCTGTGGAAACTAATTGAATATTCACGATCAACGGTGGGAATATCCCACCGCGCTACAAACTAATCAGCACGCATATGACGCACGACGGACGGGCATTTCAGGTAACTGAAGCGGCACGAAAGAGTCTGTTGCTGTGTTCTTAAACCGGAAAGAGATAAAAAAAAAAGACGGAAGCCAGAGCAGACTAGCGAACAACAGCGCTTGACGGGGGAAAGCTCTCACCTCCAGCTGCGTGAAAATCTTGCGCAGGTGGCGGAAGCATCCCTCGGCGATTTCCAGGTCCTCCTTGTACGAGCGGCCGTGGAAGAGCGGCTGGGGGGCGTTGGCGAAGTAGCGATCGAACGGGAAGTGGGCGGCGATGGCGGCGGCCGCTTCGGCCATGCCACCTTTGTCGCCACCGCCACCGCTGGCCGGGCGCACCTTGCTCTGAAACTCCTCCCAGCGCGACATCACCTGAACACGCACACACGTACATGCACACACATACACACACGCACGTATGCAGGCCAGCCGGCAGGCATGCATGCATGCGTGCACGTAAGAAAGCAAGTGAGATCTCAATGCATGCACACGCAGCCAAAACCAAAGACAAAAGTCCCCCGTATAGCTTGAACGGATTGTTGGGGCAGGTGCTGTTAGAGAGCACCTCCGAAGGCTGGCACGGAACACGAGGGGGTGGGTGGCCAACACCATGCCCGGCCGCGTGCATCTTACTAGTGGCGATGTTTTTACACATCGCACTGGGCACTCAATTGAAGCTGAGTCGACCTAGGGGAGGCCTAGGACAGGTTTAGGTAATCGTCACCGGTGTTGGCCACAAGCGGGAATTGAACTCGGGTCGCCGGGTTCGTAGCACAGCACGCTAACCGCGAGACCACCGCTCCCCGCACACACACACGCACGCACATTACGGGTGTGTGAAGCAGTCCGTTGCCGGACGCGCTTGCCGATGAACACTAGCGAGGACGAAGCGCGTACCTGGTAGAGGAAGAAGTGTCCGGCAGTCTCGCACGTGTAGGAGACGTCTCCTGGGACGCCCAGACTCTCCTGCAGGCGCCCGACCTCGTGCAGCAGCTCCAGCCTCCGCGCCAGTATGTAGTTCACACGGCCGTACCTGCATGCAGAAAACACGTGCGCACACAAACATACATGTACACATGTAAATATACATAACGGCAACAACGTAACAACAGTGTGACATCACCACAGTGCTTGTGCAAGGATATATGCGCGCTGAGGTCACGTGAAGTGTCGAAGGATCGCTTGCAGGAAGTCATGTGACAGGCCAGGTGTTATGGGTTACATACACAAAGACAAAGATTCCCCTTATAGCCTCAACAGACTGTTGGAGCAATTGCCGCTAGCAAACACCTATGAAGGCCGGCACGGCACAAGAGGGGGTGGGTGGTCATCACCACGCCCGGCTGCCTTTGTTTCCCTAGTGTGGCCCCGGAAGACAGCCTGTGGTTTTGCCATGGCAGGTGGCACCAGGAGGCAGGTGACGGGACAGTGGCATCACCTGCTGAAGTCCTTCTCAGTCTCCAGCTCCTCCTCGCCGTGCCCCATACGCAGGAGGTGCCTCTCGTCAATGTCAAGCTGCATGATCTTCTCGAAGAGTTGGTTCAGGGCCTACGGGTCAACAAGAGAGGAAGGTCAAGGCCAAGTGACGGTCAAGGTCCCATCACAGCCAACCAACGCTGCCGGCGCAAACCGCACGTCGCCGCGATTTCCTTCTGCCAGATCCCGCGGCCGCTCTAGTCGAAGCCTGCCCTCCAAGACTGCCAAACAGTCTCATCACGATTAACCGTTACTATTTGACAGTTATAGAGGCAACCAAGTTCACAAGTGACTACAGAACACATTAGCGGAGACACATAGGGCAAGCGTTATGTGTGTACATTTGTTGAACTTCTTTCGCATCATACATAGCCAACAGTGCTAATCGGAGGTGCGGGGGAAGGACAGCAAACTAAACACAGAGGGCAGGGCATGCGGGGCAGTTCCCGGCAGCGCTGCCGTCCCGACGTTCCTCACCTGATTGGAGTGCGTAACGATGAGCGTTCGCTGCTCGGGAAAGTTGTGGTAGAGGTTTGAGATGATTTGCACAGCCACATCCGTCTTGCCTGTACCCGGGGGCCCCACCACCTGCACGGAAGGGGCATCGCGCCATTTACCGAGCACTTGTTGCCGTAACAAAGATCCCCCGTATAGCCTTAACAGAGTGCCGGAGCAAGTGCTGTTAAGCGAGCACCTATGAAGGCCGGAACGACAAACAAGGGGGTGGGTGGCCAGCACTATGCCAGGCCTCCTTTGTCTCAACTTAAAAGAAAATAACATCTGAAATTGGACTGTTACTCTGATTGATAACAATCATGTCAACGTCTAACTTTTTGATGTGTGGATCTGGCTTCTTCTTTAAAAGGAGGTTGAACTTGGAAATCAGGTTATCTTTGCATTTAGGTGACATCAGAGTAACAGTCCAATTTCAGATTTTTTGTTATTTTCTTTGAACCTATCTACGTGACTCTATCGAAAGACCCAAGAATACATTTTTATGAGTATTTATAACCAGTCCTGTGCACTTTAAAAGTTTTCCTTTCTAGTATAAACATTTGTGACTTTTTTTATTCAATGACTCAAACAGAAAGCCATTTTGAGTGGAAAAAAACACAGAATCTCAAACAGCATTTTAAAAAAGATCTAACCTAAAAGCTATAATTTTTACGATCTTACCTTGAGTGGATGAGTTGTGTTGAAAGGTTGCGACAATTATTTGCAATAAAGTCCACGCCAATTACAATGAGCACTCGGCATGCACGTGAAAGGACACGATGGGACTGAGAAGAGATAGCGGCGGATGCACGAGTTGTAGAGTACCTCTATACCCCCCCACCCCCCCCCCAAAATTCAGCTGCGCCGAGTCCAAACCGATAATCGAAAACGATAATCGCCACTGGCGTTGGCTGTGAGCGGCAATCGAAGACGGGTTGCCAGGTTCGTAGCGCAGCGCCGCGAGCCGCTAAGCGCCCACGCACAATGTTTTCGACAATTTTCAGCTGAACAGTCAAAAATGCTGCGACGACGTTGAGTGTGGGGAAAATTTACGTCGTGTTCCTTAAAAAGTCAGCGACATGAGTGCGAAACAACGTATATCGGGGTGACGAATATAGAAGACCCCCTGTATTCATCTGAGGCTGCAACTAGCTAGGGGATGGCTCAAAACCAGTTCAAATAAATCACCACCTGAAACTCAGGTTGCTGGGTTCTTAGGGAAGTGCGCTAACAACTACGCTACCGCACAGCCTGCCATTAACACACAACGATAACAATGAATGGTGATGAAAGTAGTGGAGCCAGATAAGGGGCCTTACCATGGTGAGCCCAGGCTGCATGCCTGCACGGATGGCCTCAATTTGCGTCGGGGTGAACTGAATCGTGTTCCTACAGGCAACACGCAAAGGCAACAGCACAAATGTCATCCATCACGCGAACTCCAGTCATCCTCGCAGTGGTTTTTGGAAAGCCATCGAACAAAGATTGCATCACGCACTTTCAGATGCACTTTTGTGGCCGTCTGGAACGCTCTTCCTTCCGATATTAGGAAACCACTGGAGCTATGCACTTTTAAATCTATGTTGAAAATAATTTCTTTAGAACTGATTTTTGGATTTAGTTTGTTGCCTTTCCACCACACACCACACCTCCGATTAGCACGGTCGTTACATGCAGCACGAAAGAAGTTCAACATAAACACAGGCACACATCGCCATACATTCCAGCGACCTCGACAACATCAGAATCACGTACGGCCACGAACCTGCTTCACACAAGGGGAAAGTGCGACAAAGAAGCGTGCAGAAGACTGACCGCTTGGGCTGGTTGTAGGGGTACGGCCCCGGGTTTGGCGGCACGTAGGGCTCCACAAGCAGCGTGAGGCTGTCCTCTCCACCGGAGGCGGTTTCTCCCGCGTTGCCCGCCCTCCTCTTATTGCCATCCTTCTTCTGCGGGAAGGTGATCCTGTGTGCGGACAGCACCATCGACGGAGGTGTTAACGCGGAGATGAAGGTCCAGCAGACGTCACTGGCTGTAAAATGCAAGGCTGTGCTGGCCTATGGCGTGAGAATGTGGAAATGTTCACTACCGGTTCAGGGCCCATCCAAGAGATAATCAAGGCTCCAATGCTTGTTTGACCAAGGATAACCAAGGATACTCTCAACCTGTCCATGCTCTCACCTGTCCATGCCATCACCTGTCCATGCTCTCACATGTCCATGCTCTCACCTGTCCAGGCACTCACCTGTCCATACTCTCACCTGTCCAGACTCTCACCTGTCCATCCTCTCACCTGTCCATGCTCTCACCTGTCCATGCTCTCAACTGTCCATGCTCTCACCTGTCCAGACTCTCACCTGTCCATCCTCTCACCTGTCCATGCTCTCACCTGTCCATCCTCTCACCTGTCCATGCTTTCACCTGTTCATGCTCTCACCTGTCCAGACTCTCACCTGTCCATGCCATCACCTATCCATGCCATCACCTGTCCATGCTCTCACCTGTCCATGCTCTCAACTGTCCATGCTCTCACCTGTCCATGCTCTCAACTGTCCATGCTCTCACCTGTCCATGCTCTCAACTGTCCAGGCCGACGTACGAGGGACTTTGAGCTCTAGGTTCGGACCTTTAAGTTTTCGATCGAACCACGTGTCCCAATTCGTGAGATATATACGCGCGTTAGAATTTATGTTTATTATTACAGTAAACCCTCGCTATACGCGAGTTCTGGATTCGCGAGTTTCGCAAGTTACTAGATGTCTACTAATTCCCTATTTGCGACCCGCCGGACTAGAGCGTTCACGAGCGCGCTACGTAGTGCCAGACCACCGCCACCGGAGAGGCACGCGTAGAATGTTGCGACATTTGAAACGGTCTGCGAAGACTTTGCCACGCCACCCTTGGCTGCCTGCTTTGTCCTCAGTCTCACAGAAATCCCGCTCCGAACTCACTATTGGGCACTTTTTCTTGTTTGTACGTACTTACAGTTGACTCGATTATACAATTTGGTATAAATGAGTGGACAATTATAAACACAGTACCGCTCAGCGGTGCCTGCTCCGAGTTGCCAAACGTGGCCAAGATGATCTCCCCCCCCTCCCCCCAACGCGACCGAGTGGCCCAACCGCGTTGCGTCTCTTTTGAGCGGCACGGCGCACCCACCTGAAGGGCGGTTTGTGCGGTGGCGGGTGGTCGCCGACGACGCGCACGGTGTGGCTGGGGAAGCCGGCCTTCAGGTGTTCCATGCTGAGGAAGGTGTCGTTGAAGTTGAGCGTGCGGATCTGGTTGGGCATCTTCGAGTAGTGGGCGCTGCCCGGGTCGCCGTAGCCCAGGATGATGTCGTGCAGCCAGTCGGGCACTACGCACTCCGTGTTCATGAGGTCACGGATCGTCTCCAGCACGGCCTGGGAAGTGCCAACCACGTATACGCCTCAATGGATGGCAACCGATAATAACAGTACAATTGCCGTTTAAAGCTTTCGTGACTGCAATGATTCATCTTCTTTGGTTCTTTCGGTAAAGTCACATTCTACGTGACTTTACCGAAAGAACCAAAGAAGAGTACAATTGCCGTTTGTGTATGTATGTTGAACTCCTTTCCGTACGTAGCCAAGCATGCTAATCGGAGGTGCGGGCGGGGGGGGGGGAGGACAAGAAACTAAACACAAAAAGCAGTTTGAAGGAAATGAGATTTCAATCTATAGGATTTACAAGTGCATGGCTCTCGTGGCTTCCGCACATCGGAAGAACGTTCCAGATGGCTGCAGAAGCGCATGTGAAAGTGCGCGATGCAGTGATCGTATTCGTTTGATGGCTAGCCAAGAGCCGCTGCCAGGATGACCGGAGTTTGCGTGACGGTTTATGCTCCTTGACGAGATCAGCAAGGCACTGTGGCTCATTTGTGACAAGCACTTTGTGTGTTATAAGTGCGGCACTGTTATAGCGCAAGACTATCGCGAAGGAGCTACGTTTTTGGCGTGCGGTGGTTTCACAGTAGGGACGATGTTGCTATCCCAATTGAGTAATTTTTTGTAATTTGGTCAAATTTGGACCGCGACATCAGCACACAATGGCCTTCTCGTTTCAGATGACGTCGGGGAATCCTGAACGTCAGCTGTGAAGCAGACGGCGTGCAGTTTTATATATCTCTATATTTTTTAGCCAAAGCATTATTTTATTTAACATTCAAATGCAAAGCACACTCCAAGGGCACCCAACCGGAGAAAGACACAAACACAAAAACATACATTCAAACAAATTGTGTCATCGGTGTAAACATAAGATAAAAACAGAGATGGCGAGTATATAAGTGGGCGGTGTTCGGATGGTAAGGGGAGCAGGTCCATTGTGGGCCGCGTGGTATTTTACGGCGAATACACTCGCAGTGATAACCATGGCGGCCTGCCGGATTCGAACTGCAAACCTCTGCACAAGCGGCAAAAAATCCGCTCCTGCCGGACCGCATAACAGTGCCCCCCCCCCCCCAATTCCCTTCACGATCCATGAACCCTGACGTTCTGGATCGCGGGCACCAAGAATCAACCGCGGAGCACTCAGTGGTGCCAACTTGGCGCCACCAGTGAGGTGGTGGTGGGGTGGGGGGGGGGGGCAGTGTTCACGTCACCTTGAAGTTGTTCTCCTTGGGCTTGCGGCGGAGCAGGAGGTTGAAGTTCTCGTAGACGTCATCGGCGTGGTGCTGGATCACGGCCGCCACGTCCTGCTGGTACTGGTTGGGGTCGAGCCACACGCGGATCGTGCGCGTGTCTCCCTTGAGTTGTGGCCGAGGCTCGGGACCTGTGTGTGGTTGTGGGAGCGGTAGTGTCGCGATTAGCGTGCTGCACTACGAACCCGGCGACCTGAGTTTGATTCCCGCTCACGGTAAACACCAGTGACGATTATCAGAATCGCCACCGCGGCGCCCATCTTGCCAAACAAGCCTGGCAAGGATCGAGGATGGGGTTGGTGGGGAAGGCTGGACCGGGAGGGAGCAGGGGGGAGGACGTGACAAGCAGCGGGTGCCGGCAAACGCACCGTCCTCAATGACGCGACCCTTGTCATCCAGCAGGCCCTGCACCTCGCAGCCGCGCACGCACGCCAGGTCCAGCTGCTCCAGGAAGGGCCGCGCCGGGGTGTAGCGCGTGCCCCAGGGCTGCGTGCCGCGCACCGTCACCAGGAAGCACACGTCGTGCTTGCGCAGGCCTACGGGCAGCGGGAGGTGGGGGGGGGGGGGAACGTTGGCGCACGCCGCGTGAAACATCGCCCCCTCGTGTCGCCATCACAACAGTGCCTCTCGCACGGTCCAAGTTATCGTTCGTGTTGTGAGGTCATGCAGCGCAGGGGGGAAAGGGCGAAAGCCAATTGACTTCACAGCAGTGACCACGGCGTGTAAGGCAGAGCAGGATGAGCAACTTTGAGATTTGGATAGAATGTGGAGCGAGGAATGATCGACTCGTGCGTAAGGGCTGCATGGATTACTACATCACGAGAACGTGATTGATGGCAATGGTTTCGGGAAGCCTTCACCCGGCACTAAATAGATCATTGACTAATGATAATCATGATGTGTATAGAGTATTTTACCTTTATTAAATCAACTCAAAACTGTCTCTATGACAACTGTCAGTCATCTTGGCAGTCAACTCGGTCATTTAACCCATAACACCTGGGCTCTTGTCCTGTGACCTCCTGCCAGTGAGGCTTCGGTACATCACGTGGCTTTGAAGCGCCCCAAACCTGGCAGGAGCATCGCAAAATATCTGCGAATGGCGGTGGCGTACATGCGTGGGGAGCGGCAGTGTAGCGGCTAGCGTGGTCCGCTACAAACCCGGCGACCCGAGTTCCATTCCCACTATACTACGGCCGACACCAGTGACTATTATCTAAACCTGGGCTTCCCCTAGGTAAATTCAAATGAATGGCTGGTGCGGTGTATAAACATTGCCACGAGGGAGACAAAGGCGACAGGCCGTGGTGCTGGCCATCAATCCCCTCGTGTGCCATGCCGGCCACCATAGGTGCTCATTAACAGCACTTGCCCTAAATTCTGTTAAGGCTATTGGGGGGGGGGGGGGGGGGGGTTTGTCTTTGTGTGCGAGCATGTGTATGTGTGTGTGTGCGTCAGCCAACCCATGGCACATGGGTCTCTCCCGTGACCTCCTGTCAGCGAGCTTTCGATACTTCACGTGGCCTCTAAGTACACGTGGCCTGGCACAAGCGCCATGGCGACGTCACCGCCACTTAGTGGCGAACGGTGGGTATTGGTATTGGTGTGCGTGCATGCGGGCATGTACAAGCATGTGTGGGTGGGTGCGCGAGCGTGTGTGTGCGCGCGCGCGCGTGCGATCGCACCCTCCCACTCGGCCTTGATGTGCTGCCGCATGTTAAGATGCAGCGTGATGTCGGCTCGCACGCGCGACGGGTGGTTCTCGCCGATGTGTGGCTTGGCCACCTCCACCACGGAGAAGGCCCCGATGGTCTGAGCCATGCGCGCCCAGCCGCCAAATATCGTGCTGCCATCCTCCACACGCCTGCACGCACCAGCCCACCCACACGGACGGACAAGTACGTACACGTCGATAAACGCGAACATACAGACCAATTGTACATGGGGGAGCATGCGAGAAGGTGGCTGTTGACGACTGATCACCGATTGCGATTCATTACTTCACATCCTCTTATTTAACCACAGTTTGGCCCTCATTTTTATTCCACAGTCCGGTGTCCCAATCGCAGTCCGGGACGGCACCGCGGGCCATCGATAAAGATAGCGGGCGCTGACGCTCACCAGGGCTTCATGCGGCTGACGGCATCCTCCACGTCCTGCCGGATCTCGTACGTCGACTCGAGCCGGAAGAGGTTGAAGTTCCGCAGGAGGTAATCGTGCAGCGTCAGGAACTGCAGGTTCAGCTTGGGCAGCGCCAGGCAACCTGCAAAACAAAACGGGCACCAACTGCTGTCAAGAGCACAGGCCAGGGGCAAGGTCTGTCCACGCTTACAAGCAAGGTTGTCCACGCATTTTCTTGTCCTTCCCCCTGCACCTCCAATTAGCCACGGCTGGTTACTTACGGTGCGAAAGAAGTTCAATATACAAACAAATAAAATACTCACCACCATCATCAACATTAACCCCGTGTTATGAAAGGGAAATATAAAGCAGGCTTTCATGCGGCAGTGGGGGCAAAAGCCCTTCGTCACAGTAGACGCGACTTATATTTTGACAAGGTAGTCTAGTGCAGTGCCTTAAACACACACACGAGGAAATTAGAAGAACTTGCAATGTTGAAACAATGTTTATAAGTTTAATGCAGACTTTTCTCAAATTTCATGGCGTTTCCAAGGCACCACATGTGCAAAGTACAACCTCTAACGGCAGGGTCAGCCAATCGGCATGCTGTCTCTCTCTGCTCTGAATAGAGGCCATTAGCCAAAAGGTTGGAATTTTAAACGTACGGTATGTTACAACACAGTGTTACGGATGATGGTATGAGTTTACTTTTATTTGTCCGTGTAAGCTACTGCTGCTAATGCATTCTGATGAGCACGTTTGGCTACGTATGGTGCTTTTAAAGTTCAATATACAAATATAAAGTTTTGTTTATACGAACGAGTAGAGAACCAGTCACTCTCAACGAAAAATAAGAGACAGCTGTCATGTTCACATTCATTTCAAATTCCTCCTGTGCTCTTAGCACGAAGAGTAATCTGCTTTTTTTGTAACTAAAACGCCAAAATAACATGTATTGAGTTATTATATAAACTCTAGGATTTAAAGAAAATGATCCTAAAAGTATGACATTACTGGGAGCACAAATTGAAAAGTTAACACGATTTTAGATGAGTCGTGTCATTCTTCTGTATTCGTTACTCCCACCTCTTCAGTGTCACTATTATTAAACGGCTTCCAAACTTGTTCTGCCATTTTAATTCAACCCAACGTTTATTTTTTTACAATCCCATGCAGCCAGTTACCCGGCTGGTTTTCGGTGGCAACTGCCCAGCGGCCACTAACAATGGAGTTATTGTTGGGGTGGAGAAAGGAGCCCAGCCAGCAGCTAGCCAGGAAACTCGAGGCATAGATTATTTGTAACCGTACGATTCAAACACGTTTTCTGGCCAATGGGAGAAGTACGAAGAGCGAACAATCACAAAAGCTGGCTCTGGACAAGCGCTTCCGTGAACGTGGACACTGGGAGGAAGAGGAGGATAAAGCGGCCACTACCGTCGCCCGAGAAGTACTCGGTGGGCACGATGTTCTCGTTCCAGATTATCTTCTCCGTGGGGTAGAGGGGCATCTCGTTGAGCGCCTGGATCTGTGAGATGCGGCGTTCGTGACGCGAGACCTGGGCACACGAGCGACACATGGGAGAGACATGTCGCGGACTCCAACACAGCCGAGACGGGACAGGAGTACACCACCGCGATTGTTAGGTGGCTTCTGAAAAAGATCTACAGAGATTAGTTGGTCTTACCTGGTAAGAAACAAACAGTTTAGTAGTTTAGTTTTAGCTACCATGTGAAGTATGCTTGTTTTCTTCCCATGGGTACAACGTAAGGATGTGCAGTTTACATTAGTACTGTGTTCACCATGTAGTTAAGGTTGCAGCTCTGCAATTGCTTGCTCACGCCACTGCTGGTGGAAGTGCCTCCACAAGAGGGAGCTCTAGAGAACCCCCTCTAACATCCTACAAGGCCAAAGGTTCCCCCGTATAGCCTCAACAGACTTTGTTTGGGGCAAGAGCTGTTAGCGAGCATCTAAATTGAGGGTGACATGACACACGAGGGGGTGGGTGGCCAGCACAACACCAGACCGCCTTTGTCTCCCCAGCAGCAATGTTCACTAAACACTGCACCAGCTACTCATTTGAGACCAAGTCGACCTAGCGGAGGCCCATGACAGGTTCAGATAATCGTCACCGGTGTAGGCCGTGAGCGGGAATCGAACTCGGGGAGCCGGGTTCGTAGCGCAGTGCGCCAACCACCGCACCACCGCTCTCCACTAGAAGATACGCACGCAGGCAGACGCATGCACGCACGCACCATCATCTCAACGAGGAACTCCTTTCTGTAGGAGCTGCTCTCTCCATCCGACAGAGGCGGCAGTAAGTTGAGCCGCGCCGCCATCCGGTGCAGAAGCTCCGTGCTAGTGACGTTGGGAACACACGGAGGAGAAACCGACGTAGACCACAGCCCATTAAGCCAGCGCATGATACGTGCCCAGTTCACAGTGTCACATGTTGTTTCGTTTATTGAAAGCTAACGCACCACATAATTTAAGCACGACACTACAGCCTGCTCACACCAACAGACGACGGACTTGTGTGCGGTATATTGTGACGACTGACATTAATTTTTTTCGAAAATAGATATATTTAATTAAAACAGGCTGTGGTAAAAATAGAGAACTGCTAATTAACTAAAGTTTATTGATTGTAAACAACTGTGACACCAACTCCCTCTGTCATTTAAAAACTGTGGTGCCTTAGAATGAAAATGTCTTCATCTTGTGACATGACGCCCAAGGGCACAATTGTAATTTTTTTAAAATACAATGACAAAGATCCCCCATATTGCCTCAACAGACTTTTGGGGCAAGTGCTGTGAGCGAGCACCAATAAAGGGGATTGGCCAGCACCACACCTTGATCTCACAAAGTGGGAATCTTTACACACAACACCTAGGGGAGGCCCAGGGCCAGTTCAGTTCACTGTTACTGGTGTTCGTTGTCGAACTCGGGTCACCGGGTTCGTCGCGCAACGCGCTAACCGCTACACTACCACTCCCTAAAAAGACAAAGCTTCCCCGTATAGCCTGAACAGACTGTTGGGGCAAGTGACGTTCGCGAGCACCAATGAAGGCCGGGACGGCACATGAGGGAAGTGGGTGGCCAGCACCACGCCCAGCCGCCTTTCTCTCCCCAGTGGCAATGTTTACACACCGCACCGAGTACAAATATGAGGCCGAGTCGACCTAGAGGAGGCCCAGGACCAGTTCAGATAATCGTCACTGGTGTTGGCCGTGAGTGGGAATCGAACTCGGGCCGCCGGGTTCGTAGCGAGCGCGCTAACCGCTAAACTACCGCTCCCGACACAGATATACAAACACACTTTTAAAAAGTGCGAGCATAGGTAGGTTCGCTCGCTGGCATGGTTCGGGTGGGGCTGTGCATCTCACGAGAGCTCTCCGAAGTGCTTCAGCAGGGAGTCCCTCGTGTCGATGGAGGCAACGTTGGACAGCGCAAAGTCGCGCAGCTCCGGGAAGTTGGCGAACGCGACGCGCTGCGCACACGACACACGCGCGACACTCTGTAGCGATCCAAAGGCACCATCGAAGGCTGATGTCGCCGACTGCATCGGCGTAAAGCCGCAGCCCTGCACTTGCTCGCTCGGGCCACCGCTGCCAGAAAGCGCCTCCAGCATAGGGAGCTCCGCTGGAGGCCCCCTCCAGAGGGTATCTGGCCAACTCGTTCCCGGTGAAAGAGATGGAACGACCTGCACTACCCCCGTGCGCGAACTGCTGGTTGACTAACTTGCGTACAGGGCAACCTATTTCCACATTGGTTTAAAGAGGCAGAATCTTTGCGGATAAAGGTAAGTGAAGGAGGAACTTGTACAAGACTCCTGGTCATAATACAAGTGCGACCAATGGCCACAGTATAATGGGGGGTTGGATCATGCTGACAATGACCAAGCAAGTTGAATCCTAGGCAAGGCTGCTGTTGTGCAATATCGAGGCACCAAGCGACGGCGGATTAACATATCACAACATTGCTGACGGGACTTGAGTCAGGCTCAAACTTGTGCAGGTTTCTGGCCTATAACATTACTCACTGTCGTCACCGTCACGAACCACCATCTACCCACTGCTAGGTGTTGTCACTTGCTGACCCCGTGCCCCTACTGGACATCTGTAAAAAAGAGCTTCAGAGCTTACAGGATTCCTCCTGTAGTCTATAAATTCTGATTTTGAACTTTAGGGAGGTGAGTATCTGCATACCTGCAGGGAGGTGTGTATCTGCATATCTGTAGGGAGATGTCTGCATGCGTGCGCAGAGAGGTGAGTATTTGCATACCTGTAGAGAGGTGAGGCGGTCGTAGTGCATGTTGGTCATGTCATGGTCGGTCAGGGCATTTCCGGACTGGTCATTGATCTCAAAGCCAGAGTAAAACTGCAGCATCTCCAACAGCTGTAAACAAATGGACAGGCAACCCCACGCAATATACCGTATTTTCCCGCAAATACCCCGCAAAAATAGCGTTTTGTGTAAAACAAATTTCAGATAGCCCGCACCTCCATATACCCCGCATGCATTTAGATCTTTAACGTCGTTACCGCAGCTTAATTCCATCATATTAATACGAAGTTTACATTTGTAATACATTCCACTATCAATTGTTAACATTAAAATCATAACGTGCACAGAGAAAACAAACTAACCGGAAACGAGTGAACTTAAAACAGTAAATAAGTAACAAAAATATCCAATAAATAAGTAACACATAATAGTTTTAAGTAACACATAACAGTACAGTTTTAGCACTGGTAGATTGCGCACTGCGCAGATAATAGCGGCACTACGGTAACGCCGTTGCCTCGCCCACAACCCCCCACCTCTCTTTCCCCCCAGCTGCCCCACCCCCCAACCCCCGCCTCTCTCTCCCCCCAGCTCTCCCATCGCGGGTAAACAGTGCGCGGTTTAATTGTACAAACAATTCATTTAAAACGTGATAACGTGCAATTTTAGTGTGAGTGGTTTATTCAGCAGCGCTTTAGTCAAAGGTAAGTGTGGATAGTCCTACCATGAAATTTTTTTAACGAGTCATGACATGTCACACGTGTAAAATATTTTTGGGATAGCCCGCACCTCCATATACCCCGAAGGGTCTTGTTTTCTTTGTAAAAAGTGGTATACCCCGCGGGCTATATGCGGGAAAATACGATAGGCGTTCACATCGGTGGTCATTAAGAGGGGTTCTACTATATATACGTACGCCATGCGGTTTTGGTGGCGCAGGGTGGTGGGGGGTAGAAACTTGTTCACAAGCCGACGGACACTGCTCACCTGTATAAACAGCTTCCCTTCCTTGGGGCGCTGCGCCAGTTCGGACAGGTGGCTAAGCACCACCAGGTGTGAGTCGTCCAGCAGCGTGTTGAACCAGCGGCGTGTGGGCAGCAGGGCCTGAGAAAACCCACGAGTGGCCACCGGGTGAAGTTTGAGTGTAGAACAACCGTGAGTTGTTTTTTCGTTTTTTTTTTTGTTAAACCAAATGTTACATATGTGTAGTGATATCGCGGATGTCACTGTGTAATGCCGGCCCTAGAAGCACAGCGTGCGATGTATTGACATCGCGGGCACCACGTGTATGTGGGTGCACTACCGGCCCTAGAGGGGCTCGGTGAGATGGCACCACGCCCTGCGTGCGGTGCCGACCCCTACAGGGTCGGGTGTGAGAGTGCCGGCCATGGGAACGGGGTTACCAAGGGCCATGGCACTCTGGTTGACCCCGAAGGACACGTGACCGGTAAAGTCTGCAGATGGTGGGGGCTAGGGGTGGTCACGTGTCAGGGCCGAGATCCTGCTCGAGGGTTCTCGAAGGTGGTCGTGGCTAACGGCGGAGCCAGCCACACCACGGAGGATATAAGCCGGGTCCCCGAGAGGGACCGGCTGCTGTGGTTATCCTGAAGAATCTTACGTTCTACGTCCGAGAAGAGTCGCCAACACGTGGACCTGGACCCAAGCTGGGGTCCTGTACGTAGTAGCTACTCCCAGTGTAATTAGTGTAGTTAGCCTGGTGGTTAAGTAGCTAGTTACGGTGTAGTTAGTGTCGTTAGCCTGGTGGTCGACCACCATAGGCTGTTATCTGGTGAAGGGGCAGTTGTGCAATTGTGTTGGTATCAATAAATGTGTTGCCTCCAAAGAGTGCGTCTGCGACTCAGTTAAACTCACTACCAATGCAACCGAATATAATGCGACGGGTGGGGTAAAATCACAACGCAACGCCACAGCGAAACGCCGCAGTGCACGCAATAATTGTGCGACCGTTATGGAACCGAACGGTGCAATATATACGATCGGATTGACATTTTCCAGGTCACTCACCTCCAAGTCGATCATCAGCTCAATGAAACGCTCGCAGTAATGCACCTTGTCAGCACTCACATCCCCTGCACGCCAGCAGTAAACAGCCACGGCAAGAATGCCGATTCATCCCACTCTCCAGTGCATCGCACACGCATCGCATATCTATGCAATAATTGAATTAGCATTAATTCGATTATCAAATAATGCTATACATTTTTGTAAATATTCCACAGGCACAGCGGCGCATACCATAAACCCCTGGCACTCTCGCATGACTGGATTGTTTTCATGCACTCTATATTTCCACCCACATTCAAATAGACTAATTTGAGGAAAAGACAAACTCTCTCCTCTCACTCCTCATTCTGTTTGAGTGGCAAATATATAACTGTCAACCAAGTGGTACCACCATGTGGAAGAGGCGATAACAATAACCAAATCATCCATTAATGGTATTGGCACAACATTGCAATTCAAGGTCCTCTCCGACAAAAGTTCCCTGGGTACATTAATGACACGATTGCTGTTTTAACGCAAAACCATGATTACCAGGATTCTGTTCCTGCCACAAAGTGCCCTTGTTGCACCCACCTTTTGCAGGAATAGAGTTGAGGACGGAAACAAACTTCTGGATGAGCCTTGAAAGGAACCGGCGCTCATAATCAGCCCTGAAAGAGTCAGGCAAGCATCATCGTTAAATCATCATCATTATCATCATCATCCATCCTCTGTTCGCTACTCCACGTCAAAGCATTTTCTCTATGACACTGACACCTATCTGCTTTGTGTGCCAGTGTCGGTTTGTGTGAATGCGTGTATGTGGGGAACAGTAGTGTAGTGGCCAGCATACTGTGCTATGAACCAGAGTTTGATTCCCACTCACGGCCAACATCAGTGACAGTTATCTGAACCAATCCTGGGCCTTCAACAGTTGACTCAGCATCAAATGAGTACTTGTTGCTACGTGTAAGCATCACCACTAGGGAGACAAAGGCAGCCGGGCGTAGTATTGGCCACACCTCCCCCTCATGTGCTGTGCAAGCCTTCAAAGGTGCTCGCTAACAGCACTTGCCTCAACAGAATTAAGGCTATACGGGGGATCTCTGTCTTTTATGAGTGTGAAAATGTGTGTCGGTATGCATGCCCGTGTATTTGTGCATCTACCAGTCATCTCAGTGCGTTAACCCATGACCTCTGGGTCTGTCCTGAAAACTCCTGCAAGCGAGCCTTTGACACTTCATGTGGCCTTAAAGTGCACCTAGCCTAGCATGCAAGCTGCGGTGATATCATCGCTACCTAGTGGTGAATGGCAGCTGTCGTGTGTCTGCGTGCGAGTGTGCCTGCCTGCGTGCGAGTGTGCCTACGCGCGAGTGTGTTTCTCGAGTCTTACTGCTCCTTTGCTTTTGGCTCCAACTTTTCGTCGCTCTTTTTGATCAGATTCCAGAACTTCTTCAGCTTGGGCGTCTTCCTGAGCTCTTGCTCCAGACGAGACTAAGGGACACGTGCCAACGTGTGTTAAGTCACACTCTGGACCATCCCACCTGTACTTTCAGGAGTAAACGGATGAATGCGTAACTAAGAAAGCATTAGTGAACACGAAAACATCATATTAGCGAACATCTCGATGTAAAGGCAGCTCTACCGTGCACAAAAACGGCACTGGATATGGGCGGTTAATGGGTCAGGGCAGACACGTGACGGTCGTGTACGCGACGCTGTGCAGTAAAAATTGATCAATAGAATCCTACGTTTTTACTAAATGTTTTCTGCGACCTGCGGCCGTGTAAGCTCACCGGCAGCAGGCACACCCAGGTAGGCAGGGAGATGAGACGCTGCACCTGCTCGCGAATCACGTCCACCTCCTATCCGGCCGCAACATCGAACAACAGCCGCAGCAGCAGCAACAACAACAGCAATCAGAATATTCATACTGGAGAAGGAATCCAATGGAGTTATGAAGCTCTTTTTCAGAGATGTCCAGGAGGGGTGGGTAAGAACGTTACAACAAACAGTACAAAAACACGATAGCGGTGCAAAGTGCAAGAAAGGTCAACAAATTACCCAAACAAAAACACAACTAAACCATCCCCCATCCTACCAGGCAAAGCCCACTACTAAGGCATTAACTTATTTTTCAGAAGCGACCCAGCCTCAACAATGTGGCCCATCATTTGGGCAACAGCAGCATGCACAGACAGCAGCAGAGTTTTATTGTTATTCATGATTACGCTTGATAATAGGTTTTTCCCCTTTTTTTATGGCAACAAAACAGGTGTTAACATGTTAAAACACCAAACTGAAACCTTTCACAAGTAATCACGTCTGCATTGACCACAACTGCTTGTGGTCAGAATGCAAACAAAAAACACTGATAATATATGCATTGTCCTTCAAACTGATTGGTCCACACCAGAGACAGCTTTCTTTTGAGCCTCGTCTCAAAAGAAATCTGTCCTCTGGCCTAACGCAGTTTGAGACGAGGCTCCCCGATGTCACTTGAAACGAGTGGGTTATCGCGTGACACGTGTAATGGTCCAGATTTGCCGATTTTTTTTTAATACCGGCAAACCACTCAATCGGGATTCCTACGTGCCAACGCTGCTCCCTACTGTCAGACTATATAGGACTGTGAAATAAAGCGTCGTCTAGACAACTACACACCATAACAACGGCACAAATATGTGGGCACCGCGGTGGCTAGGAGATGTTAACGACCTCGCCTGGTATACAGGAGGTCGTGGGTTCGATCCTGACCCTGATGCCTGCTGCATATTTGGAGTTTGCGCGTTCTCCCCGTGGTCGCGTGTATTTTTTCCTCCGGGTCCTCCTCTTTTTTAGCTTCATACATTTAAGAGTATTTGGCTGCTATAACTTTCCACATGCTATAAGCCACTTCTCTTCTTTGGTTCTTTCGGTAAAGCCACGTAGAATGAGAATAAAATAATACAATAACACAATAAAATTCTCACGATGTTTCGGCCACAACGCAAGCGGCCGTCTTCAGGTGAAAGGAACAGACCTGTCGGGACGACAGAGCTTCAATGAACGATGTTAAGATTCGTAGCGACTTTTAAGCTTAAAAGTCGCTATTCTCATTCTACGTGGCTTTACCGAAAGAACCAAAGAAGATGAATCCTTGCAGTCACGAAAGCTTTAAATCGAAATTTAAGCCACTTCTCGTTGGGCTATCATTTGCGATGGCCAGGACGCTTCTGAAAAAGAGCTACACGGCTCAGTGGGCCTTATTTGATTAACTTAAAATAGTTCAGTATAGTTTCGTTTTAATAGCAAATGTGCTCGATTATTATTAAACCAACCACTGTGCAGCGCTGCCCCGATGTGCCGCATGGCTCACCAGGCTGTTGAAGCAGTGGTCGAGGAAGACGAGCAGCAGCGTCTGCTCCCGCAGCGTCACCGCCGAGCCCTCCTCCGACAGCGAGGTGGCCAGCAGGCGTTGGAAGAACGCTGGCACGTGCTGCGGGCGCAACTTGAAGGCCTGTGCGTGGCGCGCGTGTGGCATGGGAGAGCAGAACGTGTTCCCGGGTTGTTTTAATGTTTCTTCCTTGCCAGTCCACCTGCGCTCGCAACGGTCTCTGATATTTAAAAGCCAACGCGACTGCTGTTGAGCTGCGACAATCGTCGATGAATGGTGGAGGAATGCGTCACCATCATCACGCATCATCAAATTCACGTACTACTTCTCATCAACTCATCTCGAAACACTAGTCTGCTGTACAAATAGTTAATTCATTCAGAATAGGTTTTCCCCTTTTTTATGGCAATAAAACAGGTGTTAAGATGTTAAAACACCAAACTGAAACCTTTTACAAGGAATCGTGTCTGCATTAACCACAGTACTTGTGGTCAGAATGCAAACAAAAAAACATACTCTGATAATATATGCATTGTCTTTGAAACTGATTGGTCCACACCAGAGACAGCTTTCTTTGGAACCTAGTCTCAAAAGGTTTTAGACCAGAGGACGCCAAAAGGCGCACACAGCACAAAGACAACGCCACTATAAGAGTAACGAGAGCTCGGGGTGAGCAGCTACATCATGGGACCTCCTTTGCCAGTACCAAAATATGAAAATAGGTTTTCCCCTTTTTTCTGGCAACAAAACAGGTGTTAAGATGTTAAAACACCAAACTGAAACCTTTTACAAGGAATCATGTCTTCATTAACCACAATGCTTGTGGTCAGGATGCAAACAAAAACAATATTCTGACATGATTCCTTGTACAAGGTTTCAGTTTGGTGTTTTAACATCTTAACACCTGCATCAGAGAGCATCGAGACTTGCCTCCCACGCCGACACGTTCTCGCGGAACTTCTCGTTGAGCATGCAGCAGATGGACAGCAGATGCGCCTTGCTGCTCGTCTGCGCCGTGTAGTTTGGCCACAGATAGTTCTCCAGGTACTGGCTGCCGATCCGACACGGGGGCGAGACCAAAGGTGAGCACGGGTACAGCGGTCTCTCGTGGCTTCCGGGCCACTGCATGCATGCAGGAGCTGAGCCAACCCGTTACAAACGAGGTACTGTGATGTGGTCGGGTGGATCGGTCTTAAAGGGATTGGGGAAATACGGGTCAGGATTATCATCAGCCTCTCGATTTGTTCACCAACGCGCAATGAGAAAGAAGGGCTTGTGTTCATGAAAGTGTGCTTTTGTTTTTGCAGGACAGAATTTGAAGTTGGATGTCAGAAAATAAGGTCAATGATTTCATTGATGGCTTCTTTCAAGGCAGACGCAAAAACAAGAAATTCCACATTCAACATCACTAATGCAACATTTTTAGTCAACAGAAAAAAACTGACTGAAAATTGTTATTTATAAAAAAAATACGAGTTTCTTTTTACTTAAAACTGAACAAACTTGTCTCAATCTGCAAATATACACCGTTAGTTGGTCACTGACATTCATATAAAAAATAAATACTTCAGATATTCTCACCTGAACTCCAAGAGCATGATTTTTCTGATGGCAAACCTGAAAGAGAACACAAATAATGCAGCGACCCATCTACAGCAACCATTACTGCCCAGCGTTGAGCCAAACAACTCAGATGGCTGAGCCGTCTACATGCAAGGATTTACACGGTGCCTGCACTTGCAAATTCACAGCGGGCTTTCTTCTCCAGGAAACAAAGGATCTGTCTGCACTCACATATGTCGGTGACCGAGGCAATGGCATACATTCCAGGTTCCTGTGGCAGGAGGCAAGTATTTCCAAACGATGACTACTGTTGACTTTCTGTGAAGTGGTACAGGCAGTGCTCAACTTACGAACCGTTCCTACTTACAAACAGGTCTCAGGAACGGAACTCGTTCGTAATTTGGGGAATGCTAGTAGTAGGGAGCGGTCAGCACGCTACTTTACGAACCTGGTGACTCAAGTTTGATTCCCGCTCACAGCCAACACCAGTGACGATTATTTTAACCAGTCCTGGGCCTTCCCTAGGTCGACTCATATGATAACCTGGTGCGGGCGTGGTGCTGGCCACCCACCCCCTCGTGTGCCGCGCCAACCTTCATAGGTGCTCGCGAACAGGCCTTGTCCCAACAGTCTGTTAAGGCTATATGGGGGGGTCTTTGTATTTTTTCTTGATATATCGAGCTCAAGCGCATGGTAGGCTGAATTAACTGAATGAGCTGATTGTCCGACTGAACTCACAAAGTGATTGCGAGCTGGGCATTCAAACCACAGCGATACCTCGTCGTATTAAGTAACACGACAGAGCACAAAAGAAATTCAACTGGGAGAGAATATAGGTGTGATATTAATTTTAACGGAGGCAAAAGAAAAGTATTACTTTATTCATTTCATGTAAATTGTATTCCACCACACATGTTTATCGTATTAATGGTATCAGTGCCTCAATCAACATTTCCAGAAACTCCGATTAGCATGATTGGCTACGTACAACATCATTCACCTTTATGAGACCTCCTTTGCCAGAAACAAGATATAGGAATAGGTTTTACCCTTTTTAACTGGCACAAAAACTGACACCTTTATTCAAGGCATCATGTTTGCAATGACCACAACACAAGCAGTCAAAATGCAAACAAAAAAGACAACTCTGATAATAATATGCACTGTCCTTGAATTTGATTGGTCCACACCCGAGACAGCTTTTCTTAGAGCCTAGTCTCCATTGGTGTTGGACCAGAAGACGCCAAAAGGCGTACAACTCAAAAACAGCGCACTATCAGAGTATTGAGGGCTCGGGGTGAGCATTAACATTATGAGACCTCCTTTGCCAGATACAAGATATAGTAATAGGTTTTACCCTTTTACTGGCAAAGGAGGTCTCATAATGTTAATGCTCACCCCGAGCCCTCAATACTCTGATAGTGCGCTGTTTTTGAGTTGTACGCCTTTTGGCGTCTTCTGGTTCAACACCAATGGAGACTAGGCTCTAAGGAAAGCTGTCTCGGGTGTGGACCAATCAAATTCAAGGACAGTGCATATTATTATCAGAGTTGTCTTTTTGTTTGCATTTTGACTGCTTGTGTTGTGGTCATTGCAAACATGATGCCTTGAATAAAGGTGTCAGTTTTTGTGCCAGTTAAAAAGGGTAAAACCTATTCCTATATCTTGTTTCTGGCAAAGGAGGTCTCATAATGTTAATGCTCACCCCGAGCCCTCAATACTCTGATAGTGTGCCGTTTTCGAGTTGTACGCCTTTTGGCGTCTTCTGGTCCAACACCAATGGAGACTAGGCTCTAAGAAAAGCTGTCTCGGGTGTGGACCAATCAAATTCAAGGAGAGTGCATATTATTATCAGAGTTGTCTTTTTTGTTTGCATTTTGACTGCTTGTGTTGTGGTCATTGCAAACATGATGCCTTGAATAAAGGTGTCAGTTTTTGTGCCAGTTAAAAAGGGTAAAACCTATTCCTATATCATTCACCTTCTCTATAACGCCAATTTTCAATTCCTAGCTGCAAAATGACTGACGGATTCTAATGCTTTTCAGCCGTAGCATTTCACGCCATTAAATTTATTTACCTGGTTAAAAGCCCAAACATTTCACAATTTAGTTGCTGGACCAATGTGAGCAAAACCAAACAGTGCAAAGTGCACACTTACTTTGTCTTCAACATTTCTCTCTCATAAATGTCTTCGATTACCTGTTAAAAAGATAACAATGAAAAAAACTCATAAAATGTGTACAGTATTACACGGCAAGTTTAAGTATGGAAATTATGTTCAGTGGCTCACAACAGCGTAGTGGCTATCTGAATATGGAACTCAGTGGCCACTCAAAATAAGGCCCTGCATTAAAATTCATCAAGCTAAAAACATTTTCAAAGTACAATATGCCTCTACTATATTTATAACATCAAACATGTGCATACATATTTTTTCTAAAGAAATTTTCCAATGTCAATGAAGTCAATTAGGTAGGAATCATTCTGGCTAGTTAATATGGATCTAACTATTCGCCTCTGATATAAAAATGATGAATTGTCACAGAGCATAAAAATCTATTTCAGTGGATGTAACAAACCATTACATCCTGGCTGGTTAGGATTCGGGTTGACAGCAATCATTTTCTCCTACAAAATACACGTTAACAATGGGATAAGGATATTATTCTGTCAAAAGGCATTTCCCATCCTATGCAGTAGTGCGAGTCTCATTTAATGTTCCAATCCTGTTTACCTTTGGGTTGAAGGGTAATTTCTTTTTGATGTGTGGTGCCCAGTACTGGTTTGAGAGCTACAGGCATACAATAGAGGGGGACACAGTTAAATAATTTCAACCGCTCATCTTTCAGTGTTTACATCTTCTTTTAGATGTAGGTGGAGAAGAGGAGTCTTAAGCCTGGACATGATACACAAGGAGCCGTTAGTGCAGGCAGCAACGGGTGAGATTATAGCAGAAGAGGAAGATTTTTAAAAACCTGGGAAGATGTATGAATTAATAGGCCAAATAATGCAAATGACTACTGCATACCTGTCAACCCATAAGGTTACCCGTATTCTTGTATAGGGAAATTTAGTTTCCAGGTCCACACGGCGTACGGCCGTTTCAATACCGGCATTTTTTTTATTGTCTATTTGATCCTTATGCCGGTACCCCGGGGTACCACATAATACAAAATGACCGAGGCAATTAAATATTTTATTTCTAGGACACTTTTTTTTCTAGGGGTGTTACTTAACTCCGCGACTGGGGCAACAATCAATCCGAAATCAGTGCTACTCCGCGATGTCGAAACGCAGCGAGGACGACTGCGCTGAAACCCTGAACGCTCGTACACACCGTAGTGGTGCATCGTGTACAGCTCGTCGAGATGAGTCCATTGCCGCATCCCCGACCATCAACAGACTAAAAATGACTGCATCACGGAGATTATGCGAGAGCCGGGGTAACTATGGTACCGCCATAAGGTTAATTTGTCTGTTTCTCTCTTGTGATGGCACTGTGTAGGATGAACGTTGAGATTTATAAGGGCACGGAGTGACCAATAAGGTCTGAATTGGCCTGTAACAAGGTATGTAGTATTGTTTGTGGTCGATTGCCAAAACCCCTTTAAAAGTGGGAGTAAACCGACGTCCTGCTTCACGAAGGCAGGAAACCCCCGCAAGCTACAGCCCAGCGTGTCGTGACCGATGATCACGGATGGCCTCACCGTGCCTTGCCCATTACCTCCCGTCCTGTGGCATGCGTGGGAACAGAGGTTCCCAGGTGTGATTTTTTCCCACCAACTATTTCCGTATTATCCGATTAGTCAAGAAACCAAACCAATAATCGTTGCAGTAATCGATTACTGAAATAATTGGGTTGACCAGCTCTAGTGCTCTCCGATCAGGCAAGAGTTGTAGGGGGTTATTTCTCATTCCAGTCTATTCTCCTATAACGCGGTAGCAGTTGCGTTCCTTAAGAACACGGCGTTGTGGACAAATCGCATCGTAATAAATAATATAGGGGTAAAGCACAGTCCGCGATAACACATAAGATGCATACGCAGGCTGAACAAAGACTGAGGTGCGTAGGTATCATCTTAAAGCATCCAGCAGCATCCCGTTTTATATAATGCTACGCCGAGGCCGCTGTACGACTGGTTATTCCTACTCGCACGATGTAGTTCCATTCACTCGATTGCATTATATATCAAATTCGCATCCACGTTATGAAAAAAATGTGTCCCTCATACGTTCATCCAAATCGCGTTATGAAAACTACATGCACCTAAAGGAAATCCATGCACACTGTACAATGAATCGGCCTGACATACCTGGGTGATGTACTCCGCATTGATCTGCGCCACCGTTGGCGCAAGCGCCTTCTTTGGTGCCACGGCTTGCGTGGCCATGGCAGTTGTGGGGCGTTCAGTCTTCAAAAGGAAACTTGAAATCCTACAACTCAAAAGCAATCTGGAATAACATAATTAAAAAAAGCAAAGAAAATTATCTCAGAAACTTCAGGTCCTCACCAATAGCCATTCCCAGTAACTCGCGGTCTTCACTGCTGACGGCAGTGTGCGGCTGTCAATAACTATTTTACTCATCTGCTTCCTGTCACGTGGTGAGTATTCCGGCTGCTCCTGGTTGCCAATAAGTTTGTTCAACGACTGCTGTGCAAACCATTTAGTTTTTTTAATCTATATTATTCACGACGCAAATCATTATTGAGTCATTATATAACTTTGCGTCGAACTTGGACCCACATCGTGAGATCGGCAGTTCACCGGCACCGACTTAAGCAAGCCTGACTGCTGATGAGACACCGCATGTCGAAACCGGTCCAGAATTTGCTTGTCCTAAAACAATGCTCCAGACACTGTGGACTCACATAAGGCCATGCTGGCTGATGGGTTGTGTAAGAAATACTTTATTTATGTATGCAGAGAGACGGATATGTGGCAACAATCTACTTAAACCATGAGATGTTCAAACCTGAAAACTCTTAAACAATTTGCTTTATTTCACCAGGTAAGGCCCCACTGAGTATATCCATTTTTCAGAATTGACCTGGCCACACATGATAGCTCAACGAAGTGGCTTATGTGTACATTTATTACAGGCAAATACTCTCAACGCATGTTGTTTTTAAATGTGGAGAGAAAAACCAGAGAACACGGAGAAAAATCCACGCGACCATGGAGAGAGAGACATGCAAACTCCATAAATACAGGTGTCAGGGTCAGGATCGAACCTACGACCTCCTGTCCTGTGTACCAGGGCAATGGAGTGAACATCTCGCCACCATGGCACGCAGCTCGCTTGAAATCTCCCTAACAAGAACATCTTATCTCAAATTAGATTGCTATAGGCATGGTACACATTTAACGAAATTAATGTTCAAAATGGCAAGTTGTGGAATGTCCGAATGGCAAATTATCCACTTGCTTATTGTAATATTTATAATTCTCCACGACACCGATCGTTTTGAAGCACGCACAGGCACACACCAGCGTGTGGGGGGAGCTGCGATACGCCTTGGGGCAGCAGGTGGCAGGGTTACCCACCGGCACAGACCATCGTGAAGTATGGTCAAATGAACCCCACCGTGACACGCAGTGGACAGATAGGCTCTAAAGAAAGCTGTCTCAAAGACAATGCATTATATTACCAGAGCATGTTTTGTGATTGCATGTTCACTACAAGTACCACGTGTGGTTAATGCAGACATGATTCCTTGCAAAAGGTTTCTCTATTTGATGTTTGAACATCTTAACACCTGTTTTATTGCCAGAAAGGGTAAAACCTATTCTTATAGACATATAGGGGGGCTGTTACACGTGTACTATACTCGCACGGTAAGTCGCGTATGTGGCTGGCTGGGACTGAGGCGCTGTATATGCAGATGTTTTGTGAAAAGGCCGGATATGTGAATATCCATACAAGCCAATGATCATACAATGCACAGGTATTGCATTGGGGATATGCGGTGAATTGATTGATCGGGACTGATAAGCGACGTTGTAGTGTTGTGGGAACGCTGTGGCGTTATCCCGAACGCTGTGGAGTTATCGCGAACGGTGTGGAGTTATAGCGAACGTTGTGGAGTTATAGCCAACGGTGCGGAGTTATAGCAAACGGTGTGGAGTTATAGCAAACGTTGTGGCGTTATAGCGAACGCTGTGGAGTTATAGCGAACGCTGTGAAGTTATAGCGAACGCTGTGGAGTTATAGCGAACGGTGTGGCGTTATGGCGAATGCTGTGGAGTTATAGCGAACGCTGTGGAGTTATAGCGAACGCTGTGGAGTTATAGCGAACGCTGTGGAGTTATAGCGAACGTTGTGGAGTTATAGCGAACGGTGTGGCGTTATAGCGAACGTTGTGGCGTTATAGCGAACGTTGTGGAGTTATAGCGAACGTTGTGGAGTTATGGCGAACGCTGTGGAGTTATAGCGAACGGTGTGGAGTTATAGCGAACGCTGTGGAGTTATAGCGAACGTTGTGGAGTTATAGCGAACGTTGTGGAGTTATAGCGAACGTTGTGGAATTATAGCGAACGCTGTGGAGTTATAGCGAAAGTTGTGGGGTTATAGCGAACGTTGTGGAGTTACCGCGAACGGTGTGGAGTTATAGCGAATGTTGTAGCGTTATAGCGAACGCTGTGGAGTTATGGCGAACGGTGTGGAGTTATAGCGAATGTTGTGGAGTTATAGCGAACGTTGTGGAGTTATAGCGAACGGTGTGGAGTTATAGCGAACGTTGTGGAGTTATAGCGAACGTTGTGGAGTTATGGCGAATGCTGTGGAGTTATAGCGAACGTTGTGGAGTTATAGCGAACGTTGTGGAGTTATAGCGAACGCTGTGGAGTTATAGCGAACGGTGTGGAGTTATAGCGAACGTTGTGGAGTTATAGCGAACGGTGTGGAGTTATAGCGAACGCTGTGGAGTTATAGCGAACGTTGTGGAGTTATAGCGAACGTTGTGGAGTTATAGCGAACGTTGTGGAATTATAGCGAACGCTGTGGAGTTATAGCGAAAGTTGTGGGGTTATAGCGAACGTTGTGGAGTTACCGCGAACGGTGTGGAGTTATAGCGAATGTTGTAGCGTTATAGCGAACGCTGTGGAGTTATGGCGAACGGTGTGGAGTTATAGCGAATGTTGTGGAGTTATAGCGAACGTTGTGGAGTTATAGCGAACGGTGTGGAGTTATAGCGAACGTTGTGGAGTTATAGCGAACGTTGTGGAGTTATGGCGAATGCTGTGGAGTTATAGCGAACGTTGTGGAGTTATAGCGAACGTTGTGGAGTTATAGCGAACGCTGTGGAGTTATAGCGAACGGTGTGGAGTTATAGCGAACGTTGTGGAGTTATAGCGAACGGTGTGGAGTTATAGCGAACGGTGTGGAGTTATGGCGAATGCTGTGGAGTTATAGCGAACGGTGTGGAGTTATGGCGAATGCTGTGGAGTTATAGCGAACGGTGTGGAGTTATAGCGAACGTTGTGGAGTTATAGCGAACGCTGTGGAGTTATAGCGAATGTTGTGGAGTTATGGCGAACGCTGTGGAGTTATAGCGAACGGTGTGGAGTTATGGCGAATGCTGTGGAGTTATAGCGAACGGTGTGGAGTTATAGCGAAAGTTGTGGGGTTATAGCGAACGTTGTGGAGTTATAGCGAACGCTGTGGAGTTATAGCGAATGTTGTGGAGTTATGGCGAACGCTGTGGAGTTATAGCGAACGGTGTGGAGTTATGGCGAACGTTGTGGAGTTATAGCGAACGCTGTGGAGTTGTAGCGAACGTTGTGGAGTTATAGCGAACGGTGTGGAGTTATAGCGAACGCTGTGGAGTTATAGCGAACGTTGTGGAGTTATAGCGAACGGTGTGGAGTTATAGCGAAAGTTGTGGGGTTATAGCGAAAGGTGTGGAGTTATAGCGAACGTTGTAGCATTATAGCGAACGTTGTGGAGTTATAGCGAACGGTGTGGCGTTAAAGCGAACGGTGTGGAGTTATGGCGAACACGGTGACGTTAGAGCGAACGGTGTGGAGTTATAGCGAAAGGTGTGGAGTTATAGCGAATGGTGTGGAGTTATGGCGAACGGTGTGGAGTTATAGCGAACGGTGTGGAGTTATCGCGAACGTTGTGGAGTTATCGCGAACGTTGTGGAGTTATAGCGAACGGTGTGGAGTTATGGCGAACGGTGTGGAGTTATAGCGAAAGTTGTGGGGTTATAGCGAACGTTGTGGAGTTATAGCGAACGGTGTGGAGTTATAGCGAACGGTGTGGAGTTATAGCGAACGGTGTGGAGTTATCGCGAACGTTGTGGAGTTATCGCGAACGTTGTGGAGTTATAGCGAACGCTGTGGAGTTATAGCGAACGCTGTGGAGTTATAGCGAAAGTTGTGGGGTTATAGCAAATGTTGTGGAGTTACCGCGAACGGTGTGGAGTTATAGCGAATGTTGTAGCGTTATAGCGAACGCTATGGCGTTATCGCGAACGGTGTGGAGTTATAGCGAACACGGTGACGTTAGAGCGAACGCGGTGACGTTATAGCGAATGCTGTAACGTTATAGCGAACGCGGTGACGTTATAACGAACGCTGTGACGTTATGGCGAACCCTGTGACATTATGGCGAACCCTGTGACGTTATGGCGAACGATGTGACGTTATGGCGAACGCTGCGACGTTATGGCGAACGCTGTGACGTTATGGCGAACGCTGTGACGTAATAGTGAACGCTGTGACGTTATGGCGAACGCTGTGACGTTATGGCGAACGCTGTGACGTTAAGGCGAACGCTGTGACGTTATGGCGAACGCTGTGACGTTATGGCGAACGCTGTGACGTTGTGGCGAACGCTGTGACGTTGTGGCCAACGCTGTGACGTTGTGGCGAACGCTGTGACGTTATGGCGAACGCTGCGACGTTATCGCGAACGCTGCGACGTTATCGCGAACGCTGCGACGTTATAGCGAACGCTGCGACGTTATCGCGAACGCTGCGACGTTATAGCGAACGCTGCGACGTTATAGCGAACGCTGTGGAGTTATTGCGAACGCTGTGGAGTTATAGCGAAAGTTGTGGGGTTATAGCGAACGTTGTGGAGTTACCGCGAACGGTGTGGAGTTATAGCGAATGTTGTAGCGTTATAGCAAACGCTGTGGAGTTATGGCGAACGGTGTGGAGTTATAGCGAACGGTGTGGAGTTATGGCGAATGCTGTGGAGTTATAGCGAACGGTGTGGAGTTATGGCGAATGCTGTGGAGTTATAGCGAACGTTGTGGAGTTATAGCGAACGGTGTGGAGTTATAGCGAACGGTGTGGAGTTATGGCGAATGCTGTGGAGTTATAGCGAACGTTGTGGAGTTATGGCGAACGCTGTGGAGTTATAGCGAACGGTGTGGAGTTATAGCGAACGCTGTGGAGTTGTAGCGAACGTTGTGGAGTTATAGCGAACGTTGTGGAGTTATAGCGAACGCTGTGGAGTTATAGCGAACGGTGTGGAGTTATAGCGAAAGTTGTGGGGTTATAGCGAAAGGTGTGGAGTTATAGCGAACGTTGTAGCATTATAGCGAACGTTGTGGAGTTATAGCGAACGGTGTGGCGTTAAAGCGAACGGTGTGGAGTTATGGCGAACACGGTGACGTTAGAGCGAACGGTGTGGAGTTATAGCGAAAGGTGTGGAGTTATAGCGAATGGTGTGGAGTTATGGCGAACGGTGTGGAGTTATAGCGAACGGTGTGGAGTTATCGCGAACGTTGTGGAGTTATAGCGAAAGTTGTGGGGTTATAGCGAAAGGTGTGGAGTTATAGCGAACGGTGTGGAGTTATGGCGAACGGTGTGGAGTTATAGCGAACGCTGTGAAGTTATAGCGAACGCTGTGAAGTTATAGCGAACGCTGTGGAGTTATAGCGAATGCTGTGAAGTTATAGCGAACGCGGTGACGTTATAGCGAACGCTGTAACGTTATAGCGAACGCGGTGACGTTATAACGAACGCTGTGACGTTATGGCGAACCCTGTGACATTATGGCGAACCCTGTGACGTTATGGCGAACAATGTGACGTTATGGCGAACGCTGCGACGTTATGGCGAACGCTGTGACGTTATGGCGAACGCTGTGACGTAATAGTGAACGCTGTGACGTTATGGCGAACGCTGTGACGTTATGGCGAACGCTGTGACGTTAAGGCGAACGCTGTGACGTTATGGCGAACGCTGTGACGTTGTGGCGAACGCTGTGACGTTGTGGCGAACGCTGTGACGTTGTGGCCAACGCTGTGACGTTGTGGCGAACGCTGTGACGTTATGGCGAACGCTGCGACGTTATCGCGAACGCTGCGACGTTATCGCGAACGCTGCGACGTTATAGCGAACGCTGCGACGTTATCGCGAACGCTGCGACGTTATAGCGAACGCTGCGACGTTATAGCGAACGCTGTGACGTTATGGCGAACGCTGTGACGTTATCGCGAACGCTGTGACGTTATGGCGAACGCTGTGACGTTATCGCGAACGCTGTGACGTTATGGCGAACGCTGTGACGTTATAGCGAACGCTGTGACGTTATGGCGAACGCTGTGACGTTATAGCGAACGCTGCGACGTTATCGCGAACGCTGTGGTGTTATCGCGAACGCTGCGACGTTATCGCGAACGCTGTGACGTTATAGCGAACGTCACGGGGCTATAGGGAGTTAGTGACCGCCGTAGAGTTCGGGGCAGGGGGTGTTAACCCAAACGCGTAGCTTGCGTATGGGGGTCTACTGACAATGTACGCATAGGAAACGGGGGGGGGGGGGGTGAAGCCGCGATAATAATTTGTCTACATTGGCCTTCAAATGAGCCACAGTTCAGTGTCTCCAGCTGTCAGACCACAAATACTATACTAGCGGGAGAAGTGGGCCTCTGGGAGAGGTGTCACTCGTGTGCCACCGTGCCCCCTGACTGCAGCTATCAGCAAAATAAGTTCTCACGATACGCAACTTAATTATTTAATGCAGCCGGCGGTGGACTATCTGTTTGCTTAATATCCTTGATCGTTTCTGCGTGGTTTAAACATCGACCGTTCTATAGGATTCTGGGGGGGGGAGGGGTGCCTCAGGCTGTACGTCCTCAGGTTTGGGAGGGGGGGGGGTAAAAAGTCCGCGTGCGTACAGGGAGTGGGGTCAAGTTTTTGACAGATTTGCGCGTACTCACTAAACGGATGACCCCCTTTATCGCGAACGCCGCGGTGTTGTCGCGATGCGTTCCGTTGAATGGAGAGGCCTAGCCGATGCAACACTCGCACGCACCTACCCAGAGCCTCGGTTTGGCAGGAAACTTTCAAACGCAAGTCGTGGCGATTTTTTTCTTCCGAATTCTTCACACGAATATACGACGACGACGACAACAACAACAAGAAATCAAGAGATACTCCTAAAGTTTAAACTGCGTCGGAAATTCACGGAGTTAAAAACGAGGCCCCCCGCGCGCGCGCGCGTACACGCCCCCTGTCCAAGAAGGCCGCGCGCGATTCGAGCGACGCCTCGGCCAATCGGAGCGCGCGATACTCAGCGCGGCGGCGCGCACGTGGACCTGGTGGTCGCGGTGGGGAGCGGTTAGCGCTACGCTGCGCTACGAACCCGGTGAACCGAGTTCGATTCCCGCTCACGGCCAGCCACCAACACCGTCAGTGACGATTATCTGAACCGGTCCTGGGCCTTCCCTAGGCCGACTCAGCCTCAAATGAGTACCTGGTGCGGTGTGTAAAAACATTGCCACTGGGGAGACAAAGGCGGCCGGGCGTGGTGCTGGTCACCCACCCCCCTTGTGTGTCGTCCCGGCCTTCATAGTTGCTCGCGAACAGCACTTGCCTCAACAGTCTGTCAAGACTACACGGGGGATCTTTGTCTTTGGTAATGGGTTTTTTGGTTGAGCCCCAAAACCTCTTCCGGAATATGCTGCAACATGCGGCTGTATTGATAGCATCAACAAGAATCTGCAACAGAATTAATGATTAATTATGTTCATATTTTAGGCCCATAGAGGAATTTGGACGTGGGTTTGCCCATTTAAGGAACTAGCTTATAGCGCGTCCAAGGACGGGTGTATTGCAGTAAATCTGAAATATTTAATCGAAAATAATGTTCCGCTCATGATTATTAATGATAGCGTTGCGGAGTTAGCGTGCCATCAGGGTTCTGGATTTTTATATATTAAAATAAGAAAATTATTAATAATACTGGAACGGGAATTGACGGTTTTTTTATTTACCGATTAAACGGGGGTTTTACGATACAAAACTTGATCCATGTTTGATCCATGCTCGAACGATATTTTGAATACCTGTGTGCATGTGTTCCAGCAAGGATTAAGTGATTCCTGTCACGTGGTTTCTAGATCTTAAAATCCGATTTGCGGATCGAACAAAAAGAATTGCCCATCTTAAACTATCCCCTTGACGCCAACTGCCTTCCCTCTGCATGAACGTAATGTGTCATTCATTCTGTCGCGGATTCATTGTTACCCTGTTACAGCGCGCCTCGCAGCGAGAAGGCCCTAAGTTTGACCTCTGACCCACGCGCCCTTCTGCGTGGGAGTACTACACTGCACGTGTGTTTGCTCCGCCGACTGTTCTGAGTGCGGTCCTGGTCCTGGGCCTCCGCTTAGGTCGACTCGGCCTTGACCTCAGTAACGTACCTGGTAGGGTGTGTACACTTCAGCATTGGGGAGACAAAGGCGGCCACGTGTGGTCTTGGCCAACCACGACCCCCTGCTCGTGTGCCGTGCTGGTCTTCGTAGGTGCTCGTTCAAAGCACTTGCTCGAAAAGTATTTTTAAGGCTATACAGGGTATTCACATTATTGGGGTCATTCGGTAAAGTCACGTAGAAAGGTTCAAAGAAATAACAAAAAAACTACGACATTTCGATCGCAACACAAGCGGTCGTCATTGGGAAAAGGGGGGTTAGCTTCGAAAGACAACTGTTTATAAAGGTTTGAAATGGGCATAGGCCAAATGTCAGCAGCAAATGTTAATGTAAGTGGTGGTCAGCGACTGCGGCGGTGGTGGGTTTAATGTGATAGATTAGCATGTTAATGTGAAAGATTAGCATGTTAATGTGATAGATTAGCATGTTAATGTGAGGGATTAACATGTTAATGTGAGAGATTAACATGTTAATGTTAAATATTAGCATGTTAATGTGAGAGATTAGCATGTTAATGTTAGAGATTAGCATGTTAATGTGAGAGATTAACATGTTAATGTGAGAGATTAGCATGTTAATGTGAGAGATTAGCATGTTAATGTGAGAGATTAACATGTTAATGTGAGAGATTAACATGTTAATGTGAGAGATTAACATGTTAATGTTCAATATTAGCATGTTAATGTGAGAGATTAGCATGTTAATGTTAGAGATTAGCATGTTAATGTGAGAGATTAACATGTTAATGTTAAATATTAACGTGTTAATGTGAGAGATTAACATGTTAATGTTAAATATTAGCATGTTAATGTGAGAGATTAGCATGTTAATGTTAGAGATTAGCATGTTAATGTGAGAGATTAACATGTTAATGTGAGATATTAGCATGTTAATGTGAGAGATTAGCATGTTAATGTGAGAGATTAGCATGATAATGTGAGAGATTAACATGTTAATGTGAGAGATTAACATGTTAATGTTCAATATTAGCATGTTAATGTGAGAGATTAGCATGTTAATGTTAGAGATGAGCATGTTAATGTGAGAGATGAGCATGTTAATGTGATAGATTAGCATGATAATGTGAGAGATTCACATGTTAATGTGAGAGATTAGCATGATAATGTGAGAGATTCACATGTTAATGTTAAATATTAGAATGTTAATGGCAGATCGCTGAGCAGCAACCTCGAGGATGGCGAGCGAGGTGGCTGTGTTAGTGTGAGAAATTTAATCTCTGAATGTAAAAATCAGAGAGCCGAAAAATAACAACATCGGGAGGTGGTAGGATGGGAACATCACAGCCAGTTGACTTAAACTGGTTAATAACGTCCAACGATTGCTCAGTATGTACCCATCTTCTCGGTTGAAATTGTGTCTGTGTCTATATATATGGATGGCTGCATGATTCTTTGTTGATAGCCAGTAGGTTTGCAGAGTACCTTCGTCTGGGATAAATCTATTTCGTATTAACACGTCCATTAGTAACCATAATGCACACGCATAATGTACGTTGCCTCAGTAATCCCCCCCCCCTCCCCCCACATGGTGCAAAAGCACAGAAGCGTGGTCACCACATCTACGCGTCTATATAAGGAACGAAACAGGTGGCCTTCTACACAAATCTGGCTGTCGCCTGATGAAGCTAGTTGTAATTACTGGCGAAACGTCGTACTCAGATTGTAAATGTTGTGGCTTGGCTCTCCAACACACCGGTTAGTGCTGTACTAGTACTAGTATACTACACTACACTATACACTACACACTAGTGCTGTACTAGTGACGAATTGGCCACGTTCTGTTTACGTGACAACCCTTGCTAGTTGGCCGTGTCGGGTGGTGGCGGCTTTTAACGACACATTTATATATTTACGCGATCTAACCCAAACAACCTCTATTATGGATATTCCGGGGGGTGGACAAATCTGTGATCGGTTTATATTGTCGGGTGTTCGATGTTATCGTTCGATGACAGCGCCACTTTGATACGTTGCCCTGGCCAGTAAATCAAACAATTATTGTGCTATGGGTGACCCATTGCCACCGCTACCTCCCACCCCCCACACGCTACGTGTACAACTCAAAATATTAAATAATTACTAAGCGCTATTACTACATTCATTTTTATTTCATTTCTAAATATCAAATACAAAGGCTAGGAAGGTTGCCAAAACCTGGAGCCTGGATTACAGCAACGTCTGAATCGCAAATCAAAGCTCGTACTTTTTCACAGGGCGCTTAAATCTGTTTTTGGCAATTAAATATACAAAGCACGCAGCCCTTTTGTCAATCCGCTGCTGGATGAAGGCCTGCTCAAGCCTTGCGAGTCACGTGGGATGTTTGACCATACTTCACCGTGCTGGTTATTCATGGGTTTGGAGGGGGGCGGAGTGGTGGCCAGGCCGCTGACCCTTCAAATAATAATGACCAGATGTCTCTCGTCACTGATGTTGGCCGTGGTCCGGGAATTAAGCTCAGAGGTCACCGGGTTCCTGGCGCAGTGGTGCTCCCCTCCCCTCTCGCCTGTCTCTACCACCACACGGCTTATGTAATTATCCATTCGTGAGTCTGCGTGCGTGCATTTGTAATGTAGCTCTCAGAGACACCGTCTTGTCTTTCCGTATATTTATTATGAATAAAGTCCACTGATAACGAGTAACCACGAGTGACTATATACACTTGGGTAGTGAGACGACTCTATTCTGAGACAACATAGCTTCTAGTCTCAAGACAACTCGCAGACGATGGAGACGACCCGTTCCAAGGCGACGATGACGACGGCGATTCCCCACACCAACAGCCCCCAGGTCCGGTTCATACCGGCTTTTATGCCTCGCCCGATCCGGCCACGCCCCTATTCTCGAATTCTCCTTACCCCACCTGGCTCTGTCAATCTACGCCCTTATTGCACTTTCCCGCCATTGGATCCCGTGCTCCCCCTCACGTGACCCGCCAACGCTTGTCCCACCAATCATCATGAGCACGTCCATGAGTAACCATGGTCCCGGGGAACCATACTGTCCCTCTATCGCTCCGTACTGTCTTTACACATGCCCGTGTGAATGTGAAGGGGTAGTGTAGTTCGAGCATGCCGCGCTATGAACCCGGCCACCCGGTCAACACCGGTGACGATTATATGAACCGGTCCTGGGCCTTCCCATGGTCCACTCGGCCTCAAATGAGTACTTGGTGCAATGTGTAAACATCGCCACTGGGGAGACAAAGGCGGCCGGGCGTGGTTCTTGGCCATCCACACCCTGGTATGCCGTGTTGGCCTCCATAGGTGCGACATGCTAACAGCACTTGCCCCAAGTCTGTTACAGCCTATATGGGGGTCTTTGCCTTCGAGCAAACGTTGTCAGATTGTAATTCTACAAATACCTCAAGGTGCTTTCTACCTCTTGATGTACGATAAAGCCAGGAGATACCATGGGAAGAAGACATCTGCACAATACCAAAAGGGGGCAGGGGAATTACAATGTAATGTATAATTCTTACGCATTTGATTCTTACGTTTCAAAGTCCCGAGGATATGAAGATATTTCTCAGAATGCGCTTTATCTCAAAAACAGGAAGGATCCTGTAAAAAAAAACCCAGGACAGGTTGGTAACTCCAATGCAACAACCGTGATTTTGGTTAAGGGACAATTTGAAGGGAGGGAAAATTGAACTTCTATAACACGGGGTGTGTTGTTTCAAGGGGGAAATGTCTTCATTTCGTGATTACATGATGATGGCACAATTGGAATGGCTCTCTTGTGTTGAAATGTACAATACGAGCACATTTTATTTTTTAAAAAAGTTTGTCTCGTCGAGTTGTTGAATAAATAACTGTTGTAGAATAAAAAAAACCACGCAAACTGCCAATTGAGCGTCACATGGAAGATATGTGAAGGATCAATGTACTGTCAGACACCCCGGAGTGGTTTATTAATGAAAGGTGAGGCATAGATGCTCCGTGCACATTGCATTCATCCCAATCAGTTGAATAATTTCCACTAAGTGCTGCTGCCCCAGGATTGACACCCACCCTGGCATGGATTCAGCGTAATCGTGGTTCCAAATCCCCCGCCAGCCATGCACGTGCCACGTGCATGGCTGGCAGGCTCTTTCAACGACTTGTGCGAGACAAAAAGAAAACTCTACGGGGCGGGAAATCAGGCACGGTGACGAGACATCAGCATGCTCTGCTCCCAGAGCTTTAACATAATAGCCAGGAAGGAGATCGTGGCCAGCTGGATGGACCACGAGCCCCGTTCATGGAAACAGTGGCATAACACACTCCTAGCGCATGCGGGCATGGATCATCTGTGCATGCGTAACAGAGAGCTCGCTCGATGTTGCATCATGCTGTCGATATTAGGAAGCCACTGGGAGCTATACACTTTAAAATTTAGATTGAAAGCTCGTTTCTTTAGAACTGCTTCTTGTGTTTTAGTTTGTCCTTCCCCCGCACCTCCGATTAGCATGGTTGAATACGTACGGTGCGAAAGAAGTTCAACATACATACGTACCGTAATAGGTGCTCTAACAGCACTTGCCCAGTCTCTTCAGCTACTTTGGAGACCTACGTCTTTTCAAAAAAGCTCTATTTGTGTGTGAACATACATGTATATGCGATATTGAATAATAACAACAATGAATGCATAAACAAGAGTGTTTATAGATTCATATTTTAATAATGTAATAATGTAGATGCATTGTTAAACCTGTGATACAAGCATTTAAACAAGCATGCCTTAAGCACTGCTCTGCTGTATGCAGTCCGCATTATGAACACCGGTAACAATTACAATAAGAAGAAATAATTTGTCTACCAACATAAACAAGCAAAGACAAAACATTTTTAAAAACTGAAACTTTGATTTAAAACCACATTCCTAATATGTACGTACACGTGGTGTGTATGCTAAAACTATTTAAATGTCCCTTTGTTTGCTCGATTGAGTATTTGGAAATGCTTATCGGCAAAGGCGATCATGTCATTCATGGAAATTTCACATACCCATGGTTGAGACTAACCTCCACATAAGAAAACTACTCTCGCACACTGTTTACAGATGCGTCTGGTGGAGTCTTGGTTTAAGAAAAAACAAAGAAGTTGTGTTGAAAATGACGATAGGAATGTCGATGACGGCGATGATGACGGCGATGATGACGGTGATGATGGGGATGGATTGACCCTGGCCAGGATTTAAGCTCATACAGTGAGGGAAAAAAGTATTTGATCCCCTGCTGATTTTGTACGTTTGCTCACTGACAAATAAATGATCAGTCTATATTTTTAATGGTAGGTTTATTTGAACAGTGAGAGACAGAATAACAACAAAATCCAGAAAAACGCACATCAAAAATGTTATAAATTGATTTGCATTTTAATGAGGGAAATAAGTATTTGACCCCTCTGCAAAACATGACTTAGTACTTGGTGGCAAAACCCTTGTTGGCAATCACAGAGGTCAGACGTTTCTTGTAGTTGGCCACCAGGTTTGCACACATCTCAGGAGGGATTTTGTCCCACTCCTATTTGCAGATCTTATCCAAGTCATTAAGGTTTCGAGACTGACGTTTGGCAACTCGAACCTTCAGCTCCTTCCACAGATTTTCTATGGGATTAAGGTCTGGAGACTGGCTAGGCCACTCCAGGACCTTAATGTGCTTCTTCTTGAGCCACTCCTTTGTTGCCTTGGCCGTGTGTTTTGGATCATTGTCATGCTGGAATACCCATCCACGACCCATTTTCAATGCCTTGGCTGAGGGAAGGAGGTTCTCACCCAAGATTTGACGGTACATCGTCCCTTTTATGCGGTGAAATTGTCCTGTCCCCTTAGCAGAAAAACACCCCCAAAGCATAATGTTTCCACCTCCATGTTTCACAGTGGGGATGGTGTTCTTGGGGTCATAGGCAGCATTCCTCCTCCTCCAAACACGGCGAGTTGAGTTGATGCTAAAGAGCTCCATTTTGGTCTCATCTGACCACAACACTTTCACCCAGTTGTCCTCTGAATCATTCAGATGTTCATTGGTAAACTTCAGACGGGCATGTATATGTGCTTTCTTGAGCAGGGGGACCTTGCAGGCGCTGCAGGATTTCAGTCCTTCACGGCGTAGTGTATTACCAATTGTTTTCTTGGTGACTATGGTCCCAGCTGCCTTGAGATCATTGACAAGATCCTCCCGTGTATTTCTGGGCTGATTCCTCATCGTTCTCATGATCATTGCAACTCCACGAGATGAGATCTTGCATGGAGCCCCAGGCCGAGGGAGATTGACAGTTATTTTGTGTTTCTTCCATTTGCGAATAATCGCACCAACTGTTGTCACCTTCTCACCAAGCTGCTTGGCAATGGTCTTGTAGCCCATTCCAGCCTTGTGTAGGTCTACAATCTTGTCCCTGACATCCTTGGAGAGCTCTTTGGTGTTGACCATGGTAGAGAGTTTGGAATCTGATTGATTGATTGCTTCTGTGGACAGGTGTCTTTTATACAGGTAACAAGCTGAGATTAGGAGCACTCCCTTAAAAGAGTGTGAGATTAGGAGCACTTCCTTTAAGAGTGTGCTCCTAATCTCAGCTCGTTACCTGTATAAAAGACATCTGGGAGCCAGAAATCTTTCTGATTGAGAGGGGATCAAATACTTATTTCCCTCATTAAAATGCAAATCAATTTATAACATGTTTGACATGCGTTTTTCTTGATTTTGTTGTTATTCTGTCTCTCACTGTTCAAATAAACCTACCATTAAAATTATAGACTGATCATTTCTTTGTCAGTGGGCAAACGTACAAAATCAGCAGGGGATCAAATACTTTTTTCCCTCACTGTAACTGGGAGCTCTGCTGCTCTTCCAATTGTGTTGCACCGTGGCCATACATGGTCAGTGCTTATTGACATACTTGCATATACACGTGTAATGTAGCTTTCAGAGACACCTTCTTGTTCGGTTATATGTATATTTATCATGAATAAAGTCCACCGACTCACTGATAACTTAACGAGTAACCGCGAGTGACTATATACACTTGGGTAACTTAGGTAACTCTATTCTGAGACAACATAACTCATAGCCTTCCAAGACTACAAAGTGCCCACTCCAAGATGACGAAGACGACCCGCTCCACGGTGACGACGGCGACGACAGTTCCCCCACAACAGCAGCCCAGAGCCCCAGTTCATGCCGGCTCTTATCCCCCTCATGACCCGGCCACGCCCCTATTCCCAAACCCTCTTTCACTGCACCTGGCCCTGTCTGTCTCTGCCCTTATTACAATTTACGACCGTTAGGTCACGTGCTTCCCCTCGCGACCCTGTCAAAGTTTGTCGCATCAATCATTATTAGCCACCACTTAGGTCCCACGTTACCCTAACGTGACCCTGTCTGTTCCCGTTACGTTAATTAGTAACCATGGCCACGGGGAGCCGTACTGTCCCTACATCGCCCCGTACTGTCCTTACACATGTAAACATAAACACTATTTACATGGAGGTTAAGGAAAAACAGGAATGCGTTATTTTCTGCAGTTTAAGCTGAATGACATTTTTCAGATAATCTAACTGTTAACATCGACATCACAGCAGTAGTTACATTGGAGAAACCAAGCGACATGTCTCAGACCGTGTTCGTGAACACAAGGCGGATCTGAAACACGGTAGGACTAATACCTCTGCCGTGGCTGATCATTGTTTTAACGCTGTGGGCACACATGAGATTAATTTCTCCAAGACGAAGGTACTATGCAAACCCACTGGCTATCAACAAAGATTTGTTCATGAAGCCATCCAGATATATAAACACAGACACAATTTCAACCGAGAAGATGGGTACAAATTCAGCAATCATTGGAAGGATGTTATTAACCAGGTAAACTCATAACTGGCTGTGATGCTTCCATCCTACCTGCCGAGGTTAAGAATTAGTTCCGACTCTCTGAGTTACATTACCTTGTCAAATGTCTTTACATTAACAGGCTAAATGTCTCACTAACATCGCTGCTGCTCCCTTTTCCTCGATGTGGCAGTGGCTCTCGTTGTTTAATAGGCTGAATGTGTCTCATTAATACAGCCGCTGCTGCGGGAGCCATCTCACATTGAAATGCTAATCTCTAATCTCGAGCAATACAATGGCTTCTTCAGCACCGTAGTCGTGGGGTTACATTAACACATTGACATGCTAATCTCTAGCGATACAATGGCCGAGGTATATTACTAGTAAATTCCATCTCTAGCCCCGCCTACTGACCCTTGGGTTGTACCCATCTCAAACCTATATAACCTCTTGCTGCTGTAATTATCTCGCTATATTTCTCCTGCCTCAGCAGTTCACCTGCTGTATTTTTTCACCTGAAGACGATTGCTTGTGTTGCGATCAAAACGTCGTGATTTTTCTATCTACGTGACTTTACCGATAGACCCAAAGAGGAGTAAATCATATATAATTGAGGGGTAAAGCACAGTCCGTGATAACACATGAGATGCGTATGTAGGCTGAACAAAGACTGAGACGTGTGGGTAGCATCTAGAAGCATCCAGCAGCATCCCACCTTGTGTGATGATGCTACGCCGAGGCTGCCGTACGACCGCTTATTCCTATTCGCATGACATAGTTCCGTTCACTCGATTGCGTTTTATCCAATTCACATCCACATTATAAAAATTGTGTTCCCTCGTAAATTCATGGCGTTATATCCACTTCACGTTATACAAAAAACACACGTGTTCCAGGAGAATAGACCATACCTAAAGAAAATCCATGCCAACTCAGATTTTATTTCAGCTGGTAAGGCCCATTGAGCTAAGCAGCTTTTTTACAAAACAATACAGTAACTCTGCCCAGATGGATTCACGAACCTACGGGTGCAATGCTATCTCCCAGCCACCTCGCAGCCTCAGAGCCCTCGAGTAATTTGCAAAGATAATGTCAGCCAAGAGGTTGGGAGGAGCAGAGCGGGGGAGATCAGGATGGGTTGCACCATCTATACAGGTGGGAGAAGCCGGGGGACATGGGCAAGTGATTCAGCTGTCGAGGGGAATGTGTCTTCCAGTGACGGCCACACCATCCCTGGGCCCATAGTGTGCAGGCACGGGGGGCACAGGAACATCCAAGTTGGGATCTTCCTTCCCCATGACGGAGTCGATCTGGTTGGACTTGCCCAGGTTCTTGATGACGTTGAAGTTGGAGCGTGCGGTCTCAGCGAGACCGCTCTCGAGGAGCCAGCCCTCGCACTCACAGTCCGGATCTCCGGCCAGCAGTGCGTTCTCCATGGCCGTCTGCATGTAGCGCACGCCCACGAGCACAGAGAGCTGCGCGTAGGGTCACACACGCATGGAGGGAGAGCAGTCGGTCGGTCGTGTGGCTGTACAGACTTTTGGAGCGAGCACTCTTGACGAGCACTTATGAAGAGCGGCATGGGGCACAGGAATGGGGGGTGGGGGGGGGCGCTGACGTTCGGTCCGGAGCCAGATTCAAATGCCATGTATGTATGTTGAACTTCGTTCACACCGTGCGTAGCCAACCGTGCCAATCGGAGGTGCGAGGCTTTACCAGGATATAACGACTTGGCTCCAGCTCGGTACGCCAAACAGCCAGTGGATATTAAAAAAAACCCCACCAGTATTACGAGGAACCCTGCTCTAGCTCATCTCAGATGCGGCAGTGGAAAAGGAGCCAGTGTCCCCAACACATCGCGAGACGTTCTTGACTCGGCTTTAAACCCACAAAGCCACCGCTGCGTACCTCGAAGAGCCATACAAGCAGCACGGTGAGCCCGACGTACGCCAGGATGCCCGTGTAGTGCTCGAGCAATGCCTCGCGGCAGCCTCGCATCCACAGGTTGAGCTCCTCGCTCAGGTAGTCGTAGTTGTAGTGCGCGGAGCTGTTGGTGATGCCCTGCTGGATGCAGGCGCGCGGGGAGTTGGGGTTGCAGCAGCTGAAGGGGACCCCGTCCACAAGGAACTTGCCATCCACGTTGCTCTTGAGACGGCTTGGGCACCATGGGCCGAGGGGCAAAGAGACGACAGGCAAGGGAGGCGAAGGTCAAGCAGAGCGGTTGGTGGTGACCGGCGGAAGGGGGTGGAATTGGAGTTGGGGAAAGTAAAAGGACGAGGGTCTGTTGTATCATCCAAATATGTTACGTTTGTATAAAATGCCATTTTATCTTTCTAGAAAATACCACGTCTGACCAGGGTGACTCAGCGTTAGACCGAGGAGCGACTCGCGATCAGAAAGTTGCAAGTTCAAGATCTGGCTGAGGGTTGACTCAGCCCATCATCTATAGAGGGCCGACATAAGATCAGTACCACAAAGTGGTACTGATTTTACCGCTATCACTACCCCTAGCACTACTCCCACTGCTATCAATATCCCAACCTCTATCACTACCCCTACCGCTATCACTACCGCTACCACTACCCCAACCCCTATTACTCTCACTATCCCTACCCCAACCCCTCCTTAACGTCTCCCTCCTGTTATCCTGTCGCCATAACTACACCACCCACTTTTAACAACCGCACTCCTTATTGCGTGCCACTGTCGCCTTTATGTGCCATTTTATAATTGTGGCAAAGCGCCTTGGAATAAGGCGCCACATGAAAAAACGCGCGTGCGGTATTTCTACGCGATTAAACAAAACCGAGGCAAGAGGCTGCCGCTCACTCGCGCACGTCTTTGGAGGCCATGTCCAGGTAGCGCACGCTGATCCACTGCAGCTCGAACCAGTCGCGGAAGCCGCTGTTCCCGCAGCAGTGGAACTCCATTTGCAGGAGGTCGATGCTGCGCTTGATGAAGCAGCGGCCCGGCACGTCCGTGTCGCGGTAGTAGTGCATGGCATTGCGCAGGCCGGCCCGCAGGGCGCCGTCCAGGGCCCCGCTGGCCCCGTAGCACATGAGCCCGCCGGCGAGCAGGCACGCGGTGAAGACGAGCGTGCACACCTGAGGCCGTGGCACAACGAGGGCGGACCACCCCCCCCCCCCACCCCCGCGCAGGTATAGCCGTCAACCCACACGGTTAGCTCCGTATTGTTGTACAGGGAAATTTAGTTTTGAGGTGCCGTACGACATTCAGCCGTTTCAATACGGGAAAACATATTTTTTTGTCTATTTGTTTGTGTTTCTCCCTCATGATGGGACTTTGTAGGGTGAACGTTGAGACTTATAAGGGCAATAAGATCTGACTTGGTCTGTAATAAGGTAGGGCACAGGTAAGGGGTTGACAGGTGTGCTGCTCGCTCACGTACGTACGTCATCGTCTGGGATCTCTCGAGGTCGAGCATGATGATCGTCCGTGTACAGGGACGGTGGTCGGAGTTTGTGAGTACGTGGGTGACTCATAAGGCCAATCCTGGAACCACGAACAGTGAGGGAAAAAGTATTTGATCCCCTGCTGATTTTGTACGTTTGCCCACTGACAAAGAAATGATCAGTATATAATTTTAATGGTAGGTTTATTTGAACAGTGAGAGACAGAATAACAACAAAAATCCAGAAAAATGCATGTCAATAATGTTATAAATTGCTTTGCATTTTAATGAAGGAAATAAGTATTTGACCCCCTCTCAATCAGAAATATTTCTGGCTCCCAGGTGTCTTTTATACAGGTAACGAGCTGAGATTAGGAGCACACTCTTAATCTCAGCTTGTTACCTGTATAAAAGACACCTGTCCACATAAGCAATCAATCAATCAGATTCCAAACTCTCCACCATGGCCAAGATCAAAGAGCTCTCCAAGGATGTCAGGGACAAGATTGTAGACCTACACAAGGCTGGAATTGCCTACAAGACCATTGCCAAGCAGCTTGGTGAGAAGGTGACAACAGTTGGTGCGATTATTCGCAAATGGAAGAAACACAAAATAACTGTCAATCTCCCTCGGCCTGGGGCTCCATGCAAGATCTCATCTCGTGGAGTTGCAATAATCATGAGAACGGTGAGGAATCAGCCCAGAACTACACGGGAGGATCTTGTCAATGATCTCAAGGCAGCTGGGACGATAGTCACCAAGAAAACTATTGGTAACACACTACGCCGTGAAGGACTGAAATCCTGTAGCGCCCGCAAGGTCCCCCTGCTCAAGAAAGCACATATACATGCCCGTCTGAAGTTTGCCAATGAACATCTGAATGATTCAGAGGACAACTGGGTGAAAGTGTTGTGGTCAGATGAGACCAAAATGGAGCTCTTTAGCATCAACTCAACTCGACGTGTTTGGAGAAGGAGGAATGCTGCCTATGACCCCAAGAACACCATCCCCACCGTCAAACATGGAGGTGGAAACATTATGCTTTGGGGGTGTTTTTCTGCTAAGTGGACAGGACAACTTCACCGCATCAAAGGGACAATGGACGGGGCCACGTACCGTCAAATCTTGGGTGAGAACCTCCTTCCCTCAGCCAGGGCATTGAAAATGGGTCGTGGATGGGTATTCCAGCATGACAATGACCCAAAACACACGGCCAAGGCAACAAAGGAATCGCTCAAGAAGAAGCACATTAAGGTCCTGGAGTGGACTAGCCTGTCTCCAGACCTTAATCCCATAGAAAATCTGTGGAGGGAGCTGAAGGTTCGAGTTGCCAAACGTCAGCCTCGAAACCTTAATGACTTGGAGAAGATCTGCAAAGAGGAGTGGGACAAAATCCTTCCTGAGATGTGTGCAAACCTGGTGGCCAACTACAAGAAACGTCTGACCTCTGTGATTGCCAACAAGGGTTTTGCCACCAAGTACTAAGTCATGTTTTGCAGAGGGGTCAAATACTTGTTTCCCTCATTAAAATGCAAATCAATTTATAACATTTTTGACATGCGTTTTTCTGGATTTTTTGTTGTTATTCTGTCTCTCACTGTTCAAATAACCTACCATTAAAATTATAGACTGATCATTTCTTTGCCAGTGGGCAAACGTACAAAATCAGCAGGGAGTAAAATACTTTTTTCCCTTACTGTATATTATATGTATGTAGTGGTTCTTGTTGAAATTTGTTTCATCCGAGTAACCCCCCTTGTCTAACCACAATATGGTTCTGAGAAATAAATGTTTGAATAATGAACATCAATATTTTAACCAATTGTCCATTTTGTGAGGTATCCTAACTAGCTTGTAACTGGTCTTCTCTTTTTAACGCTGACTGGACGTATTAGAAGAGGTGGGAGTATTCACGCTTTACCCCACGGCACGCGACCTAAACAACTTTTATTTTACAGGTTTCCCTCGCTTTATGCGGTAGTAGCAGATGCGTTCCACAAAACGGGGGGCACACAAAGCAAAACGGCATGAGGAGACAGCTGCCTGCCGAGGAGCACACACACAGTACGCACACACAATGTTGTCCCACGTCCGGCCGCATAGCTGCATCTGAGTGAATTCAAACCGCATCGTATAAACGTGAAATCGCATCAAGCGAGGGAAACATGTACCAGCGAAAGCCCATTGAAATATGAGCTCTTTTTCAGAGGCGACCTGGCCACACCTGATGGTAGCTTATCATACGTTTATAAATGCAGAGTGGGGCAAAACTGGAGAGGACCCGGAGAAAACTCCATACGACCACTGTGGCGAGATGTTGACTCCCTCGCCTGGTATACAGGAGGCCATGGATTCGATCCCGACCCTGATGCCTGCTGCTGTATACTTGGAGTTTGCATATTCTCCCCGTGTTCGTGTGGATTTTTCTCTGAGTCCTCTGGTTTGTCCCTCTAAATGTAGAAACACGCACTTAGAGCAGACATGGGCAAAGTACGGCCCCCGGGCCGTATACGGCCCGTTGGGCTTTTTAATCCGGCCCGCCGAACTTGTCCAAATATTATTTCTTAAATTAAATTTTACCTTTCTCCTGTAATTCCCCCATTTCCCCATTAGATGGCGAACTTTGGCCGGGAGTTACGACATGTTTTTGCATTGTTCATGTTAAATTGCCTTGCAAATAAATGCTTCGCTACCTGTTAAAGGCCAAATGCTTTCATGTAATGATTTTTACATGTCATTTATATTAGTTCACACAAACACTCCATCCATCTGTTCCTTGCCCGGCCCCTCTGTCAAATTTTAGAACCCATTGTGGCCCGCGAGTCAAAAAATTTGCCCACCCCTGACTTAGAGTATTTGGCTGCTATAAATGTGCATGTGATAAGCCACTTCATTGAGCTATAATTTGTGGCCAGGTCGCTTCTGAAAAAGAGCTGTATAGCTCAGTGGGCCTTACCTGGAAGAATACAATTTTTTGACAGTTTTAGAAATGCGTACCCAGCAAGGGAGATAACATCTCACCACCGCGGTGCTACCTGGTGATGGAATCACGCGGTGGAACCAGTTCCACTGCTGGGTGAATTGTCATAAATTGGCATGATTCAGGGTTGTGAATTGCCTCTGTTTTTCCTCTTGTATTGCAGGGTTTAAGGAACCTATAAAACATGCAACAAAGACGGTCACTGCATCGCGCGCTGGAACGCTCTTCCTTCCGATATTAGGAAGCCACTGGAGCTACGCAATTTTAAATAATATAGTTTGAAAACGCATTTCTTTAGAACTGATTCTTGTGTTTAGTTTGTTGTCATTCGCCTGCACCTCCAATTAGCGTGGTGGGCTACGTATGGTGCGAAAGAAGTTCAACATACATGATACAGACATAATTAATATTGAAATACGGTAAAAGATTACTACGTGCCCACGGTTCTTTGCATGCATGGTGAGCATTCGCAGATTCCAATACCTATAATTATTACACCCAGTCTACTGTACTTTTTAAATCCAATGCTTTTTAAAGTCAAGCGTTGGTAGATCACACAAGATGTGTGAAACTACCAAACCCAATGGGCTGCAAGCTGGTAAGAAGATTGTAGTACGATTCAGCGGGTTTGTAAACACATCTGTGTGAATCCTTAGCAGACATATCTTTTCTTCACAGATCTGTCTCTTCACATAAAAAAAACACATTTAGAGTAATTTTGATTTAAAGCTTTCGTGACTGCAGGGATTCATATTCTTGGTTCTTTCGGTAAAGTCACGTAGAAGGGAAACAATATTTATATTATTTTGTTTCCCTTCTACGTGACTTTACCGAAAGAACCAATAATATTTAGAGTAATTGTCACGGAACCCATCAGCCCCACGGCTTTCTGGTAGTGCGTCATTTCAGGGGCATTAATTAAACACAAACAAATACGTATATATTACACTGTGCTTATATTCTCTGCTAGTGATGACTGATTATTGCATGTGAACCTTTCACTGTTATTCCTTTGTTTCCAACGTGAAATAATACTTGTTAAGGAATTGAACAAAAATTCCAGTGCAAGATCCTCCTAGAACAGCAGACTCGAGACTCGGTGAAACTTTCCCAGATGAATAAATTACATTACGATTGCTATTTTCAAACAGTTAATTATTCTCTTTTTGGCCATATAGTACAAGATTTTTTTTACACATATTTGTATACAAATGTAAATATGTGAAACGTGCCATAAAAACACTAAAAACACCAATTCAGGTGTTCTCTTGTATCTGTAAGTGACATGCAGTCGGTATGTTTGCTGATAAGAGAACACACACTCCTTGTTAGCGTTCTCTTAATTTGTCATCAGTTACAGCCTCGCCGTGCATGCCATTGTCCATAATACATATTTTTTGTAAACACATGCCATTGTGTTGACATGTATGCAAATGCAATCAGCAAAATTAGAATTCAACCTATGTCACCCTACTGGCATGGGAACGCCTGGGAATTTCCCAGGAATAGCTAGAGTCTGTGTATAGCATTGTATAGTAGTGTTGTGTATAGCAGTGGAGTGTATAGTGCAGTTGTGTATAGTCATGTAGTACTGGAGTCTGTCACCAGGGATAGGGAGGTCTGGGCCGCCCTCCTCAACATACTGCCGCCGCGACCCTCACCAGGACGAGCGGCCTGAGAAACGAACGAACCATTCAACCTGTTCCTAATATTCACAAATTGGCCACAGGTTTGAGTATGAATAGATGACCTACACTCTCGCGGTGATGTCGAATAATGATCTTCTTAAACAAGTGTACACTGCCTCCGAGTGACACATGCACACTGACAAAGAAACTGAAAGCAATGCTGAAAACGTGCACGGAGTGGTGTGGAAAGAGCCATTCTTGTAAAACTACAAGACGGGAAGGGAGAGGAGCACATGGATCAAGAAACAAATACAAATCAGAGGCATCACATTTGCTGTTAAGAAAAGTGCCGTGGGGTAGGACACACCGCAAGGAGGTGATGATGGCTGATGGACAAGGCAAGTGACAATGTCAGCAATGAGATCAGTTCGTTCTAGATTTGAAGCTTTCGTGACTGCAAGGATTCAAACTCTTTGGTTTTTTCGGTAAAATCACGTAGGTAAAAAATAAATGAAACCTAAATTAAATCACGACGTTTCGGGCGCAACACAAGCGCTCTTCTTCAGGTGGGGACAACGTAGCGAAGCACAAAGGGCGGGATGGTTGGTGGCATCGCAGAACTCCCAACAGGCATTTAAATACAAACAAGGGCGAAATTGTAATGGGCAGATTTCCCCCGGCTTACTTGAGGACACAAACCATGGTGATAGTCGCGTGCTTGGCTCAGAGAATAAAGCCGAAGCTTTTGACTTTCACACAACCGCACTCAGCGTCAGACTTCACATCACACAAGGCAGCAGCGTTGCTTCTCACGCGTTGATCGTCTGTCATTTTTTATATCACAGTAACAACCCCCTCCTTTTTCCCAATTCCCCCCCACCCCCACTGGTCTCATGCTGCCATTGGTAAATCTCACACGACCTACGATACATGAACACTCGTTTTTTTCTCCGTTTACTTGAGATAGCCCGTCGGTAGCGCACGGTTCGCCGCTCGTAGTGCGGAGGTTAGCAGTTCAAATCCGGCAGGCCACCCTGGTTGTTACTGTGGTTGTGTATTAACGATTAACGCACCATCTGCTTCAAGGTGGACGGTGGAGATCCCGCGACCGGTAGGCCACCGCGTGCCGGCGTCATGGCCAAAATTTGCCAAATTCGAAAATTGCTCGCAAATGACTCAATCGGAATTACTCGCAGCAGCAATCAACGCCACCCCCACCCTTCCCTACCGGCCGACTAACGCCGACCAGGTGTTGCTGTCACCTTGTGCCTCAGCACAGGGGACAGCTGTCGACGGAGGGGGAAGGCAGGTGCCCTTTGAACTATTTTCGATGAGCTGTGACGTAAGTTGCTTTTGCCGCGTGTGAAGCGAGACGGCCTCGCGTAAAGGGGCCCCCTGTCAAAAACAAATAATAACGACAACAGTTATCATGCTGATGAACTCCACTGTGACACGATTGGACAAAACGTCGCGCGGCCACAGCAGGACGACTTTGGTGGCCGTACCGTGTAGGGCAGCAGCACGAGGCGCCAGCGGGACACCTTGGCCGAGTCGGCCGTCGCAAAGTCGTGGCAGATCTTGCCTCCGAGCAGATTTATGGCGCAGGCCAGGAGGCCCACGCCCAGCAGGAGGTTGGGGAGGCCGTGAAGTCCCGCGCCGCCCTCCACCATTAAATCCGCACGCCGGCGCAACTCCACCTGACAGAAAAGACACCAATGCCAACAGCCGCCATTCGCCACTAAGTGGCGGTGACGTCGCCACGGCGCCTGTGCCAGGCCAGGTGCACTTTGAGGCCACGTGAAGTTGTCGGAGGATCGCCGACAGGAGGTTACGGGACAGACCCAGCGGGTGCCATGGGGTTGACTGATTGAAGTGAGGCACCAGCTGTGCCCCCTACTGTGCCACAATACACCATAGATGCCATAATCACACAGACACGTCTCTGTTCTGACTTTAGTCGTCTGCCCAATGGCAGGATCTTGGCTTAACGCCCTCGATCATGTCAGATGTTGGCATTTCTTCTTCATGTTACCGTAGGGCCACCTTCCTTTAAGTTACGTCCGTATTCTATTATTAGTTGATTTTATTTTCTACGTGACTTTACCGAAAGAACCAAAGAGTAATTCCTGCAGTCACGAAAGGTTCGAATCTAGTTTTTTCATTCAAGTTGTCAAGCAACATCGTTTTTTTCTGCCTTTTGTCCTCTTTCCCAACATCCTTGTAGAACTTCCTTCATCCAGCTATCACCTCTGAGAATGTCATGGGTGGGGGGGGGGGGACAATGCCCCCCCCCAAAAAAAACTGGAGACCTTTATTAATTTACTAGCCTTTTACCCGTCCAACGACGGGTGTATTGCAGTAAATCTGAAACTTTCAAGCGAAAATTAGACCGCGACGTGATTTTCATTGCATCAATTCGTGTGCAATTTGTAAGGGCGCGGTGACACAGACGTATGTTAATTTTTAAGGTTATAATCCCTTGTTCATCACGACGTCCTTCTTACTTTGATGTCTCAGTAGCATTACGGAGATCACGTGACGTGAGGGTTCTGCCTTTGTAGTGAGGGTTATCAGTTGACGCCAAGGAGGGGGGAGGAGCCTCGCCCCCCCATGTGGAGTGACGTCACCCGCTAATTATTATGAATGGAGGGGGGGGTGTCCATTTGGAGGACGTCACCTTACAATGATTATTAATGAGGGGGGCTGGTCGACACGGAGTGACGTCACGAGCGATGCACACAGACATTCATGAATATTACTGAGGGGGGCTGGTCGATGTGGAGTGACGTCACGACCGTTAAGGCCATTCCTGGGTGATTATAGTAGGTATTTTCAATAGCTTACAATTCAAATAAAAAAGAAATAAATTAATTATATGCACCCACGATTCCTAATGAGGGACAAAGCGAAGCCCTGCACCCCCACCCCCCAATTTCGAAGTCAAACTCCGCCTCTGGAGACTGCCTCCCAGCCACATGTTTAGCTTTCTATATTGCTCTAATTAGACTTCTCTCCTCCTGAACCTGCTCGAGAATTCCTTCAATTCTCTTTCTCTCCACCTGATGTTCTCCATTCGACACCAAAGACAAACAACCCCCGTGTAGCCTTAACACACTGTTGGGGCAAGTGCTGTTAGCGAGCACCTATGAAGGCCGGCACGGCACACGAGGGGGTGGGTGGCCAACACCACGCCCGGCCGCCTTTGTCTCCCCAGTGGCGATGTTTACACACCGTACTAGGTACCCATTTGAGGCTGAGTAGACCTAGGGGAGGCCCAGGGACCGGTTCAGATAATCGTCACTGGGTGTTGGCCGGGAGTGGAAATCGAACCCGGGTCGCCAGGTTCGTAGCGCAGCGTAGCGCTAACCGCTACACCACCGCTCCCCACACACACCACGACACCACACACATACACACTCACGCATCTCAGGGTTTTCCAGTCTTTGTCTTCCTTTCCCAGAGTCCAAGCCTCTGCCACACACAACCCTACACTCCATACGAGGGCCTCCATGAGGCTCTTTCCTTCAACTCTCTCCTCATTCGTCTTGTCAGCAGGATTTCTCTCGCCGAATGCTGAGTTTCCCATGCCAATCCTGGCCTTAAATCCCCTTTAAGCATCTGACATCTTCTGTCAGAAAACGGCTCAGAAGCCTACATTTGTCTCTCTGGCTCTCGCCTCTATCCATCCGCTGCGATATTCTTCCCGACTCAGTGCCGGATTAAGCATGTGCAGGGCCTGTAGCATATGTTATAAAGGGGACCTAATTTTTTTTTAAAACACAAATATTTAAACAGAATCTAGACTTGAAGCTTTCATGACTGCAAGGATCCATACTCTTTGGTTCTATTCGGTAAAGTCACGTAGGTAAAAAACAAAACAACAAAAAATCACGACGTTTTGGCCACAACACAAGTGGCCTTCATCAGGTGAAGGGACAGCAATGCTGTCCTCTGGACAGTCCGGTCCCTTCACCTGATGAAGGCCACTTGTGTTGTGGCCGAAACGTCGTGATTTTTTCTTGTTTTATTTTTTACCTACGTGACTTTACCAAATAGAACCAAAGAGTATTTAAACACACATTTTTTACTTGCATAGTAAAGTAATTGTATGTTTTCATTTGCTATACAGCCAGATAATACGACAAATCGCTAACCTTAAACAACCAGCCGTTCATAAAAGTTGAAGGTGCTATAATATTATAGTAATAGAGCAAGAGCAGAATCACTGAACCAGAATTGATAGCTTGAAAGCATTTAGTGCGGGGCCCTTGAAAGTGCGGGGCCCATAGCTACATGTGTAGCTACTACACATGTAGCTACTACACGTGTAGCAGCTATTACACGTGTAGCAGCTACACGTGTAGCAGCTACACGTGTAGCAGCTACACGTGTAGCAGCTGCAGAGGTAGGAGCAGTGCCGGATTATCCTAGTAGCAAAAGTTGCTACACGTGTAGCAGCTACTACACGTGTAGCAGCTGTAAAGTCAATTTTTTACTTTCGGTCTAGTTTCAGTTACGGCCGAAACTGATATTGACTTTCGGTCATCATTCGTCAACCGAAGATCTATTTTTAGAATATAACGCTAGTGCTACGTCTATCACTCTGCTTACAGGCTGGTCAGTCAGCACTAGGCAATACTATGCAATAGGCTGCAAACACATACAACAACAACCGCCATTCGCCACTAAGTGGCGGTGACGTCACCACGACGCTTGTGCCAGGCCATGTGCACCTTGAGGCCACGTGAAGTGTCGAACGCCCGCTGGCAGGAGGTCACGGGGCAGACCCAGGTGCCACGGGTCGACTGACTGAGATGACTGGCTGATGCAACACCTGTGGCCCCGACTGTGCCAACCCGCTGTGCTTCAGCCACCCGGCACTCCGCTCGTTGTTCTGAGCGTCGCTCCTCCGCCCTCCGTTGTTGTTGGAGGGCGACTACCTCCAACTGCCCAGTAGCGTCCTTCACGAGCCTCCTCCACAGAGGCCGATCTTGACACCGCTGGTACCAGTCATTGGCAAGTCCAGTCAGCTCCACGTCCTCCTGTACCACATCACTCCATCTCTTCTCTAGCCCGTGCCACGCCCGCTTAGCCCCCTCAATCCGGCCGAACAAAAGCTGTTTCGGCATGCGTTAGCTGGGCATGCGGGCTACATGACCCAGCCATCGCAGCCTTCCCCGCCGGAGGAGCTCACCGATGGGACCTTGCCCAGATCTTTCAAGGATTTGTGAGCTCCTCACACAATCCAGTCTGGTTAAACCCAGGATGGATCGTAGGCAGGCCAGCCTAAATGTTTCTAACCGGCGAAGATGTTCCATTAGGGGGGTCCACGTTTCGCAAGCGTAGAGAAGGGAGGGAATGACCGTGGCCGAGAAGACCTGAAGCTTCGTGCGGAGCGACAGACCAGATAGCTTCCACACAGCGTTACGCAACCGATGAAAAGATATTGCCGCTCGACTGATTCTGAGTGAGACCTCTGCTGTTAAACTGGAGCCAGTCATAAGCACACTGCCCAGGTATGGGAAACTCTCCACTCTCTCCACAACTGCCCCATCACCGATTGGGAGTTATGGGGGTGGAGTGTCCGATGGTACAAAATACCCAGGCAGGTGCTTAGTTTTGGTGGGGCTGATGGTAAGGCCCCACCTCTTAGTGGCATGCTCCAGTCTCAGCAGCAGCGTCTCCAACTCCTCCTCTGAATGAGCAGCTATTACCAAATCATCAGCATACATAACGTGGTTGAGCAATAGGGTGCCATCCCTTGACTGCACCCGGGCATCGATCAGCCTCCCATTATATCTGTACCATATGGAGATTTCCCCGGTACAGCTATTGAAGGCTTCACGAACTACGTGGTCAAAATAGATGTTAAATAATGTGGGAGCCAGAGGACATCCCTGTCGCATCCCAAGGTGTACAGGGAATGGCTCTGACTCCCGGCCACGTAGTTTTACCCGGGCCCGCTCACCATCATGAAGGTCCTTAATGATCGTGAGCAGAGGGTCAGGTACTCCAAAAGCACGAAGAACAACCCAGAGCCCAGGACTACTGATGGTATCATAGGCTTTGACCAGGTCAACAAAGCAGAGATGTAGGTCTTGTTGGAATTCCCTACACCTCTGCTGTAGCAGACGGACAGAAAATATGGCATCTGTGCAGGACCGCCCTTTCCTGAAACCGCATTGGGGCTCTGCAAGCCTCTCCTCAGCGTGCCTGGCAAGGCGATGTTGAATAATCCTTGCCAGCACCTTCCCCGGCACACGGAGGAGTGAGATGCCCCTGTAGTTGTTACAGTCTGTGCGGTCTCCCTTCTTAAAAAGGGGGACCACCAGGGCATCCTTCCAATCCTGCGGAACCCGTCCAGTGGTCCAGACTGTTGTTATGATGTCATATAGGGCAATCTGTGCACAAACGCCGCCCTCCCTCAGCATTTCGCTTGGGAGATCATCTCTGCCCGCTGCCTTTCCTGGTCTCAGACTCCGGATCGCCTTCAGTACTTCCTCAACAGATGGCACCTCAGCCAGCCACTCACAGGGGGTGACTTCTTCCAATATTTGAGGCACCGCAGCCTAAGCAGGTCATCCTCACTTTGTGCTACGATGTTTTCCTGGCTGAGGGATTTTCCCTCCCCCAGGACCTCACAGAAATGCTCAGCAAATCTGCAAACCTGTTCCTGGGGGTCGGAGATTGGATCACC